CAAACAGCAAAAGGGTTGATGCTCTCTGTCAGCTGGCTAGAGTCTTGAAGAGAGATACCTCTGTTCACTTTAAGGATTGGCACCCTTCTGCATCGAGCCAGTAGAGCAGACGGAGCGTTTTCCATGGCACAGGTCGCAACCCTGGTTTGGTTGTTTGAAAATAATAATAATATTTATTAATTCATTCATAGGCCGCAGCCGCTCACCTCCCTCATCCTTCAAATTCCCAACAACCAAACCCATCCTATGCTCCTCTCTCCCCGGCCCAGTGGGTCGCAAGGTCACAGTGTTATCGACCCCGAAAGGGGAGAATCCGAGTTATCGGCCCTTGCGATTTAGCGGCCTGTCTGCTACCGCTGGTGCCTTTCCCAAGAGGGATAAACAATTAAAAAAAAAAAAAAATAACCAATGATTTACACATAGAACGTTATAGAAAGTTCTTCGTATTTTTATTTGAATTCTAAAATGCTTAATAAATTGAATCGTAATTAAATCCCATGAATTCTTAATTCTATAAGTAAATACTAAATTCCAAATGAATTACATTAGTTATGGTGGAAACTTACTTTAAATTTTATATTACCTGAAATTAATGTGGAAGAAACTAATTTTTAACGATTGCCAGAAAATAAAAAAAGACCCTTATTGAAAAATTAATTTTATGTAAGCCGAAAATTAATTGAATAAATATAATAATAACTGGAATGGAAAAAAAGCAAAAGTTCTACGATGAGAGTGGCAGTGCCACAGCGTCAGTCAAGAGAAAATTGGAAAAAAAGTATGATTTTTTTATTAATATTGTTGTTGTTTATTTGTCCAAATTATTACATCACATTGTTTACAAGAAAATTGTTGAAAAAAATTTATTTTTTAAAAAAGAAATTGTTGGACAAAACAACTGATTTATTGACTTTATTTGCTATGAGGAAAGGAGCCAGGTTTTTACTATCATCATCACACCTGTCAGCCGTCAAAAAGGATAACAGCTTCGCTGCAACAAAGAGGAAATCAAAATGATGATTCTTTATGATGAAAAGGTTGAGCGGCATATGTCACTGACAGAATTTGGTCACAGTCTAGAGAATAATTGCTGTGAAAAATACAAGGTCAAGCAGCATCCTACCTTTTGTTAAATAGGTTTCTGTAAGAAGTGCACCTCTCGCAATTCTTGGCAGCTCATTGCACAGTTGCAAAAAGGATACTGCTATATATAGGGCCTCTAAACGAGCAGGATGTAGGGGCAGGGCACATGCATGAATTGTGCGTCAGAATTTTGGCAATTAACACCAAGAGTAATCATTTTGAAGGAAAACTTGGCGTTGCCGCTCCTCCAACATCTGCAAGGTTTGTGTTTGTTCTAACAGCTACTTTTTGCCTGAAAATTTTTTTACGCATTTTAAAATTAAATTTGTTTCAAGAAGTTGACGGGAGCCCCCTTTTGACTTTTGACCCTAAATTTATTTCCCCTAATGGATTTTTACTGTATATTTCACCTAAATTATTTCCCCTAAATTATTATCCCTAAAATCTTTTTTTCATTTCCCCTAAATTTCATTGCCCCTAAACCTTAAGAGAAGACAGGATTCAGAGCTGTGTTTCCATATGCAAAAATTGTTGGTTGCCACCTCCATCATTTACAGACAATATATTGTATAAATTATATAATATTAAAAAAAAAAACACGATTCAAAACTTACATCAATAAAAAAAAAATACAAAGTTTGGGGCTCTCTAACTATTATAAAACTGAAGCAAAAAAATCTGTACAAATCTCAATGGCTTTGTCATTATAGTCTGGCTGACTTTCAAGAAGTTTGCAAATTCAGCAAGGAAAAAAAGGCTATTTAAGCTATATGGCAAAAGATCGAGATAGTGTACTCAGGATTTGGACTAACAATAAGACTTAACTTGATGGTTATAGAATTACAAAATAAATGAAACGTAATATTGATAGAGCATATATATTTTGAAAATTATTAAAAATTACATTTTTTCATAAAATTTGGAGATTGAATTCAATTTTTTTTTTAACAAATTTAATTTATTTTTAAAATATTTTGGTCAGAATATTATGAAACTTGTGTTTTAAGCGTAACTTTCACGGCGGTGTTCGAAGGAAGACTACATTATTTTTTGCTCCGTTTTTCCAGTTTCAGGTAAAAGATTTATTTCAATTTTTTTCAATTTAGGGAAAATAATTTTATGGACATTGCTATTTAGGAGAAATGCTAGAATAAAGTTTTAGGGTCTTTCTTTCTCTTTCTTTTTCAAATTGGGGCTGAGAGTGCTGAACTCTGCTTTTGCAAAATAGAAGATTACATTGTACAAAGGTGTATAACAAAATTAACCAAAAACAAATAAATTTTGGAGTGATTCATTCCAACTCAGTTTCCATTCAAAAATTTCTGCAGCTTCTTAATGACAGTTAAAAATGAAAAAAAAATGGCAAATTTAAAACTGTGTTGCAGGAAAATAGGCTGGACTTTTCATTAAGTTTTAATCTCATCTTAACAAGATAAATTTTTCCTTACCTCCACCAGTCTCCATGCTCTGGCTTGGCCCGCTCGGCAGGCACCAAGCACGCGACTTATCCATATATTTGGCTCCTCAGCACTTTGCGTACTTCTGGTAGACAGTGTCCCAAGAAGAAGCCTCGGAGGTTTTCTGGCGCCTCATTCCTGCGTGCATTATAGAAGGGATACATAAGACACATAGTACAAAACTGTTTGCCCAAACTTATAAACAAATCAATTTTGGAGTTACTCATTGCAACTGCATTAGCATTCAATAATTACTGTTTCAGTTAAAAGATTTAAAAAAAAAATAATAAGAAAAATTGGCAGTTATAATACATTTATGCCCATCAGCAGACACAAATTTAAAATTGTGTTGCAGGAAAAAAAGGCTGCATGAAAGACTTTTCACAAAGTTTTAATCTCATCTTAACAAAAGATAAATTTTTCCTTACCTGCACCAGTCTCCATGCTGTGGCTGGGCCCGCTTGGCAGGCACCAAGCACGCGACTTGTCCATAGTCGGCGCCTCAGAAGCACTTGCGAACTTCTGGTGGATGGAGTCCCAAGAAGCAGCCTGGGAGTTTTTCTGGGGCCTCATTCCTGTGCATTATAGAAGGACACATAAGACACATAGTTCAAAACTGTTTGTTCAAACTAATAAACAAATCAATTTAGGAATGATTTATTCTCGTGCGTTTACATTAAAAATTTTGTTTCAAATTTTTTATAGCTGACTTTGGCATTTTAAAAGGTTTTGTTTTGCAGTTAAGCCTTAATTATATGATTTATATGTAGCGGTGCAGACGACTTCTATTTTGAGGAAAAATCCTCTAATTTGTATGTCTTGCCTATGTATAATCAATTTAATTGCCGGTTGCGATCCGGGTAGAGCCGAGGTACAATCGTTTTGTTAGTTTGCTTTAAACTTTTGTGTCCATGCATAAATTTAATTCGGAACAGGAGTTCCTTGATTTCATGACATACTTGTAAATTTTATGTTTAAATTTCTTTAACTCCTCTCTCCTATCTTCCTTTGACCCAATTGTAAATGGGTGAGATACGTCTGAGTGCACTATTTGTAATATCACACTATCTGACAATAAAAGAGTTGCAATAACAATAATAATAGTATGTTGAAAAATTTTATTCCATAATTTGTAACTTTGAAAAAAATTATAGCAAATTCTGTCATAAAAATAATTATTTTTAACTCCTTTTGTATTAAATAACTTTGGAATTTTTATAAATTTTGCAATGTTTAAATTTTCAAAGCTCATCAACCGAAAAATAACTTTTCCAAAAGGAAATGATTCAAATCATAAAAAACTCATTTCAATATTGAATTTTGTAACGGTCATTTTTTTCTTATAAATGATAAAAATCATCCTATTCTCAAAAAGATTTTGAAAAAAAATCTTTCATTTGCAATTATTTTTTGATTTATATTAATTCTAAGCAGTTAATAAGCATGATTTTTACTTTTAAATCCATATAGAAAGGTTATTTAGAAAAGAAATCACCTCTGAAATTCAAATTTTTATAAACTTATATTTTGGATTTGAATTCTTTAATGAAAATTTTTTAACTCCTTTCATGTTAAATCACTTAAGAATTTTTTGAATTTTTGCGATGTTTAAATTTTCAAAGCTTGTCAACCGAAAAATAACTTTTCCGAAAGGGAATGATTCAAATCATAAAAAATTCATTTCAATATTGAATTTTGTAACGCGGGTCTTAAAAATGATAAAATTCATACTATTCAAAAGAATTTTTTGAAACATGAAGAAAATATATATAACGCTCTTTTTATGACAAAAGGAAGGATTTTCGTAAGAATTTTAAACTTAATTTATCTTTTTCCTCCTCTTCGGTGGCTTCTGGAATTAATTGTGTGGTTTCAGGCTTGTGTCCAAACCACAACGGCATTTTTACAACTGCCAAACGTGCGACCTTTGCAAAAAAGTTTGGCAGACTGGCAGTTTATCATTTATTTCTCGTGTTTTTTCTAGTTTTCAACAATGAATAGTTGTTATATTTTTTAGTTAATGTTGTTATATCCATACAACAATACCAAATTTGTGTTGTTATATCCCAAAACAAAATGAAAATACAATGCGCTGTGTGCCGGGCGCATGCACTTTTCCGCCAGGGCAGTCGTACCCATTTAAGCCGTAAGTTCGGCCGTTGGCCGTTTACAGGGCAAGCGTAATTCGCGCAAGGGTTCGTGAGCCCCTGCGTCCGCCTTTCGCGAAGTCGGAAAATTACCATCGGCCATCGGATCGCAGGTGGCGAAACTGATCCAGAATCCCCGCAGCCTCCTTGCATCATATCACGGAGCGGCGGTGCACGGCGGTGAGATTGAATTTGATTATGTAAATAACCCTCCATGTCACGCCCCCTTTCATAGCACATTTCGGCACATTTGTTGCCAATTATAGTTGTTGCCATTCGGTGCCGCTCGCACTGCCATCTCTTAGAGGCGGCTGTACCAGCCAGTCTGAAGTGACAAAAACACAACAAAACAAACGAGTCAAACGACCAAAACAGTTTCTGAATTTACTGACAATTTGCAGGCACAGATCGCCAAATTCGCAGAACTTTTGAGAGAAAATCCAGACAACGCTAACGATGGCGACTGCGGTAGCTTCAAGGTTCGCGGTCCTCAGCCTGGACGTGGAAGACGACAACGGAAAAGTGAGGAAGGCGGAGAAAAAGAAGGCAGCCGACAGCTCCAAAGACAAAACTAAAACCCAACCAGGCAAACAGCAGCAGCAGCAGCAAGACGCGAAAAAGAAGGCCAGCAAGAAGAAGTCTGATAGCAACGTAATTGAAAATGATAACGGGTTAATTTTTGTGAAAATTCTATTGAAATATTTTACAGTCGCAAAGCAGTTCAAAAAGTAAGAGTGGCCCGGCAGGCCAGCAGCAAAAGCAGGCGAAACAGACGGCCAATTCCAGTCAGTGGGAAGATTGGAAGAAAAAGGACCAAGAGGTCTGTGTTAACAATCAATTCCAGTATTAACGTTTGATTGGGATTCAGTTTGTTTCCGAGTCGTATGAGCAAGATCTGCAGGAGGCCGTTCTGCAGTCAAAACTGGAGTTTGAAGAAGTGCGCAAACTTCGCAAGGCGGCTGGTTTGGATGACAATGTGGTGGACAAGTCCAAGAAAAAAGGAAAGCCTCTCAAACCGCAGCCAATGTCGTTGGAAACATTCAACAAAATGAGTGGTGACGGAAATAAAAAGGTAATAGAACTTTGCTCGAAATAAATGTTATTTAATTGTTTTTGTTTCAAACTTTAGGAAGAAATTCCAAAAGAGGAGGCTGAGGAATATGGAAATTTCTTTGAAAAAATCAACGAGTACGCTGCAGAAGCTATGAACCTAGAATTGAAGACTGCGCATTTCAAAGCTCGACAGGTTAATTGTGGAAAGATCTTTACTTTGTATTTTTTTCTACCATTATTCATTCAGGTTGAGCCACAAGCAGATGTGCATGTGACACTGGCCCAGTTCCAAGATGTCCTGGACAAGAGAAACAAAGAAATTGTCGAACTGAAGGAATTAGTGACCAAGCTGGAGTTTGAACTTTCTAATGTCAAAGCCCGCAACTCTAAGTTGTGCGCGATGCTTGCTCAAGGAGAAAGTAAGCAGCTTTTGGCAAACTGATTTGAATTCCAGTTAAAAGCCATAATTCATGTACAGTGAAAGACAAGGTTGATGTTCTGCTGGAAGTTGAGAAACTGAAGACTGCCAGAGAAGAGTTGTCTTCCGAGGTGCAAAGTCTGTACGGCCAGTTGGAACAGGAGCGCTCAAAAGTCAGCGCACTCAGCCAGCCAACCGAGAAGGGCAAATCAAAGGTTAGAACAAATGTACCATTATTTTCTTCCAAACTGCTGTTCTTATTTTGAGAACTTTAAATTTGTATTATTTTGAAGAAAGAAAATTACATGAGATTTAATGAAACGGCAATCAAAATACACTTTTCACTTATTTACATATTTTGCTTAAATCTACAAAATCTTCTTTGCAGGGCAAGAAATAAGTTGAAACTGCCTGGAAGCTTTACCACAGTGAGATACAAGTGCTACTGTTTCATGTTCGTGATTTCAAAGACTTAAAATATCTGTGCTGCAATTGATCAGTTCAATGAGCTATTTATCTTTTCTGAAAATATGCATTCCATACAGTTGAAATATTTGATTAACGCTGTAATACTCAGTAAGATTTCAAAAAATAAAATAATAAAATTTGTCTAAAAGTACTGTGAAGTTATTAAAATTGACATTTTGCAATTTATTTTTAAATGCGAGAGTCGTCAATGCAAGGGCGGCTGCCACCAGATGTCTCTGCCGGTCGAAGTGAACGTTTTTGGGCGTGTGTGTGGTGTTGTTTTGTGCAAGTTTTGTGTTTTCGTCCCGTGACTATTCTTTCGAGTCCAGCGATCAAAACAGAACATGGCGCTGTAGAGAAGTGGTTCCCCGCGGCTAGATAACAAATACCTTGTCGAGTCGGACACTTTTGGACGCTGGCGGCCGCACAGAATGCAAGTCTAGAGCGGCACATCACCATGGCCGAGGACCCTAGCATTGTCACCTTCAGCGACGAGGAGGAGGACGCGGAAAATGGTCTGCACAACCCTCCGGAGCTGCAGGGCGTCCTCAACAAGTGGACCAACTTCTTCCACGGCTGGCAGACGCGGTACATCGTGCTGCGGGACGGCACCCTGACTTACTACAAGTCGGAGCAGGACACCAACTTTGGGTGCCGCGGTGCCATCAGCCTGTTCAAGGCCACCATTAAGGTCTGTCAATAATAATAAAATTCTCTGCAGGCAAATGATAACCTTGACATCTTTTAATTTCGTCACCCGCAGGCTCACGAATTTGATGAGTGCCGCTTTGACGTGTCCGTGAACGACTGCGTCTGGTACTTGAGGGCTGAGAACTTGGAGGAAAAGAACGTCTGGGTTCAGACTTTGGAGACCTGCAAAGTGAATTGACGCTCAAGTAACAAATAAAGGCAAAACTTATAATTGATTTTTGTTTTTAAACAGGCTGAATCTGGCTACGGAAGTGAAAATAGCCTGCGACGTCACGGCAGTGCCATTTCACTTGCCTCCAACACATTTTCAACAACCTCGGCCTCCAGTTTCAAAAAAGGGCGAGGTGAGGTTTTCATTTATTGCTACCAATAAAACTGTTTCATTTACTTTGACTTTTGACAAAAAAAAATTGTTATAATTATCTTTTCTCTGAATAATCATCTTTGCAGGATTAAAGGAAAAGTTGGCTGAAATTGAAACATTCAGAGACATTCTTTGCCGCCAAATTGAGACTTTGCAAGGGTACTTTGACAACTGTGCAGAGACATATACAGCAGTAAAAAATCTAGAGAGTGAGTTGGATAATTTTGCAATTAATGAATCATTTATTCATGTCAAATTTATATCAGATGGAGTGGCTGGCAAAAATGGAGATGACGCTGAAGGTAATTATTGTTCACTAAATTGTTATCCATGCATATAAAAATAGTTTTTGATAAATAATGTAAAATCTCAGTAATTTGATTAATGAGCAAAAAGTTAGTGTACCGTAACAAATATTAATTAGTATCCTAATTTTTTTCTTGTTGTTATCAGTTATACATATAATTGTTAATGTTAAAAGCCAAAACTTAATTTACTTACTGGAATAAATGAGTTTAAGCTTATATTTTTTTTTCTTTTTTTTGAAATTTTTTGTTTTGAAGATTATTTTGTTTTATCAGCCTGAAAAAAATTTCAGCAGAACCAGAGCACGCCCTTTTGACACTGCTGCACAGTCAGGGCATGCAAGCCCCTGATTTCAAAGGTGAGGCGCTGACCTTTAAGGCCACCACCTCCGGAGTTCTTGCCACGCTAGCCCATTGCCTGGAGCTGGTGAACCAGCGCGAAGAAGGTTGGCGGAAACGCCTCGAACGAGAGACCGAGAGGCGTAAACGTCTCGAGGACCTCTACAAGCAGGTCAAGGTTGAGTCTGAGAAGAAACAGAAGGTCGTCGTTCGCGGAGGACCTGATTTTGAGGTAACTAGTCATATTTGATTCAATTTTTTTTTTCTACTTTATTAGGAAATTTGATTCATTTTACTCTAGAGAAGAAAAAACCCAGTAATTTATCTAAAAATTAAATAATGAAAAATTAAATTTTTAAGATTTTGATATCAGCCAATTGGCCTTTAAAGATTTAGTAGGTCCGACAGCTACCGTCACAGGGAAAGACAAATAAAAAATAAAAATGGCTTTGGAATACACAATATTAAAGTTATGCTCATCTTTTGTTTTCTTTTTTCTTTTCAGCATGTATTAACAAACATCAGGTTATCAGTAATATGATGTTAATATCCTATTTATATTTTTTTTGATAAGCTTCTAAATTGTTCAAGTTAATTAGTTTTACCAACATTTTAAAATATCTTAATGTGAGCAAATTTATTTTTTGTTGTGTTTGTAAAAATTGTTGCAAATGAGGCTATTTAAAAAAAGGATAGTTCTTGTCTTTGCTATTAATTAATTATTTTTTAGTTCGGGAAAGTAATTTACATAACGTCACTTGTTGAAATCTTGATGGAAAGAACTACTGTTAATGATAATTTTTAAAATTTGTTTTTCTGACATTTCAATTTTCTTAAAAATAAAGTTCAGAATAATTTTATTTCCTTTCCTCGCCGTTTGAGGATAAATTAACACAAATTTTTTATGTCTATAATGGTTCGAATCTTAGGATAAGAATAATTTTAAAACCACAGCCACATGTCATGTTGTGCGCTCTAGGCTATCAGAGCAGCAAACCATCATAACATAAGTGACCTTGACATTCCGTTGCGGAGTCGTTAATGACGAACCAGTAAAAAACTTCCTTGTTGGTCAAGTGGGCTCATTCGGAGGCAATTGAGGCTTCGCTCTTGAAAGCCAAATTTAAAGTTCTTAGAACTCCATAGATTTTGAAGTTGCAATATGAGCTTAATAATTTCAACGAAAAGAGACATGTCACGCACAAAATTTATGTTTTCAACAAAAAATTGGTCAAACCAAAAAAAATCTGTACTTATAAAATATAAATTAATTTTAAGCAATAATTCAGTGTTGGTGTTTCCCACCTCCTATGCATAGATCCTTTTTTTCTATTTAGTGGTTTACAAAATATCTCCTCATTCCCAATAACGATTACAATCAAACTCGTTGTGAATTCCTGATCGTCTCTCCGATGTCATGTTAACTGTATTATTTCTCGCATTCTTAATTTTGCCACGGATTCGTTGCCAAATATGTGCAAGAGAAAGCGCTCTTGACACAGAGGGCCTCCACTACGACTTTTCTTTTTTGGACGAGCATTAGTTTGTATCAGTGTGTCACTGCTGCTCTTTGTTGGACGTTCGGAATGCCTGACAAAAATGGAAATTTCATTGTAAATTCTGATGTGTATTTGAAAAAAATTGTTTCCCACTTTGAGGTGTTTTGTTCAATTTGTTGTGCAGGAGGGACCGCATAGCGCTTTGAACGACGACGAGTTCTACGATGCTGTTGAATCTGGCTTGGACAAGATTGACGAGGAGATTGAATTCAGGGAGCGACTCAAACTCAGCAGACCGCATCCCTGTTCAAAAGCAACTGAACATCCATTGTGGAAAGAAGTAAGTTTGGAATTTTATCAATATCTGAAATTGAAAACTTCAATTTATATTCGTTTGGTTTCTGCACATCCATTTAATGAAAAATGAGATGTTTTAAATTAAATATTTGATCAGATAATTTACACCTAATATTTAATTTAAAAATAAATATTAAAAAAAAATGCCTTATATTTCAGATTGATCGAGTTTGCTTGGAACAACTGCACTATGCAAGACTGGGTGTTGGGGAGGGAGGTTGGCAGCTGTTTGCCGAAGACGGGGAAATGCGAATGTACAAGCGCGAGGAGGAAATCGGAGGGATGGTGGTTGACCCTCTCAAGGCTGTTCACACCGTCAAAGGTGTCACTGGGCACGAGATGTGCCACTACTTCTTCAGCTCAGACGTCCGCATGGAATGGGAAAGTGAGCAGGGAAAAAAATCTTCCTTATTCTTATTATAATTTTGCCTTTTTTTAGCAACTGTTGAGCAAATGACTGTGTTGGAGTCGATAGCAGAGGATACTCTAGTCTTCCTGCAGATACACAAGAGAGTATGGCCAGCAGCGCAGAGAGACTCGTTATTCTGGTCGCACATCAGAAAAGTGCCTGACAAGCAAGACGAGGACGGACACGACTTTTGGATTGTTTGCAACAACTCGACGGAGCACGAGGACTTCCCAGTAAGTATTGTATGTACAAAACGCCTTTCCTCTAGGCATGATAGATATGGAAGTTAAAGTTTATTAGATTGGTAGCTAGAAAAACTTATGCATAAGTTGTTTGCTTACTGCATTTTTGTATGCCGTAGAAGTAGAGCTGAAAATTTTAACTATTTGGATAACTGTTGCTATGTCTTCAACTATTCAGTCATATCAGATTTCAGGTTACCACTTGCAATTTTTTCTTGATTTTTTTTTTTTTAATATGGCTTGAATTTAGAAAGTGCACCAGCACAATATTAATAATAAAATTTAATACAATAAAATTTTATGCAACTTTTCCAATTCGTTGTTGTAGAGGAAGGGATTTTGTGGGAGTCAGTTACAGAACTTTTTAATTTTTAGGCCAATGGTGGGAAGTGCGTCCGTCTATTCCTCACAGTTTGTCTTGTTTGTCAAACTTTCATTGACCCTCCAAAAAATGGCTCAGAAATCACCAGAGATAATCTGACATGCAAAATCACATACTGCTCAGTTGGTAAGCTTTGTTTGGATCTTAATTATTTAAATTTTCTACATTATTGTTTAATTTTTCCAGTAAATCCAGGTGGCTGGGCACCTGCGTCCGTGCTGCGAGCAGTTTACAAGAGAGAGTATCCTAAGTTCCTCAAACGTTTTACACAATATGTATTTGATCAATGTAAGGACAAGCCAATCATGTTTTAAGCCAATATTTTTTGTACGGTTGTCCTTGGATAAAGTCATCTGTGCGGCTTTCTGTAATATGTTATTACCCATCATTACATTTGATTGGTTTTCATAAAAGCTGCCGATTTTGCCTGACCATTAATTTATTTTTTAAGTAGGCAGGGAAAATCTGCATCCTTTCATTGATTATTTTTGGTGCTTGTTTTCACTTATTATTGTGTATTTGAGTCACACAAAACGCTTTGAATTGCAGCAGTGAGAATCTCTGCATTACATTTTTGCAGTTGAAAATAATTAATAAGCAAATTTGTGCCTGATGCAAAATTGACTTACGGTAAATGTAAAATGCTATTTAAGGAAAAATACAATTTTGTTACAATTACAACTTTATTTATCATTCTGCTTGAGAGTAGTCCACATAACTAAAGGAGAAAAACTAAGGCAAAATTATTACGAAAATAGTTACAAACAAATTTTTAAAATGAAGTTTTTAATTTTATATTTACTTGGAAATTTTGTAAGTTCATTTCAAGTTATCTATAGTTGTCCTAAATCTAATCTAAATGAAAATAAATTAGTCTTCAAATTGCTGGTGGCTAGACACCAGTGTCCGAAGTGACTACCAATTTAATCTAAGATATCACATTTCTCTTGAACCAGTCATTCAAATCGAGGCGCAACAAAAGCTGGCTCAAGGCTAGTGCACTCGTCTGACACTGAACGATGGTCAGCATATTTTTGAGGACCCCAACCTGGGACATAAACTGATGCTCTAACTCTTGTAGCTTCAAATCTGTTTCACTGTTCATGTGATGCGCATTTTCTATCAATTCCATGGCAAACTCGCAGAACTCAGTATTCATATCCAAGAAGGTTTGCAGACACTTCATGACAGCATGCTGACCTTGGGCCTGTCCTTCTTGTTTCACGCCCGTTTGGAGAAAGGCTTGGTTCAGTATGTTCGATATGGCCAGACAATGGGCCTTTAAGATTTCCTCAAAGTTTTCTGTTTCCTTTACAGCTTGGATAAGCTGGGTAAACTGAACTTCGATTACGTCAAACTGAAATTTACCCGAAAATGAAAAATACACTGCCATAATTAAAATTCATTACCTGTAAATAATGGTGAAGGTTGTCGATCATGAAAAGAAAATTCCTTCTCAGTTGACCAAGTTGAGTATTGGCTTCACACCCTCTGCAAATGTACATGCAGTTTTTTTTTTTAAATTAGGAAATCAACCAAATTTTGGCAAATATTACCTGATTTTTTTGTCCTCCATTTGTCTTTTCCACACTTCCAGCAAGTTGCATTGTGCTCGACGAACTTTCAGGAGCAAACGGAAAATCACGTTGTACTTGTAAAGGATCTCCTCAGTAAACAATAGATGCAGTGGCCATTTAACTTGGAACTTCAAGCTGATGCAGTCCCATCCATTTCCGTCTAATGAATTTTTGGTTGAAAAACAAACTAGAGGGATTCAAATTATGTATACCCGACTCCACTTGAAAGTACATGACAAATTTGTTGAGAAGTACATCATCTCTTGTAAATATGCTGCAAATTGCTTCCTTCATCGCTTTCTGGGCGGCTTTAAATTATTTATAGAAATAAATTCATTAACTTGACATTATAATATACCTCTGAGGCGAATTGCTTGCGGAGGATGCTTTAAAATTGGATTTGCAAGCTTAATGAACTCTGAAACAATTTCTCCACGTCCGAGCAATAAGAGGTCTTTCACAAATTTCAATTCAGATAGAAGGTCTGCATCTTTTACAGCTACATGCCATAAAACCTTAACAAACAAATTGTCATCTTATTTTAGATTACGTTTGCAAAACTAACATTTGTCAGGTGCCTTCTCATAGTTTTGACAAGTGCTTTAAGTCTTTCAATCTGCAGACTTTCTTCTTGCTCAATTTCCCTGAGCTCATTCAGATATTCCTTTTCCTTGCCTCCCCAGAGAACAAATTCTTGGCGTTCATCTTGCTCGTACATACCTAAAAATTCAATTATTAAAATAGTGATTTCTTCTCAGCAGAATTAAACCTTTTGCGGTATTCGGCTTTTGTGATATCATGACCACGGTTTGTCCTATGTAAAGGATATCTAGAGCAAGCGAGCCAGGGATGTATGACGGCAACTGGTTCGTATTCATCTTGAAAACTGAGTAAGCAGTGTAAAGCTCCACAATTGAATTAGTCTAAAACAAGGCATAGAGAAAATAAAAGTTGCATTGTATTTAACACAAAGAAGGTAGCTCGCTCTACCTGAACGATTTCAACGTCAGATGTGCCATCATCTTGGGGTATCTCTTTATTTATGAAAAATTGTTCCTTATCAAAGAGCTCTCCATAAATAAGCCACGCGCTCAGCTGCTTTAAGAAAACCGTGTGACATCTTTTTTGAATCCTAAGTACATAAATAGGAGTAAAAAATTTAATAGCACCAAAAAAATTACACCTCTTGAATGCTGTCTGTGATATGTGTGACCTGGCGCTTGGGCTGCTCTGTAGGATTTCCATAATGTGGCACCAGTTCAGATCATTCCCTTTTAGCTCAATCTTGAATGGTAAAATAGTAATAATGATGATTGAAAACAAACATACTCCTGCGATTTTACTTGATCCACAGCGTAATTTAGGAGGTGCAGCAAGACAGTGTACTCGTCAGAAATTTGAAGGACAAACATAATGGATTTGCTTGCATCAAGCAAGATTTCATCTTCTAGCTGGACCATGGCTTTTCGGTATGGCTCTAAAACTTCCTCCATGCCACTGCAGAACGCTAGGAAATACATTTTGGTATTGCTGCCTGAAAATAAGCTCCTGTAATGCTTCTTATTTTTAAAAATACGAGAAAATTGTTGTACTGTATTTTTGAGCGTTTTGGCTGTAAATTGGATTGCAGTTGTTCTCCGTGAAATTTTTCAGTCTCCTGTAGTGTGTTGCAATTTTCAGGATTCTTTCGATGAGTTTACGTTCCCCAGGTGTAAGAGGAAGAACTTCATTAACCTACGTATGTAAATAAAGACGTTAAGAAAACGTTACGTAAGTAATAATATTACATGCAAAACATAAAATAATCAGAAAGAACAATATTTAGCACATAATTATACCTCGTAAACTCCATCTTCATACTTGAAAACACTGCTGTCAAACCCGCTCAAAGCAAAGATCATCTCATGGATGATGCTGTGCGAGCAGTTCACCTCTGACTTCTGCCTGTCCAGCATCATGATTGCAATATTAATATGTAATATCGGCGAATACCACAAAAATAATTAAACATTAAGAAATTTTGAGAAGATTTGAGGATTTTTTCTTGTTTTGTCTGTTTTCTGTTTTGCAGCTGAACAGCTGAAGTGGGCGTGCCGGTGTTTCGCGCCAATAAACAAGCTTGTGGGGACTGGTGGGGACAGAGGTTGGGTGGAGCCAGGGTGGAGCTTAAACGCAAACAACAAAGCACGAAACGAAACAATAACAAAGAGGTTTGCATTTGGAACCATTTGGAACTTTGCACGTGTGCAGCACCAGAATAACCAGAATCGTGCAAAATGGTCACTTTTTTCTCTTTACCTAAATTTTTGCTGTCCAGTGAGATAACATTATTTATTTCTTCAAGCAGGCATGTCTACAAATTGTCGGAGAAAACGCTCTTGCACAAGTTCTATCAGCATGTAACCCGAGGTGCAGCAAAACCTGCTGTGGATTGCTCAAACACTCTGAGGACAAGAGATGTTCAAGTTTTGTTTACGACTCTGGATAAGGAATTTGTCAAACCATCGGCCAAAAGCATCACAGCCACTAAAGCCTACGAACAAGCCATGAAGCAGTTTCCGAACATCGTGCAGTCAAATCTCGTCGCCAAAGACGAGTTGGTGAAAATGCTTTTCTATGTTGGACTCCAGAAAACATCGAGAGTGTCGCAGTCCATTACAAATGTTTTATTAAACAAATTGCAGAAGAACTTTGACTCATTCAACCTAAACGACACCTGCATCATGGCATCAGCGATCTTCAAATGCAGCCTGCCAAAAGCAAACGCCAAAGCCGTCAATGTAATAATCAAAATGATGAATGAAAATTTAGATTTTTTGCTGGACAACCCACAAGAGCTAATATGCTTATTGAAAGTTTTGAGACAGCAGCAGTACCACGACTACGATCTGTTACAGCGCTTGGTGGACAAACTAGAAAAGTGGCCCAAGGAGGACACTTTGAAACTTGCTCACATTCTGTCTTATTTTGCCGAAGCAAAATTTGCCCACAACAAACTGAATGACGTAATAATCTCCAGCATAGAAAATCTTAATTTTGACACCAGAATCAAAGACATCGCAAGAATCCTTTGGGTTGCTTCTGCTTTGAATGTTGCAATTCATGGCAAAATCGTCGAGTCGATTTGGAATGTTCTACAATTAAAGAAAGAAGAGTGCTTGGCATACCCCGACGTACTGGTCAACTGCCTCGTCTCCATGGCTGTGCTGGAGTATTACAACTTGGACTTAACAAAGCTGGTGCTTGAAAAAAAATCGCTGGAGCAATTAGAAAGTAATTTAAAATTAACTCTATGTTCTATTACTAATTTTTGTCTTAAAAATTATAGATATGCAAAAAATAGCACCATGGTTAAGATTAAATAATCTCCTGGAACTGATGAAAATTGAGTGTGGCTCTGAGCTTGTGTACCCAGGACCTCCACTGCCAACTCAAATGATCAGCAAGTCTATTGAAGCTAGGCCAGGGCTAAAGAGGATATTTTTTGCAACAAAGTGCTTAGCATCGAAATTAAAAATTGAAGTTTCCTGTCAGTTCAACACACTGCCTGCAATACACAATGCTGGCATTGAAGTTATCAAAGATAATAAGTATTAGAAAGAAATTTCCCATAGCAACTTGGTAATTATTTTTCTATTAGGAATTTAAGCATCGAGGTCTTGGACCCCCCTGTTTGTTTACACAATTCTAGTCAACCTGCCAGCTACATGAAGCTGAAACTTCGTCTTTCAAAGAAGTTAAATAAGAAAGTTTTGCTTGTAAGTATAACTGAAACATATTAATACAAATAATAATCAAATAAATTTATAGGTCGATTCAGGAAAATTGGCTTTGACTGACGAGGAACTATTTTTGTGGTTAGAAGATGAGCTTGTTCGTTTGCTGAATATTTAATAAAATGCCAGAATTCACAAGAGAAAGTGGAATTTTAAATGTACAGAGATCCATCTGCTGGGCCTAGGTAGTGCAGCCAGATAAGGACAACATCCACGAGAGTCCAAACTCCCAATCCTCCAAAGCTGAAGAGCTTTCCAATTGCCTCCTGCCAGTGCCCTAGGTAAAACCTTTACAAACTAAATAATTATCAATTAGTTAAAAATAAAATATTGCTAACCGGTCTGCGCCAAATCCACCAAGAGTGATGCTCAAAAGAAGGGCAGTACTCCACTTGTAACCTCCCGTCCAGTTGCAAGGCAAATTTTTCTGGAAAACTCGGTTGCCCAAACACAGAAGTTCACTTTTTGCAGTACAGTTTGACCTTCATAATAAAATGAAATGAAGACAAAACAAAAATACCGACAAAAATATACTTGTAATAAGATCTGGGAGATGCAACAGAGTTGCAATTTGCACTTAATTTGCAAGTGTAGTTTGATGGATCCATCTGGTAGCAATACTGGCAAATCATATGACGCTCAAATTTTTTATCACCCTGTTGAATAATTTCTATAAGTTTGCAAAATCCAAAATTGAATATTTTACCAAACAATCATCCACCAGAGATGTGCAATTTACAATAACTTCACTGCCGTACTCGCAAGACTTGTTGAAGTCGCAACGAACGCAAGAGCCTCCTAGTTTATTGCACTCCAAATTGCTTGGGCAATCCAGTCTTGTGTCCAGTTTAGTTTTAACCTTTAATAAAGTAGGTATAAATTAATTGTCCAAAAATTGAGGAGAAAACAATAATACTTTTGATATTTTTAAATTACATAAAATATATTCAAATTGATGATGTTTACTAATTATTAAGATACAAAAAACTAAAAATTTTCGTTGTTCATTGGTATGTATTTTAATGTTTAATTAATAGTATAAATTACCGGATTCATTATTGAGTTGGGGCTGCTCACAGCTTCAGTGGAAATCGTCTCGGTTCTTTCTACAGTTTCATCTGAGGAAATCAGAAGAAATTATTGGACGTTTCTTACAATATTAAAAAAAATATGCATGCTTCTGTTTACAGACAAATGTAAACGTAAATTTTAAAAAGAAACATCCATAAAAATATTCCGTAATAAAATCCCTTTTGTAGCGTACCAAACAGCTTAATTACATACCTAATTTTTGCATGTTTGTGTTCAGTGTCAGTATTGTCAAAAGGATGGCCAGTTTAAAAACATCCGCAATGCTGATTCTTCGCACAACAGCCATTCTTATGCTGTTTGCAAATCACATCATAATAATTCGGAATATTGGATATTAAATGAGCTCTAGAACTCAGACAACTCAGAATCGTTTTGTTTACTTGCCCATCTGGTTTGGGTCATTCGGGTTTCGCTCATTCGCTGTTTGCTGACATGTCGCGCCCCCTTCTCAAGCGCGGATGGAAAAATTTTACTCATAATTTGATGTCCAATTTTCACAATGGTTTTTTACGAGAAAGTATTAAATTGTTTGATAAAAAATTATTGAATTTTGTTACTTATTATGCTGATTTAAAAAAAAAATATAAAGTAATTGAACCTCGACATCTAGAGGCGAGCCGCGAGGTATTTAATTATATATATTTTGTATAATTATTTGAATAATAGCATAAAAGTTTACCATTAAATAAATATACGAAATATACAAAAAGATTATAGCTGTAGCTTTAAATAATTAAAATCGGAACGTTTCTTTCTTATATGCCTTCATGCTGTAGCTAGTATAATAATAGGTATTAATGTGAAATAAAATTTTTAGAAGTGCACCAATTTAAAAAATGAACTGATTTATACAAATAATTGTGCTCCTCAATTTTATACCAAATTTTAATATCAAATCATCATTTTATTTAAATTATTTTAATTAATACTTTACTGCAAATGAGACGTGACGGTTTGTGTCATTATATCGTGGTCAATCGTGGTGAAGTTTCATATTGCAAACTGATTGCAAACGGTTCTATAGGGGAACTTATTATTTATGGCATTTAAATGGAGAATTAATAAATTAAAAAAAATAGCATTGTTCAACGCATAAGTTTTTTTATTATTAATAATTACTTATTACTTAATTAAGTAATTTACAAGCAATTATTTAATTCTACAACAAGTGACAAATAAAGCTGCTGCAGTTTTCTACCACATTGCACGTTGCACACCTGAAATTCGGTTATGATCAGCAATATCTCTCCAAACAATTCTGCTCAGTCTGAAGGGCCAGACATTTCCTCTTCCTCTGGAGGTCAAAGCGCATCTATATGTTGTCCTGAGATAGTGGGAATTCCTGGGAAGCTCCATTATTTTCGCTCTGGCATCCTCCTATGAATATTGATAATTATTTAAGTAATAAATATGTCTAGAATAAGTACCCTGATAGCCTCTGGCAAAATTTTATTCTTGAGCAGTGTACGGAGCCTAAGTCTTTCATCCGCATATTGTACAACACACTGCCTCCTCTTGAAGTCGCGGATCATTCGATTGTCAGCCCAACGCGATCGAACTTGCTGAAACTAGAGATTTTTATGTAATTGTACGTCAGAAGTGCACATTTTATACAGCAATTAAACGTTTTGTTTACCATCACATTGGAGTTTTGAAGGCAAAAGGGTATGGCTTTGATCGCGTTCCTAAAGAGCTGATTCATTTTTTCAGTCGGACCAATTAATTATTCGCTTTAATGCGTCGATAGTAATGAAAAATTCACTGGACTTTGCAAAAACGAATTTAATTAGCCTCTGTAGTCTGTGGGTAACGAACGTGCTGACGAGAAAAACGGGTTCCAACACGGGGGACGGGGGCGATCAAGTTCACAAGAAATTTGGGGGGCGTAACTGGGCGTAACTCAGGTTGCAAAAAACGGAAGGCGTGGTCATTAATGTTATAACCAATGGCTGTTCTAGGATCTTCGCGCCCTTTTCAAGTGTAAACAAACAGTCGCCGCGGAGCCGCTACCGTTTTTAATTTTTGTGTGTTGTATTCTTGACGATTAATGCTGAAACTCAACCATGAAATTTGCATTGTTGATGGAACGAAACGAAGCAGTTGGGTGATGATTGAAATATTTCCGTGAATTTTCTTCACTCAAGATTGAGCACATTGACGCCCTGGCCCCACCATGGCACCTTCGGGCAGCAGCTTTGGTGAATGCATACAGGTGTGCATGGTTGCTTTTATTTTTAATTATGATTTATTATGAAGAATTTTGCTATACATATATGTATTTAATCATCAAAATTTTTTATTATTTTTCAAGGACTATGAGGTGCTCAATTTGTTAGGCAAAGGTGGTTTTGCAAGCGTTTATCGTGCAAGATGCAAGAAAACTGGCCAGGATGTTGCAGTGAAAATGGTAAATGTTATTTACTACACATTACTACATTATATTAATATTTATGGATAAAAGAAATTTATAAATTATTGCCGAATAGCCTGGCTAACTTTTTTCAATCACAACAGATCGACAAAAAGTTGATGAAAGCGGCCGGAATGGTTGATCGAGTTCGACAAGAAGTGAAAATCCACTCTCGACTTAAGCACCCATCTGTTTTGGAACTCTTTACTTTTTTCGAGGATGAAAACTATGTTTATTTGGTTCTGGAGTTATGCCTAGGAGGAGAACTGCAGCGGTATGTTAAGACTCTTTCAAAGCCTCTGCCTGAAGAACAAGGTACGCATGCATTGTGATTTTGAATTCCATTTCATTATTGTTTTCTATAATTTATTCTATCAAAAATTGATTTTTCTAACAAAAAAATTTATTTTGCAGTCAGTTCTATCATCCGCCAAGTCACTCAAGGACTTCTGTACTTGCACTCGCATCGAATCCTTCATCGTGATCTGACGCTCGCAAACCTTCTAATAACCAGTGAATTGAACGTCGTTAGTATTTTCATATTTCATATTTAATTTTTTTACTTACTTATCTCATGCCTCCAGAAAATCGCTGATTTTGGCTTGGCGACACAGTTGCAGCGCCCAGAGGACAAGCATATGACAATGTGCGGCACTCCAAATTACATTTCCCCTGAAGTTGTAACCAGAGCAGCGCACGGCCTCGAGGCTGATGTTTGGGGCCTCGGTTGCATGTTGTACACACTTCTGGTTGGCAGACCCCCTTTTGACACGGACGCAATCAAGAGCACCCTCACCAGAGTGGTCATGGCAGACTACAAAGTAAATTTTTAATATTCCCAAAACTTTTTAATGAATAACATTTGTTGATTAGATTCCTGATCATGTGTCTCCGGAAGCAAGAGAATTGATCCAACGCTTGTTGAAAAAGAATCCCAAGGAAAGAATGAAGCTGCATGACGTTCTAGATCATCCTTTCTTGAGAAAAAGTTTAGTCGAAGATCATGACAATGAGGTAAATTTTAAAGCAAGGAATCCTTTATTTTCTACCTTAAAATTTTTGTCTAATAGAAATGGTTGGCAGAAGACAGTGGTCTTTGCACAATGACGAGCAGAACAGAGAGACCTGGAAGCAGCATGTCATCCTCTCATCACATGCTGCACTCAACCGCAAGGCAAAACATCAGCCAGCCCATTCCTAGTCAATTTTCCCCAGTTCGTCATATCCATGGCACAAATTTGTAATATTCAAACACTTTTTTACCTTTAACTCTCACTAAGTTTGTCTGCAGGTCGGAAAATCAGCTGAAACCCATGATGTGGGGCAGTTCATGTGGAGTTGAGATGACTCCCATGCCAAATACTCAGCCCTTGTGCAACCACCAGCACTCTTTTGCCCAGGAAAGGTCCTGCTGCAGTAGCCAGCCTCAGTTCTGCAGCAATGCTCCTCAAAAGTTTTATGGGTAAAGGACCAGAATGATGACTTTTTGAGAGTTAAAATGATGGTTTTTATCATTAATTTTTTTAGGACGCAGAATGTGGACAGCAGACCTTGCATTTCACATGCCCTTTCTGAACCGGCTCAAAATTTTCGTGGTGACAATGCCTCATTACACCATTCAGCTCATGGATGTTGCCAGTCGCAAATGGCTTCATTTTGCTCTCAAGTCTCTGGATGCAGAGTTAATGAGATGGCAAACCCATGTCTGCAGCAATCCCAGTGGTCGCTAGAGTGCCAGCCGAGGCAAGTACAAAAATTTATATATTTTTACTTTGAACCAATAAAAGAACATGAACACAAAGTTTCGTATTTTCAAGTAAATAAGGTAGCTTTTAAAATCATGAATTCATTCTTTAGGTCAGCCGACCTGCCAGAATCCTGTAATGAGCAAGCAGATTTCCCTTCGGCCAAGGTTCCAAACGAGACAAGACGGTCGCTACCAGGACCTTTGAACACAACCCGCCTACAGCCTGTTCGGCACCAAACGAAAAATGCTGTTCTCAGCATTTTAGAATCTGGTGAAATAACAGTAGAATTTTTAAGAAGAAACTCATCAGGGACGGACAAGGTTATCGATGTCTGCCGAATTTCTGGTGATGGCTTGCGGGTACGCATAGAATTTTTTTGTCTTTAGATTTATTGCAACATTTTGTTTCTTGTAGATTGTTTTGTACCGACCCAACAAAGGCAAAGGGGTGGAAGTAGGGACCCAGCCAGTGAGTTTTCCACCAAGTGGAGCAGAACACATTTTCAGCTACGACAACTTGCCTGAAAAGCACTTCACAAAATATATTTACGCATTAAGATTTGTGGATCTGGTCAAAGCTGTCACGCCTAAAGTTACTTACTTCAGCGAAAAGGCAAAATGCATGTTGATGGAAAACCAACCTGTACCCAACTACGAAGCAATTTTTTATAATGGTAAGGATTTGTAAAATTTGAATTTGCCATTTCGAATCATTATTCTGGGCGTAGGTCAAAAAGTAGTGAGAACGTTGGGCATTTGGAAAATAATGGAGAAAGACGGATCCTCAAGCGTTATTCATGTTGATGAAAGCGAAAAATTGTCTCCGTCCCAACAGATTGTGTGGAATAATGCCTACCAGGTTTATTTTCTTATCTGAAATATGATGTGAATTATATATGTTTTCATCAGTGTTTGAAACATTGCGAACTGTTGGAGATGCATCTGAGAGACATATCGACGAATGGAATGAAGTGTTTCCCAGTGATTATTGGAAAGCGTCCACTCCCATCAAATGCACTCTTGGGGAACAAAGAGAACACTAATGTAATTACCCCTCCAAGCAAGGTTGGTTAAAATGCCCCTAGTCGTTACCGTCGTTCCCTAATTTTATATTACATTTCTAGCCACACTTATCAATGCTTGAAAGCAATTTCATCAATACACCCCTCTCGAAGTGTTCTCAGTTATCAAACCAAAAGAGCTCGCAATCGGTCCGGACGGCCTACATTCCAGGCGTTGGAATTGCAAATCAGGTATTAACTTGGAAAGAAAATTCAGGTCTGGTCACTTATCTAAAATTCCAGCTCTCGTCTGGAGAAGTGCTAGTGCAGTATAGCGACGGTTCTACGCTGACAGTCGACTCTTCCAAGGGCACAACGTGCTTTGTTTCTTCAGCTAAAGAGGAGCAGCTTTTCGAAAACAGAGAAAATCTCCCAGTTTGGCTACAAGTGAAGCTCACCAGCTTTCCCTCTGTTATCCAGCATTTGCTCTCTTCTAAAAACATATCTACCTGCTCTCTAAACAATAGCTGACAATAGTATTGAGAGCTTCTTTTCCTTCCCAAAGTTTGAAACTATTTTTTACATTTTGATCTCTTTGATTTGTAAAGTAATTGCATTTGAATGCAATATGTCTATGTATATAAAAAATAAATTAAAAATTTACAATGTAAAAAAACAAAGAAACTATTGTAAGATAGCTGACTGACCTTGATTGATATTTAAAGTTAATTGTTGATTGTCTTGTCGTTTGTCTTTCTGGTTCGATATGGAAATAAAACAATCAAATTATAATTGAGTTGTATTTCAATTGAATCCACAAATGTATGAACAGCAAGGGAAAATAATGATAAACTTAGATACTGAAGTGGCTTAAAGTTAGGAATGACTGCAACAATTACATATTTTTTAATTATTAAAAACGCCGTTCGATCATTGGCCACTTATGAGCTTTGCGCTCTACAACTTAGAATAAAATACATGAAAAGTAAAAAATAATTTGCTGGACATTCAAAACCTCTTCAGAAGTTCTTCAGCACAGATGCGTGCCCTGGCATTCACAGCAAGTTTCATCTCGGAAATCTCCTTGTCAATTTCCTCCATGAACTGAATAACAAAGTCCACAAGCTTGTGCTTGTACATTTGCTCCGTGTGGAAGTTCGTGATAAGGAAGCTGATGTCGTAACCCTGCAAAGTCAAAACTTATATAAATTATATAGCTCCTGGGTTTGATCCATCGCACCTCAATTGGCTTTCGTCTCAGAATGATGAAGTTCTCAGCCCGCATCATCATGAAGCGCATGAATTTGTGACACAGGATCCTCTCAATCTCATCCGCCTGCTTCACAGCTATGCTAACTCTCACCGAATTAATAGAGCCTTCAATCAAGACTCTTTCTTTCTCGTTGCGGCTTATCAACACAGGCGTTAACAGCAATTCCTTGCTTGTTCTTACCTGCAATAATTTGCGAAATAAATGAGATGATAAGAAAAAAAATTTGAATTTATATGTACCTCAACTTCTGGCTTGTTGTGTCGCTCTACGACCTGAGAGGAAAAGTTGTCAAGGCACATTGCCGCAGTGAGGGTGTGCCGGACAGCGGTTAGATAAGGGCGCAGGGTTGCAGCCATGGTTCAGAAACTGGAAAAATGGAACACAATTTCGGTCAAAATACATATAATAAAAATTAAAAATATAAAGAAAGTATGTATGAGTAAATTAAAATAATTTAAAGTTTCAACATTTTTTAGCTTATTTCGTCTCGGTTCTGGTTTGAAGGTTTATCATTAATTTTATCATACATATTCCGGCAAAATAATTTAAATACATGTAGATAATTTGGATAATTCTCTGCAGGAGCCAACATCTGCAGTAAACGATTGCCGGGGAGTCATGGGCGGAATTATTTCTGGTCAAATTTGGTTTGCTACAAGGTCAAAATTGGCAAGTTAACTTACAAAATGATCAATATTAGTTTTTTGGTGTAAAACTCGAAAGAGTCGTCCGGAAATTTGTGAATTTCCCGAAAACAAACAGAAGAAATACGCGATGTTTTCGTTTTCCTGTCGGACATCCACAAAATCCACAACCACACCCCTTCCGCCCCTTCTCTCCCTCTTCTCGAGCCAATTTCGCCTGAATCTCGTTTGGGGGCAGCACCTTCCGGGGGTCTCCATTTGCTTTTATTTCCGACTCCTTGGTACTCTTGGTAGCACTAGCACTGCTGCAAAGCGTGGTCGTCCGAGTGTGATTTTTCAAAGACTGCCCTGCGGAAAAAACGATAAAATAGGAAATCAGTCGTAAGTATCAGTACCCAATTGCAATGAAAACTTCGAGGAACATTTTTCGCGTCGAACGGGACAAGAATTTCACGGTCGTCCGCGAATTTGGCTCCACGGCTGGGGCGTAAATGTGGTTAGCACGAGTACCTGCATGGCCATCTTAAAACGCGTATTTTCCGTCGAAAACACCTTTCGGCGGGTGTGAATTGGTGCAAGTGGGCGTCGAAAGGCGAATTGGCGTGCGTGGAGACCGCGGGGACGCCGGCCGGACCGCGGGCGAGTCTTAGTTTTCATCCAGGCCCCTTCTGAAAATTACCGCATGCTCTGCTCAAAACGGCGCGCATTCGGTATCGATTGACCATGAGACCATTATGGCGATCTCCCTGAAGCAGCCGCCGAATTCCGTGCACTTTCTTGAGAACGCGCCCGCCGTCTCGCGCGACCGCCTCAATCAAGCGCGACCTTCTCCCTTTGATCGCTATTTTCCTGCATTCCGTGCAAAATCCGAGGCCTCGATTGACGCCGTGTTGCATTTTGAATCACCAAAAGTGTTGTTGCACTGTGTACATGTACATACATAACTCCGCAATGTTCTCAGGCCATGCCGTCAGATACATACTGTGTGTTGAATTTGTATCAGGAATGCTCGAGGTCTTGAAAATTGTTGAAAATAGTCTCGAGAAGAATTTCTCGACTGAATTTTAAAAATGGTAACTTTTTATGTGTTGGAATTTCAAGTGAGGAAAAATCGAGTTTCGATTTCTATAAATAGACACAAAATTTAAAGTTGGAGCTATTTTTTGACAACATTTTTTGGAAGGCTCAGGGAAGGCTAAACCCACCAATCAATAATAATAATTTTGTTTAAAATTTAGTTAACTTGACTAAAGATACTTAAATTTTAGTGATATGAGGATTCAATGTGGATGAAACTATTCAAAATAAAGCGGAAGATAAAATAAGATCATAATTGCTTTCTATTTTTTATTTCATTTCTTTGAAGGAATTATATGTGCGCGTTTTCACTCTTTTGAGTATGAACCGAGCGGTTTTTACAAATTGTTTTTTCTTATGTCCCATTATTATTTTGACACCTGCTCTGAAAAAACGAGTATAAAATGGATGGTTAATTTCTCAAACCCTTCGTGTGCTGCTATGAAAATTATCCTGAAAATATAATAATCTACATTCGACATGACATGTTAGATCAGAGGGTGGACAACTTATGGTAAAAAATATACTTCAATATCGGCATTAGGTTCAGGCAGCTAAAACGTAAATCACTATTTCAAAGTTACAAGGAAATAGTTTAATTTTCTTGTTTCAATGCGATAAGGCAGCCGATAACACCATCCTGTGTTTTTTTTTTTTCAAAGGTTAAAAAATAAATTGTAGTATTTTTTTGTAATGTTGTCCTTTTGCTCTGTTTTTGGGCAGGAGTAAAAAATCGGCATGGAGAACGACTACGGAGTTGGTGTCTCCAACCGATATGGATTATTTCTGGAGGAAGAGGAGGAGGACCCCTTCGATATGCTGTCCAAGCAGGAGCAGCTGAAAGAAGCCAAGAAGAAGGTCAAGACTCAGCAGCAGGAAAAGGAGAACCGCAGCGGCACAGTTCCTAACAAGGCCGAGGGACCCAAGGGCAGCGCCAAGCCACCAGCGTCCGCCGACAAGAAGCCCATCAAGGAGACGCAGAACTTGAAGCCCGTTGAGCCGCAGCAGCAGAAGCCGCCGCGCACTGACGCTGAGAAGCCTGCCGCTGGCGGCGCAAACCGCCCGCCCCGCAACCCTGCCTCAGTCAAGTTCGCCCCCGAGTCGAGAGAGGAGCGCAACAACAGGCGCAACAGAGATGATCGTGCTGGACATGAGCAACGCAATGACTCGAGGTAACATTTTTTTTTGCACTTCATTTGCTTCAAACAAGTCTAACCAATAAGTCCCAATTTCAATTTCCAGGTTGAAATTTTTTTTAATTTTTTTTTTTTATTTTTAAATTTAAATACCTCTCAAATTGAAAATCAACTTTGTTATGTATTTTTTTCCAACTCGATTTCTAGAAAATAATTAAAAATAAAGTCCATTAAAAATTTTAAACATTTAAAGTGAATGAAAAAATCTTAAGTAGCCTATCTATGTTGTTTGCAGAAGTTATGGTGAATCTGGGACTGGAGGCGATGTTGAGTCGCGCGGTGGCCGCGGAGGTGGTCGTGGAGGCATGGGACGCGGAGGACGGGGAGGCCGCGGTGGATTCAGGACTGGCGAGCGAGGTGAAAGGCCCGAGAGGGGAGAGCGTGGCGAGCGCGGAGAACGGGGAGAACGAGAGTTCAGGCCGCGCCGGGAATTCGACAGGCACTCTGGTTCGGACAAGAGCAGCGTGAAGCCCGTGGACAAGCGAGAGGGTGGCGGCGCGCGCAACTGGGGCACCTACAGGGACGAGATAAACGAACCCATTTCTGGAGATGCACCCGAGCAACTGACCCCTGAGAAACCTCACGCTGACCAGGCCGAAGACTCTGCTGGAGAAAACCCTAAGGAAGAAACTGCCGTTGATGAAAATGCTGCCAACGAGGCTGATTCTGTCAAGGTAAAAAGGAATTTTAATTCTTAAATATTTGAAATTAGATCCTCAATCAGATTTCTTTATTTATTGTAAATCGGGTTGCTCTTTGAAGTTGTGACCATTTTTTAATCATTTAAATTTTACTAATTTAATTTGTCTAAATCTTAGCTGAAATTGCACATTAAAACTTATTTTGACGCCTTTTATTCGTTTTCTCAGGAACTGACTCTGGATGAGTGGAAGGCGTTGCGAGCCGGCCACCAGAAACCAACCTTCAACATCAGAAAGGCCGGCGAAGGAGAGGACCCAACTCAATGGAAAAAAATGTACGAGCTGAACAAGAAGGCCGAGGAAGACGACGACGAAGACGAGGAGTACGAAATTGCTGAGTATCCGCAACGCGTCGGTCGCCAGAAGCACTTGCTCGACATCGACATACATTTCTCAGACGCTAGGCGTGGAGGACGCGGCCGAGGCACTGGCAGGGGAGGCCGTGGTGGTCGTGGAGGCCCAAGGAGAGAAGGTCCTCCCGGCGCTGCTCCGGAGGGTGTCCCAGAGCGTGGAGAACGCGTTGGTGAACGCGGCGGCGAACGCGGTCCTCCGCGTGGAGGTGGCTTCACGCCCAAGCCAGCTGGCCGAGGAGGCAACTTCAGGCAGCAGCACCAGTCGGCCCCGAAAGTGGACGACGAGAAAGATTTTCCTTCGCTAGGTTAAACGTGTGAGCGGCGAGGCAAATGCAAAAAATGTGCCCTCTCATAGCATTGTTATGTTTAATTTTCAAATAACTTAATGAGAAAAAGCATGTAAAACTCACATTACACTATAGACTGGAGGGTTGCCCCAAAGTCGGAGCGATCGACTCTTCAGTCGAAATCTCGCCATACGCTCACTGAATTGAAAAATCACTGTACGAACGTTGGTTGATATATAATGATGTATTACCTATTATCGGGCTGGGAGGAGACTTTCAAAATGTTTGCTCTCCCCCCTCTTGTATTTCCTTGAATGGCCAAATATTTCTCCAAAGTTATTGAAACAGCGTTTTTCCAGCCTCAATTTGAAGATTTTCGGAAGTTCACAGAGCATTTGCAGATTTTCGAACATGATTCTTGCATTACAAAATGACTAAGCACATTTTCTAATGCAACCCGTGGTGTATTCCCAACGATCGATGGACATTTTTTTTATTTCATGTACTTACAAGTACAATGTTTCAATATTTGGAAAGAATCAACATTTCAATTGCAGTGAGAAATAAAATTGAATCACACTTAATCAAAGCTTGAGTGTCAATTTTTAACATAAAAAAACTCTCCCTAAGTTTTAGATTGGCTAATCAATTGAAATGCAAGTTTGGAGTGTAACATTTTATTTCATTTCATCCACTTACATAAAATTCAAACAATTGCTGGTGCAAAATGCACTTTCCTTATTTTTAAAGAGATTCTATTGGTTCCATAACTAAAGATGGGTGACAATAATCACTTCATCTTAAAAAGGAAAATTCATCTGTATATCAATGACTAAGTAAGAGATGGATTTAATCAGCCAAGGCCAATAGGCAACCTGGGTGGCTAAATTTGGGGATCATTTTTAACTAGAAATATTTGCTATAATAGCCAATAGAAGCATTAATTATTTATCACCTGAACTATAATTATATTATACTAAAATTTCAATTGGAATGCTAAAAAATGAGCTAGTAAAGTCATGAAAAATAGTAAATTGTCATTAAGCAAGGAGCAAGATCAGCAATTCAAAGAGGGGTAGCCCTGAATTCTTAAAATACCCCTTCCAAAAATCTCATTGTCATCGCTGGAGCTCATGGAAAGTGCAAGCAACTTTTCAGCAGCCAAAGGATGCCATGCACCGAAAGTGCACCCTCTGTCCTCAAATGTGTCATAGTAGTGGCACCGTTTTGTTTCTCTGACTGACGGCATGTACTCGATCATGTCGACGTGATTGCACAATGGAAGCATGAGAACCAGGCCTGAAAACAAATTTTAAGCTCATATAAAAAGCCATAAAAAGTTAACCTAGAAATCCAGAGCTGGGTGGATTGCGACGCAGCCGTGCTGGTGTATTGCCCTGAATGAAATTCCAAACAGGCCACGCTGATCTCGGGTCCAGCATGTAAAAGTCATCATTGGGCCGTTTCTGTCGGCGGTTCCAATAATTTGTGAAAAGGTCAAAATCCGGGCGTTCGTACCACTACAGTAAATAAATATACAATTTGAGCAGAATTGTAATGAAAGAATAAAAACCTGAATTAAAGAGCTGGTGTAATTACATGGGTCCCAAGCCACCATTGTGATATTATCATAAATTGGATTATTCAGGAAATTGAATTCTGGTTTAGAGATCACTTGAGAGTTGACAATTCTTATGGTCGTTTTGGAACCTACGTCGCTTTCATATCCGTCTGTTGGAGCATGATTAAATCGGACCACAGCATCATGGGAATCTATATAAAGAGAAGAACAATTTTCCTTAATAGTGCTTAATAGATTTTTGAGTCATTTTTACTAATTGTTTTCTATGAAATAATCAAGTCCATACCAATGAAATTTCCAAGCTGAGAATCTAGCAGCGACGCAGCACTAGCTATGACAGCGCATGAACGGAATGGTTGTTTCTGTTCCCTCTGCTTACTGAAGATTGGCTTGGCAGGGAAAAGGTCGTCCATTCCCAACGTCTGGAATGGCTCATCTTTCCTCTTGAGCATTCTCAGGTTGGCCGACTTTTTTAAACTGCACACCTATCAAAAATTATTTTGATAAATATTTCCCTGGTATATTTGATTGACTAACAATTTCTCTAGGCGGTGTTTTTTTCATTGTGCCTTTAGTGCCTGTGTATTTCACTCCGTAGACGTTTTTGTCCTTGGCAAAAATGCTGCCTTCGTCCAGCAAGACCCGTCTCATTTCCACCACCAACTGCGTTTTATGTGCTATCACACTGGACAAAACCTTCTTGACGTTAGAATGTGCTGAGCCTTCACAATCTTCTATTTCTCTAGTAAAAATTAATGTTAACTAATTTTAAATAATATAATTTTTTTAAATTTTTTACGGCCTGCATTTTGAATCAAGCACGTTGGTTTTTGACCGCAGTCTTGGCATCTTTTTAGCTCGCTGCACCGAGCTCCTGTTAGTGTGTTTTGACCTGGTTTCCTCCGCAGAGTCCTCCTGTCCATGCTGCACCACCAAGTCCAGGTACTGTATGTCATAAGGGTAGGCTGGTGGTGTGGGAATGGCAACGTGATTGGTTTGCTGGCGTTCCGAGTGCAGCCAGTACTGTCTCCACAACAGGTACATGTACCCACACATGCCCAGGAAAACCAGGTTCATGAATAGCCATACTGACAGAGCCACTGCCCGCATCGATCGGCTATGGTCAACTGAAAGTTTATTAATTTTTAATATTTCTTAATGAACCAAATTAGTTTTAAAAAAATACATATAAATATAAAAGAGGGGAAAGTATATACTTGCTTTAAAAATGGTCGCCGTTCTATCAGAAATTTTCGATTTTCCTAGTATTTTCCCTCGGCTGAACGATGTCTTGCCAAATTCTTTGTTTACATCTTCGATACTTCGATTTTTCCGCTCGGACCGCTCGGTAACCTCGGTAGTCGGTGGTATCGGTAGCCACGCCCCTCCTGCACCTACAATACCAGAAATATGCTCAGTGTGAACATTTCTCCTCTGCGCATCTTCAGCCCCGAGAATCGAGCAGGTCCTCCGTGACGTATTTCCGCATCCTGTCGGCATGTGTTTTCACGTCCATAGTCCGTACTTGTTCTCGTATTTACGAGCTAAGGCCGAATCGGCGACTTGCACATTTTCTACAAACCATCATCATTTAAAATATGACTTCCAAGACCGAACTGGCCTGCGTCTACTCGGCGCTGATCCTCGTCGATGACGATGTCGCCGTCACGGTGAGTAAAACCATAAAATCCAAACGTCTATTATGCATCGCAGGCTTCCTGAAAAAAAACATTGCACCTTCTCAACTCCGAATCGTTGGCTGGAGTTTCCATTCTACTGATGATATCACGTGTTAATGCTCAATTCAAATTTAACTTTCCTCCGCATTTTTTATTTTCAATTTATTCTCCGAATTTAGAAATGTCAATTTAAAATTATTTTCTTCACATCTATTGCGAAGCTTATTTCTTACGGAACTGTTGACATTTTCATAACAGGGCGAGAAGATCCAGACCATCCTGAAGGCTTCTGGCGTTGAAGTCGAGCCCTACTGGCCAGGTCTCTTTGCCAAGGCCCTCGAAGGTGTCAACATCAAGGACCTGATCACCAACGTGGGATCCGGAGTTGGATCTGCCCCAGCCGGTGGAGCAGGTATATTAAAATTTTTGCTTGGTTTTATTTAATCTCAAATAGGAAGCATTTTTTTGCCCTCAACTTTTCTCTTACAATGATTAAAATGTATTTAAAATATAAAAAAAATCTTCAGCCCCTGCTGCCGCCGCTGCTAGTGCTGCTGCCCCTGCTGCTGCAAAGAAGGAGGAAAAGAAGGAAGAGCCAGAAGAGGAATCTGACGACGACATGGGCTTCGGTCTGTTCGATTAAGAAGCAGCGGACTGACCCGGAATTTCTGTATTCCATGGACACAACATTAAAGCATTTTTTTACTTAACAGCCCAAATTTTAATTTGATCAAAAGTTCTTCAGTCGTAGCGCATCTATTAGTTAAACAGTTCAGCTCTAATTGCGATTCCTTGTCTTTTATGTAAAATTGTTCAGTAACAATTTTGAGTTGATATAATATTAATTAATGTAGCCACAGGTATATTGAATATTGAAGTATACATATTTAGTTTTCAATTGAAAAATGAAACTTAATTTCCTAAACAGAAATACCACATCACAATTCTCAATATAAAATTTTTTTATTATTTTGATCATGTATTGCAATCTTTTATGGGTATATATAATGACATGTTGTCTTGTGGAAGCAAATAACTTAATTAACTAACGTAAGCTAAACTAAAATCTGGTGACAGACAAATGATGAAATTGAATATAATAATAATTTTTGTTATAACTTGCAACCCTAATCCATCATTTACTTTAAAATTTAACACCTTAATTGGCAAAAGGGTTCAGTCCGGTTTTGCTTGCCGTTCAAGCCGCTTGATGAAGACACGTGACTTATGTTAGTAAACATTTGTTACGTTGGTACTTCCAGTTGGTAGAATTCCGCCATTCCCGATTCCCGCCAAGAAGGAGCCGCCGCCAGCAACAAGTTTTTGGTCGCCAGGCGTGTGTCGTTGATTTCCCATCAACGGAGCACTTTTTTGTAGCAGGTAGGAGCTTTTAAATAATCCAGCTTAATGTGCATACGGCCGCGAGACATTAGACATTCTTTATTTTTGGCAAAAACATCGCCCCAAAGAGTCCAAAGTTTCCGATCGCTACTTTCCCTCAACAAAAGTGGGCGTGTGGACTCGCAGACATCGCGACCCGCCTCCAACTTTAGATGCCGATTGCCGAACGACGGCCGACTTTTTCGACATTTGAATACGTAGTGCCAAAAATTCACAAATTAATATATTTATCTGATTGCATGATAAAATCTGTCCATTATAGCTTGGAAGAATATTTTTAATATAAAAAGCACGATTAACTCTCTTTACTAATAGTTAATAATAAGCGTAATGTACATATTTTGGAAGACAATTTAGAATCACTTCCTATAAATTTCAGATAAGATGGAGACATTTTACAATGTTTTGGTCAGTGTCCGAAGAATTATCTCTGGAATATCACTTGAGGCAATCTTGACGCTCAATTTCCAAATTTATCAGAACGCAAGAAGAGCTTACAAAGCCATTGTAGACCGTGGATGTGACAAAGCCCCCTTCTACCTGGTAAGAGGATTTTATGAAATGGAAATCAAAACTGTGGAAGACGTGAAGAAATATTTGGCCGATTGGGATTTGGCGGAGCTGACGTTAGCTTGTGTTATCAACCTGACTCCCGAGGAAATTGACCTCCTTAATTGCAAAGATCAAAGTAAGGAAAATTAAATTTCTTGCCTTATAATTATGTACAGAGTTATCTCAATTGTGCTTGGATAATGAATATTTTTAATAAAACAATTAAGAGAAAATATTTATTTTTCAGACACGGCCAGGTGGTTGAACAAGGTCCACACAATGGCTGAGAATGCCACTTGCTTGAAGTGGAAAGAATTCCCCCCGCAAGTCAAACGTTCCGTGAGCTACGATTATCTACCAGCTTGCATTAAGAGGAAATTCTACAGTGGCCTTCTGAGAAAAGTCAGTAAGCCGTGGCACTTTGTGTTTGTCGTGGTGAACGGACGATCCGTCCCATCTACTACAAGTAATACACTGGCTATTTTTCCATAGTAAAAAATTTAACACCAATCATTCCCTCTCTTTGCAGACAAACAAACACTCACCAATGTCAGTCGTTCTATCTTGAGTTTCGGAGGAATCAATTTTGAAGAGGAGGATGACGAAGAGGAGGATGACGAAGAGAATGACGATGAAGAGGTGGGCTCCGACTTTGACGACGAAGAGGAAGATGACGGGTGAAGAAGTCTGCTCCTGCCTGCATTTAGGGTTCTTCTGATGTCAGTGAAAATAATGCTCTTATATATTGTCGACATGTAAAATTAAATACTAAACTTTGGACGGAATAATGGAATATTCTTTCCAAAATCAATTCCTGATTGAAACTAATTTTAAATTAGAAAAATATATTTCATGAAGGTGAAATAATTAAACAATTTATAAATAATCCATCTTGAAATAACTAACGGTCATCATAACTGACTTGCATTGCTAATTCGGTAGGCAAAATAAACATAATTAACAAAAATAATTAAGATGGTTTGGCTAGAGGATTTGATAAGCTCAATTTGGTCTCACATGGAAACCTATAAGTTTAATGGTGGTGCACCGGCCCAATGAAGAATAATTTGGCGCCTGTTTCCAAGCAAGTAATGACCTCCCTCAAATCACCTAACTACATCAATAAGAAAACCAAAACATCTCATTAATTTCATCCCCTCGTCTAAAATTTTTTTTTCAAAATTGACAACTTGAACTTGAAACGTTAAAAGACGCAGGATTCATATGAACATTTTATTCATATTTTCTCTCACAACAAGTTAAACAAGAAATTTTTTGTGTGATTCCATATGAAAAACTTTCATATAAATCATTGTAACACAATGTAAATAATTACTTCAGAGGTTCCAATAATATTTGATTGCAATTTAAATAAGAGTTAATAATGAAACGAATGAAACTGTAGGCATAATGATGTGTTAAGCAAGCAACAAATAGCTTGATATTGAGGCCAAGCGAGTAAATCAAACTGAAAACAAAAATGATCTTGTCGATTTCTCTCTGCAGCCGCAAGAGCGCGCCAAATATGGTTAATGCGTTTTTCATTGAGGAAGTGGTGGTGCAAGTTCTTGGAATCTTATTGATTTGCTGACTCTCAATTATCCAGACCCATCACATCACTGGTGCTCGGCTGCTCTTGATCCAGTTGATGGCAAAGGGAAGCCAGTCAGGCTGAGGCTTGTTGGGAAAATCGTCCATTTGTGGGTCATCAATGGCAACGATGATCAGATCGGCAGTTTTTCCAGTTAAGCCTGGTTGAAAAAAAAATTAATTTATAAATTTTATTTCAAAATCTGTCATTTTAAATTGTTTTATTTAGAAAATATAAAATCTATAAATTTTAAGAAAAATTGATATTTTTACTTAAGATTTGGGTAATTATTAAGAATTTAATTTACCTTGCATTGCATGTTTGTGAGAACAGGGTTCTTGGTCAGTCTAAACATGGAGAGTTCTCTGTAGAGTTCCGATGAGATTCCTGACTCAGGGATGACAACCTGGACAGGTATGCCGTGGCTGGAAAGTTGTCTGGCACAGTTGGCACCTAGAACGGCACTCCTCTGACTACCACAGAAGACGACCACATTTGGAAGATGATGGGCGTTTCGAGGATTCAGTCTGTGTATGTTAATAAAAATGATAAAAAAATATATTTTTATGGTCTTCAATTAACCTGTGACCTCCTCCCAGAAGCTGCAATGCGATTTCGGTCGCCGCTCTTCCCATCGGTTCAGCTTGTCGTTCAATTGTGACTCCTAGTCTCTCAGATAGTCCCAAAAGTTGATTGCGCAGAGAAATCGAAATCGAAGGCACCACCAAACCAGAGTCTAGATCAGGATATTTTGTTTTTATCTTAGAAAATTGAATAATTTGCACAAAATTTACCTGTCACATATTCAAGGAAGATGTTGCCTGGAACTTTTATCTGCCTGTACTTGGCAGGAGTCTCTTCGAGGACATTTTCATCGTGACGGTACTTCTGAGGTGTCTCTGCTTGTTTCACCAAATCAGGTCTGCTGCTTTGTTTGTTAATCATTTCATACTCGGCCTGGACAAAAATTACATTAACGAAGGCGTGAAGGCCATTTAAAATCGCACTTGTTTGTTGAAGAGGGCTAGATTTTTTTCAAAGTCAAAGTCCTCCTCTAGAACAGCGTTGTCAATAGGTGACCCAAATGCTGCAACGTCCCTTTGTTTAAAGTGCCTATCTTTTTTGCTGGGAGAGCGGACGCCGTCAGGAAAGAGGCATCGACCTTAAATAACCAAATATTGCTGACTTTATGCATTTCTTGATATGATTTTTTAACTTACCACTTGATCCTGGCCGAAGTTTGATGGGGATTTCACGCCTTATAGGTGACAAAGACAAAGCCTGCAAGTCCCGCAACATTCCGTCGTGCGAAGAATGCGGGGCCGCAGCGTGAAAAGCAGATTTAACCTGTCCATTCTGAAAGGGCTGAGGAGGTGGAGCCTGGGCTTGATCTTGTGGGAAAGACTTCTGCAAAATCTCCAGGTCTTTGATGTCAGTTGCCCTAAAAAGAAATATTTGACAATGTTACATACGTTTTTATGTATTTGATTTTGGTTATTTAATTTACCTGATAGTGATTTCTCGCGAAGTGCACTCCGTTTCTGTCTGCATTTCTCAGGGTGATGCTCTGGTCACTGGCCTCAACTTTGGCGATAACACCTTTGAAAGTGCCAAGAACCGAGCCGCAGTTGATCGCAACCGTGTAGCCAACCCACTGTGCTGCCATGATGTTCTTTGAGTAAATGAAAAGCTGCAGCCGCTTGCGAGATTGATGTATGTGGCAGATCGAAGTAATGCGATAAGTAGATCAATTCTAGCTGGTTAATGCTGAAATACTCTTGCTCCAAGTGGGTCTCTTTCGTAGATCAACGAAAGAGAAAACAAGCTTTGCAGCCTTTGCAGGCCGCTTGTTTTTTTGTTGTCTTCTCTAAATCTCTACACTACAAAAAAACAGTCTGACCAACGTAATGAAAACTTGATAAAACAAATTTCAAACCAAAGTTTGCTAAAAAGTGCATATTTATTCTTAAATTAAATTACTGGTACTAAATGCTTTATAATATAAATAATTGGAAAGTGTCAATTGAAAAATTGGTTTGTAATTTTGTAAAATTTCCAAATAAATTGTTATTTTGATAGTAATTAGTAGGCTGCACTGGTCACTTTTTGCAAATAAAAAAAAAAGGGGGGCTGGGCATATCCAGCGAGAAGGTTCAAATTTCACGTATGTATGTATTAATTCTTAATTATATTACTTTGGAATTTTTTAAATATGCACGATTAAGCTTTCTTGGCTTGTAACATGAAATCATATTTTAGCTAATTTAATCGTAGTATTTTGGAAGCTACTGGCTAGTGCGGAAGGCGGGCATAATCATGCTGGCTGATGACAATATCGGACAATATCACTCAACAGGTTTCTTCTTTATAATACAAAATTCATTATTTATCATTTTAATTTTATTCATTTATTAGACAGACCGATGAAATTGAAGGACTTTCTTCAATCTATTTCCCAAATTTTGCAATAGAGGATGAAGACTGCCGTTCTTACAGCATCAAAGTTGGTGTGGAATAATTCTTTATTCCTCTCTTAATTTGTTTGTTTAGACTGTGGCTGTGTCATCGGAGAACTACATTGTGTGTTTTTTTTTTACTTATTATCATTCAATTTATTTACGGCTTACAATTAAATTCATTTTATTTTTTAAGGGCTTCCTTTTCTGGCCATTGTTTTAAGTTGAATTCTTACAAATAAATCTTGCATTTATTTTAAATTTAAAGTAGCTTTAAATTTACAAATAATTAATACAAATTCAATTTGAATTAGCTTGTAGAATTCATGGGATTCCAATTCACTTCAAGGGAATTTTTAGAGGCATTTTAGAATTCAACTGTATTCACAAAACTTTCTAGCAGATGCATCTAGAAAGTTCTCAATGTAAATCAAATGGGTGGGTGGGTTTTGCGCGACCCTCCCAGGGCTGCTACCCGCGCTATAAAAAGCGCTCCGTCCGCTGGCTCGATGCAGAAGGCTGACAGACCTCAGAGAAATCAGAGGTAAAGCTTCGACACTCGAGCCAGCTGACGGAGAGCATTCAACCCTTTGCTCTTTGTTCGCAGGACACCAGGACATCCAGTGCAGTTTCGGACACCCGTCCGAACCCTTCGCACCCGTCCGAGCCGTCTCAAGGCCCCGACCGCTGACTTGTCCCGACGCTGTCTCGTCCGAGGACAGCCGGAAGGCCGACCGCGTCCCGAGCCCCTCGAGCGGCGCACCTATGTGTCCATCGTACTGTCCTGGGTGTGGCTGAGCCGTCCGAAGCCGTACGGAGCAGCTTTGCCAGGTAAGAGAAATTACAATTGTTTCTCCCTGAGGCCTTCTTTTGGCCGAAAGGTCAAACCACTACGTGGGACGGATGTACAGCCGAGTGACCCATTGTTTATGTCCCCAGCTCCTTCCTGTCCATGAATCGGGCGCCGACGTGGCACGCCGCCAGCGAGCGCTCGGACGAAGGCGTCCGAACGTCCGCCGCCAGAGACCCGCACGCCGTGGGCCCCGGCCGCGCCGAGAGCCGCCGCCGACCTGTAGGGAGCCGCCGGGTTCCCAGCAAGGACGTTTCCAGGGCAGCCTGCCGGCCTACCCAGGGAACACCGCTCCCATTTGTTGATTTTTAAGTGACATTGAACGAACAATTTCGAGTCAGTGAAATTTGCTCATTCTGCCAGAATTGTTGTATAAAATAAAGCCCGTGTGTAAGCTGACCCAATTTGTTTAACAAAATAACCCAACCAATATAATTATTCAACAGTTAGCAATAGAAATAATTTAAACAAATAGAACTTATTGAACAATTACCCATTAATAATTTAAATAAAATAGAATTTATTAAACAATTAAATAATCAGTCAGTATAATAATACGCAAACCCCTTACTTGCAACTTCTTATTTTTATTTTGGTTTGCAATAAACTAAATTTGTAATACCAAAGTTGTTGAGGGAGGAAGAGAGGCAATGTTATTCTTTAAGTTTCCACTCAACTACCCAGCAGACAGTCCCCCAATCTACCAAATTTCTGCGCCTTGGCTCAAGGGAGAAGACGGACTTGATGTAGACAATCAGCTTCAGAATGTCTTCCTGTAATTACAGTAATTTGCATTTGATTTTTATTTTGCTACATAATCAATAATATTAATTATATTTTCTTTTCTAGGGAGAACATTGGAGAACCTGTCATTTTCCAATGGGTAGTAAAGCTTCGAGAAGCCCTCAGTTCCTTTCAACCAGTTTCAAATGATTCAATGGAAGAGAAAACAAAATTTAACGTGGATGAAATTAAAGATGTTTTTCCTCATTACCCCCTGATTCACGGAGAACCACTCTCAGCAGGGAAATGCACATTCCAAGGACATGTTGCAATAGTTAAGAACATTAGTGATATCAAGTATGGCTATTTCCGCTTAAAACTTGTCTCGATTTTAACTTCTGTGAACTGCCTCAGATCTGCCTTAAAAGCTCTCCACCAAATCAAAAAAGTAGCTAATACAACCCACAACATATATGCCTACCGCATTCAGAGGTCAGGCAACATTATTAGTGACTGTGATGATGATGGAGAAACTCATGCTGGCAGTCGAATGCTCCATTTACTAGAGGTATTACTTAATAAATATACTAATTAATCTATTCAAAGCTCTAACCATTAGATTCTGAATGCATCCGACGTGCTGGTCATTGTTACAAGATGGTTTGGTGGAGTTCACTTGGGTCCAGCAAGATTCCAACACATCAACAATGCTGCTCGTCAAGTCCTTATACAAGCTCAAATTATTTGTAATGAGAAAAAAACTGTAAAGTAAGTTTAATTCCTACTATTAAAGTGAAAATTTTTGTAAGATCTAACTAATTAATAAATTTTGGAAACAATTACTTCTTCATTTTATTATGGATCAATCAGTTCAAAATTTTCAATGCACTTTATGAGCCAGGAGTATTGGAGAGCTTTGATGTGCTGCATGTTAAACTCAATGAAATTCTTCTTGGTCTTTCCCTTTTCAAAAATGATGTAGTGCGAGCATTTTGCCAAAGGTCCAGATGCGTTTGCATGGAAAGGAACATCGCCATCTCCAGATATATTCTCGGGATCTGGAGACCGAGACAAGACCCGTCCACCCATCACTTTCACAATCTGCATGATGACATCCTTGTTCAAATCAGATCCAAATTTTTCAATGTTGCTGAAGAAAAAATGGCATCCAGCAAACAGACCAGGAAGCTAAATATTAGTAATTTGGGTTTATTTTCTTCTTTCATTTAAAATTCAAACAAACCATGTCGTTGGAATTTATCCTGGCACGCCGGAAAACATTGGGCGTAGTCGAGTTTTTCGTTCCATACAACTCGTATGGCACAGGATCTACCAAAGAACGAGTTTCAACACAAGTGCTTAACCCTAATATATTTAATTTGAAGTCAAATTACGTCAAATAAAGTAAAATTAAATATTCACATTCTGGTCTGACAACCCAAGAACCAGCAGCAATTCCAGTGAGCACTGCTATGGAAGTGTTGCAAATATTATTCTCGTTATTGACAACTACTACCTTCACATCGCCACTGAAATTTTAATCTAGTTTTAACTAAAAGAGAAAAAAAAATGTTTATTTTGGTCTACCTTGGTTTGTTAACGATTTTTCCAGGGTAAATCTTCAAAAATGAAAGCAAGGCAGACTTATGATTCTTGTCTAAACCGCTCGACATGATCAGCAAGGGTCGACCATCAGCAAATGTGATTTCACTTGTCAACGTCGACGAATCTTTTTCAGGAGAGCTTATATTCTGTAAGGCTTCGATGATTTCTGCATTTTTCGTCAATTCCCTGTTACATGACTAATTATTAAAATCAAAAATGTAAAAATAACTGAATTATGAATTACTTGGCTATCTCTCCTTTTATGCTTCTCTGATCAGGATCTGCTCCGAATCTCACGAGGAGCTTGACCATTTCCGTATAACCAGTGGAGACGGCATCATGCAAAGGAGTCAAATATTCTTCTCCACCAGCTGCATTTACTCGTGCACCATGCTCCAACAAAATTTTGGCAATATCCATTCTGTTACTTTGAGCAGCTTCGTGCTATGAATATTTTTGTTCTTACATATAAAAATACACATTTTTACTTTAATTTTTTTTTTTTACCAAAGGAGTCCATCCATTGTAGTCTCGGACACAGCAGTTTGCTCCCAGACTCAGCAGTCTTTCCACTTCTTCAAAATTTTTCTTTATGCAAGCCACATGCACCAAAGTTTCTCCTTTAGTATTTCTCTTGTTGATATCAGGCACAGGGCTGCACAGTGAAGATTTTCTGCCTCTCATTCTCGCTGGAGTTGAAGTTACAGACACCACAGTTGACTCGGATTTCTATAAAAGTGATTCAAAATTTTCGTGATACTAGTCAACATTGAGCGCAAAATATTATTACAGCAGGAGAAGGTACAGGAGTTGGCGATAGTAGTAGCGGTTTGTCTGTAGTTTTTTTAAGTGCTGGAGTTTGTATTGGTGCGTCGACAAGATCAAATTTCTTCAAAAAAGAATTTTTATCAACTAAATTTAATTAATTAATCATTTGGAAAAAATCTCACAGCTGAAGAAATTAAAGTTGACTCCGGCAGTGAAGGTTTTCCTCCAGATTTTCTAGATACTGGTTTTTTCACTGGTGTCTCAACCTCAACAGTTCCTACTTTCAAGAGCGACTCCAAGCTGTGCAAGGCTGTCAGCATTTGCGGATCAACGGAAAACGTGATCGACTCATTGGGTTTGAAATCGCTCTTGCACGACGGACAAGCTGAATATGTGGTGGAACATGCTTGACAAAACGCGTGGCTTACGCAAAGCCCAGGCAGTAGTTCCAGGCTCTCCTCCTCACTGAAAACATGGAATATAACCACGAAGTATTAAACATTAAACCAATTTTATATGCGTGCGATTGCGACAAGACGTATTTACCAGATTTCGCACTGCAAACATTTCAACGCACCAACCACGGCGTGTCTAAATTTTGAGTCGTCAAGTGGCATCTTACTTTTTTCTAGAGTTGGGCTCAAATTAAACTGTCTGAAAAGAATAAAATCATTAAAGGTTCTTATATAAAAATAATGTAAATTTTGAGCAATTCAAGAATTTTGTGCCCAAGCAGCCATTGTTATTCCGCCCAGCTGTGTTATTCCCGGGTCAACCCCGTCAACCTGGATTATCCAATCGCGAAAGCGCCAATTAAGAGTTGCCAACGTTAACGAAAAACGGCGCGCTCGGTCGACCATCATGATTATTAGATGGCCTAACTTCAAAGACAATTTTTTATATTCTACATATTTATAGACTTTTTGGAAGTTTTATTTTAACATTTTATTTATGTAGGCTGGAAAACTCCCACAATGAAAATTTTTGCAGCGCTAGCAAAATAGAATACAATAAGAGAATCCCAATAAATGTTTGCACCAGAGGGCTCCCACCACATGCGCTAGCGAAAATATATATAAATAGCTCAGCACCCTAAAATAACCCACCGCCCAAGATTCAAGTTCAAATCCTTTGTTAAAAGACGTCGAGATTTGAAATCGCGACGCTTTATTTAAAATAATTTAAGGTTGGTTTCAAAATTTTTAGTTAATTCTTACAAGTGCTAATATATTGTTATCTTCTTTTTATGGTTGTACAGTGTGCGTTTAAAGCCAATCATCATAATTTCAAGTGCTTCCGTAACAAGTGAAAAGTGTGCCAGGAAAATTTCTTTTTTAATCTTTTGTGTTCTTCAACTTAACTGCAAAATGAATGGGGAGCTTGTGAAGGATTTGCAAGCTAAAATAATTTTGCACTGGAATGCACGCAATTTCACAACTCTACCAAATGAACTGCAGCATTATGGCTCACACGCAAAAGAAATTTACCTTCGCTGGAACAATATTCATGTTTTGGTAAATTTTATTAATTCCCATCAATTTATAGCTAAATTAAATTATTTTGTAGCCTTCCTGGATTGGATTTAATCTCACAAGTCTGACAAATTTGTATCTTGAATTTAATAAACTCAACAGTATTCCCAACGAACTGTCGTTCTTAAAAAATTTGGAAACGCTTCACCTCGACAGCAACAATTTCACCACAATACCTGAACCTATTTTCAAATTGTCCGCGCTGAAGTGCTTGAAGTTCAGCAGAAATTTAATCAAATCAATACCAAAAGGTTGCAGAGGTATAATTAATAACAATTAATTTTACTAATTTTTTACATATATAGATATTAAAATGCTGAATCATCTGGAATGTCTTGACATATCTGGCAATTTGCTAAAATTCTTGCCATTCGAAATCAGCTTCTGCGTAAATTTAAGAGAAATCAACTTGGGCGAAAACCAATTATTATGGCTGCCTCGGTCTATGACAAGATTACCCAAGTTAGAAATAATTTCAGTAGAGACGAACTCCTTGCATTTTCTGCCAGCACTCCCTTTCCGCAGCCTCCCAATTATTGACATAAGATTAAACAGCAAATTAAATTGGTGTTCCATTCAAGCACTTGGTCAAAAATTTGTGAATCTTGATCACTGCGGAGAGGGGGTGAGCTTAGAAAAAAGGTATTTTATCGATTTTTTTCAAAAGTTTAATAATTAAATAATATTAATAGGTGCGGAGACTGGACTATCGTGAGCCAACAATTTATTGAAACACGCTGTTCTGGCTGTACGCAAACTATTTTTCTTCCAAGTGACTTGAGAATAAGTCACCAAAATGAGTCAACAGTGTCCTCGTTAGTTGAACTTTCGCAAAGAGTCGTGTATGAAAAGTTTTATGCAATTTGCCAAAATGAAGACTTAGGATGCAAAGATGAAGAAGAGGCAATGGATGTTGATGAGGACTTAAAACATTTTAAATTACCAAAAGAAATTGAGAAGCGACTTGAGCAGGGACCATCTGCAATCTGCTTTAAGTGTCAAAGGCCACTCTTCACCCATGTTTATCTTTCCGTTACCCACTCGAATGTGATTCAAATTCCCCATTGCCTTGTATTCTATTGTTCAAAAAGCTGTGCTTCAGAATAAAAATAATCAAGCTGCGAATTGTTACAAAATATTTGTGCGTTTGAATTTATTTTCTTCTCTCATCATATGGATACTGTTTGAAAAAAAAATTAATAATTATTACTTTTAATATTGACGTTATCTATATCTAGGTCGGTCAGAATGATGTCCATATGGATGGTGCCGCGACTGATGCTGGTCTCTATGTCTGTCTGGACCGCGATATGAGTCACCTCTATCCCTCCCGTCTCGTCCTCCTCCTCTCCTGTCATCCCGTCTGCCCTGATCATTCCGATCAGATCTTCCGCGATCGCTTCGATCAAATTGTCTTGGCTGCCTACCAAACCTGCACACACAAATTTTTACTCACGGAAACACAAGACATATGGTCATGATTAAAAATATTGAAATATACCATTTCTCTTCCAAAGGCGGTCCGCGTTGGGTGGATTTGCGGTAATTGATGAACTCGGGGTCCTCGTCTGTGTACCGGGTGCTGAATTCTCGCTCGCAATCTGCAAGAAATTTACGTAGATATTCCGAAACTTCTGCCATGATTTGCGTAGATTTTTAAGAGGGAAAAATATTATACAAATTTAAATCAAGTAGCGGTAGCGCAGTTAAAATTTGTGCATGATCTCTTGCGTTGAGCTTTGTTTACATTTTCCCATTACTAGTGGCTCTAGCTGTCTAGCTCTAGTGGCTAGTGCTACACCTTCTTGCAGTGCTACCAACTGGAAGATGCGCTATGAACGGTTCAGCGTTCAGCGGGTTGGCGCAAGCGATGCACGCGAGCGCCACGAGAGGGCGAAAAAGCGGCGGGAAGAAAAGTGAACGAAAAAGTTAAAAGACTTGCCACTCGTACCATTCATGGACGAGGAGGTACGGGGTACGGGTAGTTGAGTGGGAACTTAAAGAATAACATTGCCTCTCTTCCTCCCTCAACAACTTTGATGCTGTAAGAACGGCAGTCTTCATCCTCTATTGCAAAATTTGGAAAATAGATTGAAGAAAGAGCTTCAATTTCATCGGCCTGTCAAATTAAAGAAAAAAAAATTAAAATGATAAATAATGAATTATGTATTATAAAGAATAAACCTGTTGAGTGATATTGTCATCAGCCAGCATGATTATGCCCGCCTTCCGTACTAGCCAATAGCTTCCAAAATACTACGATTAAATTAAATAAACTATGATTTCATGTTACAAGAAAGCTTAATCGTGCATTTTTATTTAAAAAATTCCCAAGTAAAAATTAAGAATTAATACATACATACGTGAAATTTGAACCTTCTCGCTGGATGCGCAGCCCCTTTTTTGTTTTGTTTTTATTTGCAAAAAGTGACCAGTGCAGCCTACTAATTACTATCAAAATTACAATTTATTTGGAAATTTTACAAAATTACAAACCAATTTTTCAATTGACACTTTCCAATTATTTATGTTATAAAGCATTTAGCACCAGTAATTTATTTTAAAAATAAATATATACTTTTTAGAAAACTTTGGTTTGAAATTTGTTTTATCAAGATTTCATTACGTTGGTAAGACTGTTTTTTGTAGTGTAGAGATTTAGAGAAGACAACAAAAAAACAAGCGGCCTGCAAAGGCTGCAAAGCTTGTTTTCTCTTTCGTTGATCTACGAAAGAGACCCACTTGGAGCAAGAGTATTTCAGCATTAACCAGCTAGAATTGATCTACTTATCGCATTACTTCGATCTGCCACATACATCCATCTCGCAAGCGGCTGCAGCTTTTCATTTACTCGAAGAACATCATGGCAGCACAGTGGGTTGGCTACACGGTTGCGATCAACTGCGGCTCGGTTCTTGGCACTTTCAAAGGTGTTATCGCCAAAGTTGAGGCCAGTGACCAGAGCATCACCCTGAGAAATGCAGACAGAAACGGAGTGCCGTGCACTTCGCGAGAAATCACTATCAGGTAAATTTAATAACCAAAATTACATACATAAAAACGTATGTAACATTGTCAAATATTTCTTTTTTAGGGCAACTGACATCAAAGACCTGGAGATTTTGCAGAAGTCTTTCCCACAAGATCAAGCCCAGGCTCCACCTCCTCAGCCCTTTCAGAATGGACAGGTTAAATCTGCTTTTCACGCTGCGGCCCCGCATTCTTCGCACGACGGAATGTTGCGGGACTTGCAGGCTTTGTCTTTGTCACCTATAAGGCGTGAAATCCCCATCAAACTTCGGCCAGGATCAAGTGGTAAGTTAAAAAACCATATCAAGAAATGCATAAAGTCTGCAATATTTGGTTATTTAAGGTCGATGCCTCTTTCCTGACGGCTTCCGCTCTCCCAGCAAAAAAGATAGGCACTTTAAACAAAGGGACGTTGCAGCATTTGGGTCACCTATTGACAACGCTGTTCTAGAGGAGGACTTTGACTTTGAAAAAAATCTAGCCCTCTTCAACAAACAAGTGTGATTTTAAATGGCCTTCACGCCTTCGTTAATGTAATTTATTCCAGGCCGAGTATGAAATGATTAACCAACAAAGCAGCAGACCTGATTTGGTGAAACAAGCAGAGACACCTCAGAAGTACCGTCACGATGAAAATGTCCTCGAAGCGACTCCTGCCAAGTACAGGCAGATAAAAGTTCCAGGCAACATCTCCCTTGAATATGTGACAGGTAAATTTTGTGCAAATTATTCAATTTTCTAAGATAAAAACAAAAAAATCCTGATCTAGACTCTGGTTTGGTGGTGCCTTCGATTTCGATTTCTCTGCGCAATCAACTTTTGGGACTATCTGAGAGACTAGGAGTCACAATTGAACGACAAGCTGAACTGATGGGAAGAGCGGCGACCGAAATCGCATTGCAGCTTCTGGGAGGAGGTCACAGGTTAATTGAAGACCATAAAAATATTAATTTTTTTATCATTTTTATTAACATACACAGACTGAATCCTCGAAACGCCCATCAACTTCCAAATGTGGTCGTCTTCTGTGGTAGTCAGAGGAGTGCCGTTCTAGGTGCCAACTGTGCCAGACAACTTTCCAGCCACGGCATACCTGTCCAGGTTGTCATCCCTGAGTCAGGAATCTCATCGGAACTCTACAGAGAACTCTCCATGTTTAGACTGACCAAGAACCCTGTTCTCACAAACATGCAATGTAAATTAATTCTTAATAATTACCCAAATCTTAAGTAAAAATATCAATTTTTCTTAAAATTTATAGATTTTATATTTTCTAAATAAGACAATTTAAAATGGCAGATTTTGAAATAAAATTTATAAATTAATTTTTTTTCAACCAGGCTTAACTGGAAAAACTGCCGATCTCATCATCGTGGCCATTGATGACCCACAAATGGACGATTTTCCCAACAAGCCTCTGCCTGACTGGCTTCCCTTTGCCATCAACTGGATCAAGAGCAGCCGAGCACCAGTGATGTGATGGGTCTGGATAATTGAGAGTCAGCAAATCAATAAGATTCCAAGAACTTGCACCACCACTTCCTCAATGAAAAACGCACCGTCCATATTCGGCGCGTTCTTTCGCCTGCAGAGAGAAATGGACAAAATCATTTTTAGTTTTCAGTTGGCCTTTTGCGAAGCTTTATTTGTTACGGAACTGTTGATATTTTCATAACAGGGTGAGAAGATCCAGACCATCCTGAAGGCTGCTGGCATTGAAGTGGAGCCCTACTGACCAGGTCTCTTTGCCAAGGCCCTTTAAAGTGTCTACATCAAGGACCTGATCACCAACGTGGGATCCGGCATTGGAACTGCCCCAGCTGGTGGAGCAGGTATATTAAAATTGTTATTGCTTTGTTTTATTTAGTCTCAAATAAAGAAGCATTTTTTCCCTCACTCTCTTAAAAGTTATTTAAAATAAAATAAAAATTCTTCAGCCGCCGCTGCTGGTGCTGCTGCCCCTGCTGCTGCAAAGAAGGAGGAAAAGAAGGAAGAGCCAGAAGAGGAATCTGACGACGACATGGGCTTCGGTCTGTTCGATTAAGAAACAGCGGACTAACCCAGAATTTCTGTATTCCATGGACACAACATTAAAGCATTTTTTTGCTTAACAGCCCGAATTTTTATTTGATCAAAAGTTCTTCAGTCATAGCGCATTGGTATAAAAATTTAAGGATTGTTTTTGTTAAGAGAAATCAAATTAATTTACGGGGTTTGTTAATGCATTATGTACGTTTTGTTCTTAGTTCTTTTTTATGAATTTTTTGTTAAGTGGGTTTTAAAATTAAAATCCTAATAGTGAAATTAATTTTAAAAATCAGTCTAATAATCTTTTGTGGGAAATCAATTGTTGAGAATTAACAAGTCTATTTTTGGGATGAAAAGTAAATTCTTTTGACGTTGGAGAATTCAGGTACAAAGGTTGCCTGAATTCTCTCACGTCGACCGATGGGTGGGAATATTCTAGTAGAAGGGCAATCTTTTGGTTATGAAAAGTGGGTGGGTGCTTATGGTATATAAGGAGCTCCCCCGTCGGCCGCAGATGTGTGTGAAGTTAGCCTAGAAAAAGGCTGGCCTAGAAAATCGCCAAGGAAGTTGGCCTCGGTGAGCCAACCAACAGCGAACGAAGATGGTCGCGCTACGCGCACAAAAAAGTGGTGGGGGAATGAAGTGTATACAAAGGAGCAGAGGAGAATATATTCAGAACAATTGCTGTGTTCAGATAGAAGGACGGAAGGTTGTTAAAATTATTGCTGTTTTTGACTAATTTGAACATGCCGAATCGAATGGTGAAGGTCCCATTGACCGACCTATCATAGTTTTCGAGAAAGAAAATAAAAAAGTGCAAAAATTTCAATTTTTATTTTTTTGCTCAAAAAGTAAGACGGAATGTTGTTTATATTATTGCTGTTTTTGACTAATTTGAGCATGCCGAATCAAATGGTGAAGGTCCCATTGACCGACCTATCATAGTTTTCGAGATAAAAAAATTAAAAGTGTTAAAAAAGTGCAAAAAAATAAGTTTTTATTTTTTTGCTCAAAAAGTAAGACGGAATGTTATTAATATTATTGCTTTTTTTGACTAATTTGAGCATGAAAAATCGAATGGTGAAGGTCCCATTGACCGACCTATCATAGTTTTTGAGATAAAAAATTAAAAGTGTTAAAAAAGTGCAAAAAAATAAGTTTTTATTTTTTTGCTCAAAACGTAAGACGGAATGTTGTTTATATTATTGCTGTTTTTGACTAATTTGAGCATGCTGAATCGAATGGCGAAGGTCCCATTGACCGACCTATCATAGTTTTTGAGATAAAAAATTAAAAGTGTTAAAAAAGTGCAAAAAAATAAGTTTTTATTTTTTTGCTCAAAACGTAAGACGGAATGTTGTTTATATTATTGCTGTTTTTGACTAATTTGAGCATGCCGAATCGAATGGTGAAGGTCCCATTGACCGACCTATCATAGTTTTTGAGATAAAAAATTAAAAGTGTAAAAAAGTGCAAAAAAATAAGTTTTTATTTTTTTGCTCAAAAAGTAAGACGGAATGTTATTAATATTATTGCTTTTTTTGACTAATTTGAGCATGAAAAATCGAATGGTGAAGGTCCCATTGACCGACCTATCATAGTTTTTGAGATAAAAAAATTAAAAGTGTTAAAAAAGTGCAAAAATTTCAATTTTTATTTTTTTGCTCAAAAAGTAAGACGGAATGTTGTTTATATTATTGCTGTTTTTGACTAATTTGAGCATGCTGAATCGAATGGTGAAGGTCCCATTGACCGACCTATCAAAGTTTTTGAGATAAAAAAATTAAAAGTGTTAAAAAAGTGCAAAAATTTCAATTTTTATTTTTTTGCTCAAAAAGTAAGACGGAATGTTGTTTATATTATTGCTGTTTTTGACTAATTTGAGCATGAAAAATCGAATGGTGAAGGTCCCATTGACCGACATATCATAGTTTTCGAGATAGAAAATAAAAAAGTGCAAAAATTTCAATTTTTATTTTTTTGCTCAAAAATTAAGACGGAATGTTGTTTATATTATTGCTGTTTTTGACTAATTTGAGCATTCTGAATCAAATGGTGAAGGTCCCATTGACCGACCTATCATAGTTTTTGAGATAAAAATTTAAAAGTGTTAAAAAGTGCAAAAAAATAAGTTTTTATTTTTTTGCTCAAAAAGTAAGACGGAATGTTATTAATATTATTGCTTTTTTTGACTAATTTGAGCATGCTGAATCGAATGGTGAAGGTCCCATTGACCGACCTATCATAGTTTTTGAGATAAAAAAATTAAAAGTGTTAAAAAAGTGCAAAAATTTCAATTTTTATTTTTTTGCTCAAAAAGTAAGACGGAATGTTGTTTATATTATTGCTGTTTTTGACTAATTTGAGCATGCCGAATCAAATGGTGAAGGTCCCATTGACCGACCTATCATAGTTTTTGAGATAAAAAATTAAAAGTGTTAAAAAAGTGCAAAAATTTCAATTTTTATTTTTTTGCTCAAAAATTATGACGGAATGTTGTTTATTTTATTGCTGTTTTTGACTAATTTTAGCATGCCGAATCGAATGGTGAAGGTCCCATTTACCGACCTATCATAGTTTTTGAGATAAAAAATTAAAAGTGTTAAAAAAGTGCAAAAAAATAAGTTTTTATTTTTTTGCTCAAAAAGTAAGACGGAATGTTATTAATATTATTGCTTTTTTTGACTAATTTGAGCATGCTGAATCGAATGGTGAAGGTCCCATTGACCGACCTATCATAGTTTTTGAGATAAAAAAATTAAAAGTGTTAAAAAAGTGCAAAAATTTCAATTTTTATTTTTTTGCTTAAAAAGTAAGACGGAATGTTGTTTATATTATTGCTGTTTTTGACTAATTTGAGCATGCCGAATCAAATGGTGAAGGTCCCATTGACCGACCTATCATAGTTTTTGAGATAGAAAATAAAAAAGTGCAAAAATTTCAATTTTTATTTTTTTGCTCAAAAATTAAGACGGAATGTTGTTTATTTTATTGCTGTTTTTGACTAATTTTAGCATGCCGAATCGAATGGTGAAGGTCCCATTGACCGACCTATCATAGTTTTTGAGATAAAAAATTAAAAGTGTTAAAAAAGTGCAAAAAAATAAGTTTTTTTTTTTTTTGCTCAAAAAGTAAGACGGAATGTTATTAATATTATTGCTTTTTTTGACAAATTTAGCATGCTGAATCGAATGGTGAAGGTCCCATTGACCGACCTATCATAGTTTTTGAGATAAAAAAATTAAAAGTGTTAAAAAAGTGCAAAAAAATAAGTTTTTATTTTTTTGCTCAAAACGTAAGACGGAATGTTGTTTATATTATTGCTGTTTTTGACTAATTTGAGCATGCTGAATCGAATGGTGAAGGTCCCATTGACCGACCTATCATAGTTTTCGAGATAAAAAAATTAAAAGTGTTAAAAAAGTGCAAAAAAATAAGTTTTTATTTTTTTGCTCAAAAAGTAAGACGGAATGTTATTAATAATATTGCTTTTTTTGACTAATTTGAGCATGAAAAATCGAATGGTGAAGGTCCCATTGACCGACCTATCATAGTTTTTGAGATAAAAAATTAAAAGTGTTAAAAAAGTGCAAAAAAATTAGTTTTTATTTTTTTGCTCAAAAAGTAAGACGGAATGTTATTAATATTATTGCTGTTTTTGACTAATTTGAGCATGCTGAATCGAATGGTGAAGGTCCCATTGACCGACCTATCATAGTTTTTGAGATAAAAAAATTAAAAGTGTTAAAAAAGTGCAAAAATTTCAATTTTTATTTTTTTGCTCAAAAAGTAAGACGGAATGTTGTTTATATTATTGCTGTTTTTGACTAATTTGAGCATGCCGAATCAAATGGTGAAGGTCCCATTGACCGACCTATCATAGTTTTTGAGATAAAAAATTAAAAGTGTTAAAAAAGTGCAAAAAAATAAGTTTTTATTTTTTTGCTCAAAACGTAAGACGGAATGTTGTTTATATTATTGCTGTTTTTGACTAATTTGAGCATGCTGAATCGAATGGTGAAGGTCCCATTGACCGACCTATCATAGTTTTTGAGATAAAAAAATTAAAAGTGTTAAAAAAGTGCAAAAATTTCAATTTTTATTTTTTTGCTCAAAAAGTAAGACGGAATGTTGTTTATATTATTGCTTTTTTTGACTAATTTGAGCATGCCAAATCGAATGGTGAAGGTCCCATTGACCGAACTATCATAGTTTTTGAGATATAAAATTAAAAATGTTAAAAAAGTCCAAAAAATTCAATTGGGTCTCACAAGGCTGCTGGCCGTTCTGGCTGGCGCCTGACGGCGCTGCTCATTTGCCGCTAATGGGTAGATTTATTAATTTGGACGTTTTATTTTCCATATTTTTCTATTGTGAGACCCACCAACTGATATAAAGGTGCCAGGAGTGAACATAAAATATAAAGTGCAATCCAAAGTGTAATGTATTGTGCTATGGTGTTATGATATCGACTTAATAAGGTACATTATGATTAAGCACAGTTTTGTTTTAAGCAAAGAACACCTAAAAAGAAATTAAAAAAAGCTATAAATAGATATATATATATTTTAAAAAAATTGTTGTTTCAAAATGAGGAAGTTGAATTTGTTAACGAGTTTACTTAATAAGGAGTAATTTTTCAGCCCTCAGGGTTGACTTTTAAAAAACATATCGAAAAGCGAGTGAGAGCGGCTTTACTCTCAATGTATAGTGTAAAAGAATTGCTTTTGATTGACTCAGCATTGAAATTATTTGAGCTGAAATTGGCTCCTATAACCTCGTATGGTATTGAAGCGATTTGGAAGTATTTAAAAAAGGAAGATTTTGTGAAACTGGAATGTGTAAAGAGTAGGTACTTGAAAAAAAGTACTAGGTTTGTGAAAATACACGAGATCTCGCTATGTGAGCTTGTCGATACTGATTTATTTATTTCTGATTTAAAAGTAAAATTTGACCTTCCAGTGAACAATGCATTTGAAACTTTTTGTTATGAACCATTGCTGAAGAAATTCAATATCTGTGATGAATTTTATAAAACGGAGACGATGATTAAAGAAAACTAGCTGGAAGGCGGAGCAATTTAAGGATAGACATGTTTTCACCAGATACGCGTATCGTGGTTTTCACTTTTTGTTTTGTACAAACAGTACATATCACTGTAAAGCACTGAAAAATTGTATCTGCAAATTTTGTGGTGGATTTTGAACACAGTATCATATAATATAATTAATATATTTTTAAAAAAGAAAATGAGTCTGCGCGAAGCAGCAAACTGTAGGTGTGAAGCCAAGTGAATTGGGAGGTTATATTGTTAGAGTAAATTTGTGGCACGCCTACGGCGTTCATTTAATTAATTACATATTTAAAAAAGTAATGCAAAAATAAATATCAAAGAAAAAGCGATCGAAACGGCCAGTGAGCAAAAACTTAATGTCTTGTCAAATAACAAATGACTAAAAATTAGATTTTTTAAACTTTTTTGACACTTTTAATTTCATATCTCAAAAACTATGATATGTCGGTAAATGGGACCTTCACCATTCGATTCGGCATGCTAAAATTAGTCAAAAACAGCAATAAAATAAACAACATTCCGTCTTAATTTTTGAGCAAAAAAATAAAAATTGAAATTTTTGCACTTTTTTATTTTCTATCTCGAAAACTATGATATGTCGGTCAATGGGACCTTCACCATTCGATTTTTCATGCTCAAATTAGTCAAAAACAGCAATAATATAAACAACATTCCGTCTTACTTTTTGAGCAAAAAAATAAAAATTGAAATTTTTGCACTTTTTTAACACTTTTAATTTTTTTATCTCAAAAACTATGATAGGTCGGTCAATGGGACCTTCACCATTCGATTCAGCATGCTCAAATTAGTCAAAAAAAGCAATAATATTAATAACATTCCGTCTTACTTTTTGAGCAAAAAAAAAAAACTTATTTTTTTGCACTTTTTTAACACTTTTAATTTTTTATCTCAAAAACTATGATAGGTCGGTCAATGGGACCTTCACCATTTGATTCGGCATGCTCAAATTAGTCAAAAACAGCAATAATATAAACAACATTCCGTCTTACTTTTTGAGCAAAAAAATAAAAATTGAAATTTTTGCACTTTTTTAACACTTTTAATTTTTTTATCTCAAAAACTATGATAGGTCGGTCAATGGGACCTTCACCATTCGATTCAGCATGCTCAAATTAGTCAAAAACAGCAATAATATTAATAACATTCCGTCTTACTTTTTGAGCAAAAAAATAAAAACTAATTTTTTTGCACTTTTTTAACACTTTTAATTTTTTTATCTCGAAAACTATGATAGGTCGGTCAATGGGACCTTCACCATTCGATTCAGCATGCTCAAATTAGTCAAAAACAGCAATAATATAAACAACATTCCGTCTTACGTTTTGAGCAAAAAAATAAAAACTTATTTTTTTGCACTTTTTTAACACTTTTAATTTTTTATCTCAAAAACTATGATAGGTCGGTCAATGGGACCTTCACCATTCGATTCAGCATGCTCAAATTAGTCAAAAAAAGCAATAATATTAATAACATTCCGTCTTACTTTTTGAGCAAAAAAAAAAAAAACTTATTTTTTTGCACTTTTTTAACACTTTTAATTTTTTATCTCAAAAACTATGATAGGTCGGTCAATGGGACCTTCACCATTTGATTCGGCATGCTCAAATTAGTCAAAAACAGCAATAATATAAACAACATTCCGTCTTACTTTTTGAGCAAAAAAATAAAAATTGAAATTTTTGCACTTTTTTAACACTTTTAATTTTTTTATCTCAAAAACTATGATAGGTCGGTCAATGGGACCTTCACCATTCGATTCAGCATGCTCAAATTAGTCAAAAACAGCAATAATATTAATAACATTCCGTCTTACTTTTTGAGCAAAAAAATAAAAACTAATTTTTTTGCACTTTTTTAACACTTTTAATTTTTTTATCTCGAAAACTATGATAGGTCGGTCAATGGGACCTTCACCATTCGATTCAGCATGCTCAAATTAGTCAAAAACAGCAATAATATAAACAACATTCCGTCTTACGTTTTGAGCAAAAAAATAAAAACTTATTTTTTTGCACTTTTTTAACACTTTTAATTTTTTATCTCAAAAACTATGATAGGTCGGTCAATGGGACCTTCACCATTTGATTCGGCATGCTCAAATTAGTCAAAAACAGCAATAATATAAACAACATTCCGTCTTACTTTTTGAGCAAAAAAATAAAAATTGAAATTTTTGCACTTTTTTAACACTTTTAATTTTTTTATCTCAAAAACTATGATAGGTCGGTCAATGGGACCTTCACCATTCGATTCAGCATGCTCAAATTAGTCAAAAAAAGCAATAATATTAATAACATTCCGTCTTACTTTTTGAGCAAAAAAATAAAAACTTATTTTTTTGCACTTTTTTAACACTTTTAATTTTTTATCTCAAAAACTATGATAGGTCGGTCAATGGGACCTTCACCATTCGATTCGGCATGCTAAAATTAGTCAAAAACAGCAATAAAATAAACAACATTCCGTCTTAATTTTTGAGCAAAAAAATAAAAATTGAAATTTTTGCACTTTTTTATTTTCTATCTCAAAAACTATGATAGGTCGGTCAATGGGACCTTCACCATTTGATTCGGCATGCTCAAATTAGTCAAAAACAGCAATAATATAAACAACATTCCGTCTTACTTTTTAAGCAAAAAAATAAAAATTGAAATTTTTGCACTTTTTTAACACTTTTAATTTTTTTATCTCAAAAACTATGATAGGTCGGTCAATGGGACCTTCACCATTCGATTCAGCATGCTCAAATTAGTCAAAAAAAGCAATAATATTAATAACATTCCGTCTTACTTTTTGAGCAAAAAAATAAAAACTTATTTTTTTGCACTTTTTTAACACTTTTAATTTTTTATCTCAAAAACTATGATAGGTCGGTCAATGGGACCTTCACCATTCGATTCAGCATGCTCAAATTAGTCAAAAACAGCAATAATATAAACAACATTCCGTCTTACGCTTTGAGCAAAAAAATAAAAACTTATTTTTTTGCACTTTTTTAACACTTTTAATTTTTTTATCTCAAAAACTATGATAGGTCGGTCAATGGGACCTTCACCATTCGATTCAGCATGCTCAAATTAGTCAAAAACAGCAATAATATTAATAACATTCCGTCTTACTTTTTGAGCAAAAAAATAAAAACTAATTTTTTTGCACTTTTTTAACACTTTTAATTTTTTATCTCAAAAACTATGATAGGTCGGTCAATGGGACCTTCACCATTCGATTTTTCATGCTCAAATTAGTCAAAAAAAGCAATAATATTAATAACATTCCGTCTTACTTTTTGAGCAAAAAAATAAAAACTTATTTTTTTGCACTTTTTTAACACTTTTAATTTTTTTATCTCAAAAACTATGATAGGTCGGTCAATGGGACCTTCACCATTCGATTCAGCATGCTCAAATTAGTCAAAAAAAGCAATAATATTAATAACATTCCGTCTTACTTTTTGAGCAAAAAAAAAAAACTTATTTTTTTGCACTTTTTTAACACTTTTAATTTTTTATCTCAAAAACTATGATAGGTCGGTCAATGGGACCTTCACCATTTGATTCGGCATGCTCAAATTAGTCAAAAACAGCAATAATATAAACAACATTCCGTCTTACTTTTTGAGCAAAAAAATAAAAATTGAAATTTTTGCACTTTTTTAACACTTTTAATTTTTTTATCTCAAAAACTATGATAGGTCGGTCAATGGGACCTTCACCATTCGATTCAGCATGCTCAAATTAGTCAAAAACAGCAATAATATTAATAACATTCCGTCTTACTTTTTGAGCAAAAAAATAAAAACTAATTTTTTTGCACTTTTTTAACACTTTTAATTTTTTTATCTCGAAAACTATGATAGGTCGGTCAATGGGACCTTCACCATTCGATTCAGCATGCTCAAATTAGTCAAAAACAGCAATAATATAAACAACATTCCGTCTTACGTTTTGAGCAAAAAAATAAAAACTTATTTTTTTGCACTTTTTTAACACTTTTAATTTTTTATCTCAAAAACTATGATAGGTCGGTCAATGGGACCTTCACCATTTGATTCGGCATGCTCAAATTAGTCAAAAACAGCAATAATATAAACAACATTCCGTCTTACTTTTTGAGCAAAAAAATAAAAATTGAAATTTTTGCACTTTTTTAACACTTTTAATTTTTTTATCTCAAAAACTATGATAGGTCGGTCAATGGGACCTTCACCATTCGATTCAGCATGCTCAAATTAGTCAAAAACAGCAATAATATTAATAACATTCCGTCTTACTTTTTGAGCAAAAAAATAAAAACTAATTTTTTTGCACTTTTTTAACACTTTTAATTTTTTTATCTCGAAAACTATGATAGGTCGGTCAATGGGACCTTCACCATTCGATTCAGCATGCTCAAATTAGTCAAAAACAGCAATAATATAAACAACATTCCGTCTTACGTTTTGAGCAAAAAAATAAAAACTTATTTTTTTGCACTTTTTTAACACTTTTAATTTTTTTATCTCAAAAACTATGATAGGTCGGTCAATGGGACCTTCACCATTCGATTCAGCATGCTCAAATTAGTCAAAAAAAGCAATAATATTAATAACATTCCGTCTTACTTTTTGAGCAAAAAAATAAAAACTTATTTTTTTGCACTTTTTTAACACTTTTAATTTTTTATCTCAAAAACTATGATAGGTCGGTCAATGGGACCTTCACCATTCGATTCGGCATGCTAAAATTAGTCAAAAACAGCAATAAAATAAACAACATTCCGTCTTAATTTTTGAGCAAAAAAATAAAAATTGAAATTTTTGCACTTTTTTATTTTCTATCTCAAAAACTATGATAGGTCGGTCAATGGGACCTTCACCATTTGATTCGGCATGCTCAAATTAGTCAAAAACAGCAATAATATAAACAACATTCCGTCTTACTTTTTAAGCAAAAAAATAAAAATTGAAATTTTTGCACTTTTTTAACACTTTTAATTTTTTTATCTCAAAAACTATGATAGGTCGGTCAATGGGACCTTCACCATTCGATTCAGCATGCTCAAATTAGTCAAAAAAAGCAATAATATTAATAACATTCCGTCTTACTTTTTGAGCAAAAAAATAAAAACTTATTTTTTTGCACTTTTTTAACACTTTTAATTTTTTATCTCAAAAACTATGATAGGTCGGTCAATGGGACCTTCACCATTCGATTCAGCATGCTCAAATTAGTCAAAAACAGCAATAATATAAACAACATTCCGTCTTACGCTTTGAGCAAAAAAATAAAAACTTATTTTTTTGCACTTTTTTAACACTTTTAATTTTTTTATCTCAAAAACTATGATAGGTCGGTCAATGGGACCTTCACCATTCGATTCAGCATGCTCAAATTAGTCAAAAACAGCAATAATATTAATAACATTCCGTCTTACTTTTTGAGCAAAAAAATAAAAACTAATTTTTTTGCACTTTTTTAACACTTTTAATTTTTTATCTCAAAAACTATGATAGGTCGGTCAATGGGACCTTCACCATTCGATTTTTCATGCTCAAATTAGTCAAAAAAAGCAATAATATTAATAACATTCCGTCTTACTTTTTGAGCAAAAAAATAAAAACTTATTTTTTTGCACTTTTTTAACACTTTTAATTTTTTTATCTCAAAAACTATGATAGGTCGGTCAATGGGACCTTCACCATTCGATTCAGCATGCTCAAATTAGTCAAAAAAAGCAATAATATTAATAACATTCCGTCTTACTTTTTGAGCAAAAAAAAAAAAACTTATTTTTTTGCACTTTTTTAACACTTTTAATTTTTTATCTCAAAAACTATGATAGGTCGGTCAATGGGACCTTCACCATTTGATTCGGCATGCTCAAATTAGTCAAAAACAGCAATAATATAAACAACATTCCGTCTTACTTTTTGAGCAAAAAAATAAAAATTGAAATTTTTGCACTTTTTTAACACTTTTAATTTTTTTATCTCAAAAACTATGATAGGTCGGTCAATGGGACCTTCACCATTCGATTCAGCATGCTCAAATTAGTCAAAAACAGCAATAATATTAATAACATTCCGTCTTACTTTTTGAGCAAAAAAATAAAAACTAATTTTTTTGCACTTTTTTAACACTTTTAATTTTTTTATCTCGAAAACTATGATAGGTCGGTCAATGGGACCTTCACCATTCGATTCAGCATGCTCAAATTAGTCAAAAACAGCAATAATATAAACAACATTCCGTCTTACGTTTTGAGCAAAAAAATAAAAACTTATTTTTTTGCACTTTTTTAACACTTTTAATTTTTTATCTCAAAAACTATGATAGGTCGGTCAATGGGACCTTCACCATTTGATTCGGCATGCTCAAATTAGTCAAAAACAGCAATAATATAAACAACATTCCGTCTTACTTTTTGAGCAAAAAAATAAAAATTGAAATTTTTGCACTTTTTTAACACTTTTAATTTTTTTATCTCAAAAACTATGATAGGTCGGTCAATGGGACCTTCACCATTCGATTCAGCATGCTCAAATTAGTCAAAAACAGCAATAATATTAATAACATTCCGTCTTACTTTTTGAGCAAAAAAATAAAAACTAATTTTTTTGCACTTTTTTAACACTTTTAATTTTTTTATCTCGAAAACTATGATAGGTCGGTCAATGGGACCTTCACCATTCGATTCAGCATGCTCAAATTAGTCAAAAACAGCAATAATATAAACAACATTCCGTCTTACGTTTTGAGCAAAAAAATAAAAACTTATTTTTTTGCACTTTTTTAACACTTTTAATTTTTTTATCTCAAAAACTATGATAGGTCGGTCAATGGGACCTTCACCATTCGATTCAGCATGCTCAAATTAGTCAAAAAAAGCAATAATATTAATAACATTCCGTCTTACTTTTTGAGCAAAAAAATAAAAACTTATTTTTTTGCACTTTTTTAACACTTTTAATTTTTTATCTCAAAAACTATGATAGGTCGGTCAATGGGACCTTCACCATTCGATTCGGCATGCTAAAATTAGTCAAAAACAGCAATAAAATAAACAACATTCCGTCTTAATTTTTGAGCAAAAAAATAAAAATTGAAATTTTTGCACTTTTTTATTTTCTATCTCAAAAACTATGATAGGTCGGTCAATGGGACCTTCACCATTTGATTCGGCATGCTCAAATTAGTCAAAAACAGCAATAATATAAACAACATTCCGTCTTACTTTTTAAGCAAAAAAATAAAAATTGAAATTTTTGCACTTTTTTAACACTTTTAATTTTTTTATCTCAAAAACTATGATAGGTCGGTCAATGGGACCTTCACCATTCGATTTTTCATGCTCAAATTAGTCAAAAAAAGCAATAATATTAATAACATTCCGTCTTACTTTTTGAGCAAAAAAATAAAAACTTATTTTTTTGCACTTTTTTACACTTTTAATTTTTTATCTCAAAAACTATGATAGGTCGGTCAATGGGACCTTCACCATTCGATTCGGCATGCTCAAATTAGTCAAAAACAGCAATAATATAAACAACATTCCGTCTTACGTTTTGAGCAAAAAAATAAAAACTTATTTTTTTGCACTTTTTTAACACTTTTAATTTTTTATCTCAAAAACTATGATAGGTCGGTCAATGGGACCTTCGCCATTCGATTCAGCATGCTCAAATTAGTCAAAAACAGCAATAATATAAACAACATTCCGTCTTACGTTTTGAGCAAAAAAATAAAAACTTATTTTTTTGCACTTTTTTAACACTTTTAATTTTTTATCTCAAAAACTATGATAGGTCGGTCAATGGGACCTTCACCATTCGATTTTTCATGCTCAAATTAGTCAAAAAAAGCAATAATATTAATAACATTCCGTCTTACTTTTTGAGCAAAAAAATAAAAACTTATTTTTTTGCACTTTTTTAACACTTTTAATTTTTTTATCTCGAAAACTATGATAGGTCGGTCAATGGGACCTTCACCATTTGATTCGGCATGCTCAAATTAGTCAAAAACAGCAATAATATAAACAACATTCCGTCTTACTTTTTGAGCAAAAAAATAAAAATTGAAATTTTTGCACTTTTTTATTTACTTTCTCGAAAACTATGATAGGTCGGTCAATGGGACCTTCACCATTCGATTCGGCATGTTCAAATTAGTCAAAAACAGCAATAATTTTAACAACCTTCCGTCCTTCTATCTGAACACAGCAATTGTTCTGAATATATTCTCCTCTGCTCCTTTGTATACACTTCATTCCCCCACCACTTTTTTGTGCGCGTAGCGCGACCATCTTCGTTCGCTGTTGGTTGGCTCACCGAGGCCAACTTCCTTGGCGATTTTCTAGGCCAGCCTTTTTCTAGGCTAACTTCACACACATGGCCGCAGCACGACTTGCAGATCCGCCTTTTACCGATTAGGTAGGCGACTCTCTTGCCACTGCTGCTGACGGAGGAACTCAAAAGTTAACTCTTTGTTCCCAGGATCGACCACAAGCAGACCGTTCCGTCCCAGACGACCGGACGGCCTCCCTTGCCTCCACCCTGGTCAGTTGTGCCCCCGCCAGAGGATCCCGAGCTGCACCTGTCCCGTCCAACCTTGACGGTAGGAGATACGCCCTCTAGTTCCTTTGCGGTCAGCTGATGGCCCCAATACTGTTCTAGGGCGGACCCTCTCACCGGACAGCGACGTCGGACAGAAGCGGCGCCTAACCCGGACACTCCACCCCGGCTGCTACAAGTCACCCTCCACACCCGTGCCTGCAATTAACCCAGGTAAACTAAGTCCGACTGTGTTGTTGCATTAAATACAACAACCATTTTATCAATAACCAGCCCATACTCACTATTCCCCTAATTTTCAGGCCCTCCAGACGGTGACCTGCCTTGCCGTGGCCCTCAGGAGAAGACCTGGTTCCGCCCGCTGCCATCCGTCCGACCATCACGTCCTGCTGCGAGTCAACCACCTCCGCAGGTGTCCGGACCGTTGCTGCTGCCAGCTGACCAGCCACCTCTGAGGCAATCGTTCCTGCTGCCGGCTGCCGCCCACAGCTACGACCCCGCTCAAGAGCGCCCTTTCTGCAACCCCTTCCCGAAAAACCAAGACTGTATTCCCAAAAAATTAAATCAAATCTCAAATATTTAGAAGTGTACAATTTATAGGGAATATAACCAAACCCACACAGCAGTAACTTATTTTGTTTAATTCCTTTTATTTCCTGAAAATAGTCGAGTTACAAATTGGAAGTTTTCTAAAAAAAAATCAGTACTTTATTTAACAAAAGCCTCTTGCCTGCAATCTTATAAAATAGGAATAAATTAATTTTAAAATTTTTCCTAACCAAATTGGCGATCCTGGTTCACACAGGCAAAGTACTGACAATAAACAAATAGAACAAATTCACAATGTCAACAACAATGTCTTCCTCGTCCACGACGACAGCAGCATCGACGACAACAACAACGTCGACTGCACCAGTAACTTCTGCAACAAATATAACAGGAAGCATCACACAAAGCACTTGGATAAATCCTCCCTTCGGCCCATCCCTCACAGCTCCTGGTTGGCAACCACCTCCTGGTAACCAACCACCCCCTGGTTGGCAACCACCTCCTGGTAACCAACCACCCCCTGGTGGCCAACCACCTCCTGGTGGACCTCCTCCACCTCCTGGTGGACCTCCTCCACCTGGTGGACCACCACCCCCAGGTCTGCAGCCCCCTCCAGGAATGATGGGATTCCAACCTGCAATAGAGCCCAATTATTAAAACCAATGATATCAGTCGACATGATCCCAAGATTCACGGGCCGTTCTGATGGTTCGTCACTTGAGGACTTCTTGTGCTCCGTGGAAGGACTCATAAATTACAATGGCCTCCAACCAAACGACACCAAGTGGGTCTTGGAAATGCGAACGTCTGGTCGAGCACGAGAATTTGTCCGTGCTTTAGACGGCACAGTCCTAGCCAACGTCAATTCTCTGAAGGAAGCTTTCCGAGCAGAATTTCGTCCTCCAACTAGTGACAAGCAACTAGAAAGGGAATTTAACGAGTTAAAGCAGGGACAGTACGAAAGCGTAGAAACATACTACCACAACGTTCAGAGCAAGGCTGCTAAACTGCGTCGACGAACAACCATCCCCATGGGCGTCACACCAGAAGGAGATAAAAATATATGGGACCAACGTTGCTTTAAGAAATTCATTGAAGGTCTACGTCCTGAGCTGTACTTCATCGTGGGGCCGCAAACTGTCAAATCAATGGCCCAAGCGCGTCAAGCAGCTCTCACTGCAGAGGAAACCTTAAACATCACAAAGGCAGCACATATGCAAGCAAACACAACTCCTCAACATCCAATAATGACAAACCAAGTGGACATTGCCACACAAATGATGCAAAATTTGTGGCAAACAAATGAATGGGCGCCCCAACCTCCTCCTTCTGCACAACCGCAAATGTACGGGCCACATTATCCAGCCTACAATCAGATGATGCCTCCGTACATGGGCCAAGTACCTCCACAACAAACACAAAGTCCTTATTGGGCTCCTCAACCAAATGCCATGGCCACAGCGTACTGGAACATGACCAACATGGCCAACATGGTGAATGCGAAGCAGCCTGAAAAAGAAGTACGTTTTAGAGAAGCCAAAATTGAGGAAGAAAAACCAAGAAAACAAATGCTAGCATTACCTGCTCCACCTACAAGACCAGAACGTAGCAGTCGACAAGATTCGAGGCCGAATTCTCCCTACAATGACAGGCGCTACTCAACTCGCTCAAGATCTCGCTCGTCTTCACCAAGTCGACCAAAGATTTGTAATCTTTGCAGGGAGGAAGGTCACTGGGTTGCCGACTGTCCTCAACTCATTTGTGGCTACTGTCGGAAACCGGGACATTGCCCATATGACTGTCCTGCGAAAACAAAAAACATGAATTAGAGGAGCCAGCTAAACAAGCTGCTCCTCGCAATGAGTCTCGGAAAAACACACAAAAACCACTTCATACAGAAACAAATAAACTTCCACCACCTCCGTATAAAATCAGCGTAGGAGTTCAGACCAGTGATGAGAATTCATCAGATACAAATTCGTCAGATACAAATTCATCAGAAACAGATTCATCAACAGACTGCGAATCAGCAAATCAGCAAAAACGTAGCAGACTGAAGCCAGCAAAAGAAACTACCCTGCAATGTCAGATAGAAATTAATTTAGTCAGACCATGTGCAAGTTACACTCTTCTCGCCATGCTGAATAATTGTTTACTCACAAGCCTTTTGATTGATTCCGGAGCAAATGTCAGCTTGTTAACAAAAAAGATAGCTGATAGACTCAACCTTCAACTAATTCCGTTTCAACATAGAGTTGGTTCAGCAAATGGAAGCCAAATTAAAGTCTTGGGACAAGCAGACGTTGAAATCAAAATAGACGACCACTATTACGTCCACTCATTTGTAGTCGTTGAAACTGGAAGAGTCAATTTTGAAGCTTTGTTAGGACAAGATTTTCTGGTACGCCATCAAGTGAACTTACTGGTCTCCGAAGACTCATTAGGTTTCCATTGGGGAAAAGTCAAACTCCTACTTCTCACACCTCAAGCAGCAAACTGCATAACAGTTTCTAATGGTGGCAAAATACGAAGAGCTGATAGAGGTTATGCCAGATGGACGAATAAAACTAGTAAAAAGCTCCCATTCCACCGACAGAACTTCAGACCCGAAAAACCTGGAAAAAATCCAATTTTAGTACACAGCTTCAAAACAAAAAGGCCAACAATTCCCGCAAACTCAATAGCAGCGTTGCCAGTCAGAACAAGATATAAACAATCGGAAGTTCTCACCATTCAGGGCATTGATCTTTTCACAGAAGAAAAACATGAAGAACTTCCAGCAACTCTTTCTGTAGTTCAAGAAGATGGTTACGTCCAGGTTCTGTTTATAAATTCTAGTGATGAACCCATCCAGTTAACCTCCAGCCATCTTCAAAAACTCGAAGTGCTGCAACACGTGGAAAATGAGGAAATAGAAATTAGAGCAATTGGAAGTTTAATAACAGACCGAAAAGAAAAATGCTTTGATTGTGGAACGGCGGGCATCGCTGACGAGGAGTACATGTTGTGCCAAAACTGTATGCAGAAAAACAAGCCATCTGATGTAAGAGAACCTCCGGTCTGGCCGGACACTCCTGGACCTCCAATGGATGATGATCAATTCCTTGCCCTTTTCAACTTAGAAAGCGTCCCACAAGAGTACCTGAAACAATTCAAGAAAATGCTAATTAAGAACAAGGAAGCATTTGCTTATGGAGAAAATACACTGGGATTAATAAAAGATGAAGAGGTAGAAATAGACACAGGAGACACGCCCCCCATTAGATTAAAGCCCTATAGAGTGCCATACCTCCAAAGACATGAGATTTCAAAAGCAGTAAAAGAAATGCTCGAAATGGGGGTGATACAACCATCCACCAGTGAATACTCATCACCTCTCCTTCTTGTGAAGAAGAAAACAACAGATGGAAAGTTAAAATGGCGTTGCTGTGTGGATTTCCGAGCCCTAAATAAAGTCACAAAAACACTCGTCTACCCCTACCCACATACGCAAGAAATATTAGACGAGTTTGCAGGAAGTAAATATTTTTGCGTACTAGACATGACAAATGGATTTTGGCAACTACCCCTTTCAAAAAGAAGCAGAGAGAAAACAGCGTTTACTTGCGACGATGGCCACTTTGAATTTACAAGAATGCCCTATGGAATAAAAAATGGACCACCCCGATTCAGCAAAACGATTTTACAGGGCTATGCAGATAAACGGAAAAAGGGAGTGGTAATCTTCATAGATGACTTCTGTCTATATGCCCTTACAATTCTCATGCTGATCAGCTTACTGGACGAAACGTTTCAAAGAGCAATCCACTTGGGTTTGAAATTTGGCCCAGCCAAATGTCAGCTGATAAAAACTCAAGTAGAATTTTTGGGTTTCATCATCGACGAACACGGTGTGCACCCAAATCCAGACAAAGTGAAGGCCATCAAGGACAGAGGACAGCCAAAAACTGTGAAAGAAATCAAAGGATTAGTGGCGATGGGGAACTTCTACAGACGACACATACCATCATACAGCGAGATAGTCGCTCCTCTCACAGACGTCCTTAAGGGGAAAAAGCCAAAATTCAGGTGGCAAAAAGAGCAACAGGAGTCTTACCAAAACCTGCTTCAGGCACTGGAAAATATGGTGACAACGGCTTTCCCAGACCTCACCAAGCCGTTTCACCTCACAACAGACGCAAGTGCGAAAGCTGTCGCAGCTGTCTTAGAACAGGGGGACACCGACGAAGAGCGACGACCAGTTGCGTTCTTCAGCAAAAAACTGGCAGGCGCACAACAGGCCTACTCAGCCTGCCAACTCGAATGTCTCGCCGTCGTTGCAGCAGTTGAACACTTCAGGGTGTACCTGGAAGGAAACTTATTCCACCTGTGGACAGATCACAGCAGTTTGAAATGGCTCCTACACACAAAACCACTCAAACCTATGCTTGGAAGATGGATTCTCCAACTGCAGCAGTTTGATTTTGTGGTCCACCACGCCCCAGGAAAAACAGTCCAGCGAGTAGATTTTCTCTCCAGGCCAGAAATAGACGTTCTGCAAATAGGAACACAAAAATTAGAACTGGTCTTAGGCCTCAAGCATGGATTGAATGTTGAGCAATTAAAACAATCACAAGCGCAAGATCCAGCATGGAAGGATATTATAAACAAAAAGCCCAAAATGTCCGATGAGGGCGAATATTTCCTCGACAGACGAGGCCTTCTATACAGATGGGGAAAATCAACGGCTCGCTTGTGCATCCCCAATGATCACGTTCTCAAGATAATGCTGCTCCACCACCAAACAGCTTGGGGGGGACATTGGAAGACGACGAAATTACGAGAAGCCCTTACCAAAAGGTACTACTGGCCGAAGATGGATCAGTCGATATCAGACCACCTTCATAACTGCGTCGAATGCCAGTACAGAAAGCAGAACCAGCCACTTCACGCCCCCCAGCAGATACAAAAAACGACAGTCCGTGTTGGAGAACTTTGGTATGCCGATATTGTAGGACCTTTGCCTAGAACAAAAAAAGGGTTCAAATACATTCTCACAATGTATGAGGCACATACCAAATATGTAGAAGCAGCTCCTCTAGAAGATCAAACAGCAGAATCAGTGGCACGAGCTTTTGTCGAGACCGTAGTGTGCCGCTATGGAGCAGTCGAGGGCCTCATCACCGACAATGGAACAAACTTCGTCTCCAGGCTATTTGAGTCAGTCTGCGAAATATTGAAAATCAAGCATATTACAACATCGCCATATAGACCAAATGCGAATTCAGTAGAAGCAGTGCACAAAGGGTTAATTGACTTCATAGCTATTTTTACGGAGCATGAAACAGATGAAGAATGGAGTGATTTCCTCCCATTTGCCCTACTAGCTATAAGAGCAAATGTTCACACAGCTACAGGTTTCTCCCCAAATAAACTAATGTTTGGCTTTGATATGAAACTCCCCTGGGATGAAATTACCCACCCAGACATGAATGTCAATCAGCAGGAAGAGTTTTTCCAACCAACTGAGTACTTGGATTTGTTGAAACTAGATTTACAATTAGCACGGGAAGCAGCTATTTCAAAAGACCTTTTCTCCAAATATAAAACATGGCAAAAGGCTGGAGGTTCAGAACAAGTTTACGACGAATTACGCCTTGGTGACAGGGTGGTAATTAAAAATGAAACCCCACAAAATAAATTTGCCGGCAGATGGAAAGGTCCATTCCGTGTAATTGATAAATTAGGTCCCACAACTTATAAATTAGAAAATGTGGACACGGGAAAACAATTTAAGTACCACTTGGGCAAAATGAGGAGATTGGAAAAACTTCACAAAGCACCAATGGCTGTAATTTTCGCAAAACCAGCAGAAAATACAAATATTCAACAGGGGATATTAAACCCCATTGCCCAACCACCCTCATTAAACCAGCAAATACCTCCACCCACACCCGCCCCGCGAACCAGTTTAACCCTTCCGCCCGTACCGAGAAGTAGAATACCTTTACCAGCAACTCGTTCTCTTCTGCCTCCAACGGTCGACAACGACGACGACTTGCCGACCTTCGAGCCGGATGATTCGGCAGCCGACGACTTCAGCCGCTCCCGCATTCCGAGAGGCCGTCCATCACGGACGCCAAGCCGTTTTCCGAGTGCCATCCGGGCTCGCCATCCCACGCGGACGGCATCCGACTCGCCGGTACGAACACCTGCAATTCAAAGAGGTCGGTCATCGACGCCAACACGAAGGGGACGACCCCCAGGGCGACCACCAGGGACGCAAAGAACACGAACGGCAAGTGCCGGATCAACAAACTTACGTCCCGCGGCACCAACTCGCACGCCTTCAAAAGATAGAACATCCTCAGCCGTGGACAAATTCGGCCTCCGTCCGAATCCAGCACTGTCCAGGAAAGCCGCCTGTGCCCTCGGAGACCCAAATTGTTGCGAAAAACACGCACATTAAGTTAATTCAGTGCAGAACACGGCAAATTATACATGCACCGCCGCCATTTTCAAAGAAATCCAAACACCCAAACATACCGGTGCTGCCACCACACGAGCTACCCACAACCACTTGTTGCTGGTACGCCCCCTTTGCTCAGACATAAACACACCAAACCTGCAATTTGGTATAAACATACACATTCACAACACACAGATTACACAGTAAGGAAAAGTTTATTTTTTGTTAATCACAGTAACAAAGACTACTTGAACAAAGTACATAATGGGGGGGGGAGTTGGTATAAAAATTTAAGGATTGTTTTTGTTAAGAGAAATCAAATTAATTTACGGGGTTTGTTAATGCATTATGTACGTTTTGTTCTTAGTTCTTTTTTATGAATTTTTTGTTAAGTGGGTTTTAAAATTAAAATCCTAATAGTGAAATTAATTTTAAAAATCAGTCTAATAATCTTTTGTGGGAAATCAATTGTTGAGAATTAACAAGTCTATTTTTGGGATGAAAAGTAAATTCTTTTGACGTTGGAGAATTCAGGTACAAAGGTTGCCTGAATTCTCTCACGTCGACCGATGGGTGGGAATATTCTAGTAGAAGGGCAATCTTTTGGTTATGAAAAGTGGGTGGGTGCTTATGGTATATAAGGAGCTCCCCCGTCGGCCGCAGCACGACTTGCAGATCCGCCTTTTACCGATTAGGTAGGCGACTCTCTTGCCACTGCTGCTGACGGAGGCACTCAAAAGTTAACTCTTTGTTCCCAGGATCGACCACAAGCAGACCGTTCCGTCCCAGACGACCGGACGGCCTCCCTGGCCTCCACCCTGGTCAGTTGTGCCCCCGCCAGAGGATCCCGAGCTGCACCTGTCCCGTCCAACCTTGACGGTAGGAGATACGCCCTCTAGTTCCTTTGCGGTCAGCTGATGGCCCCAATACTGTTCTAGGGCGGACCCTCTCACCGGACAGCGACGTCGGACAGAAGCGGCGCCTAACCCGGACACTCCACCCCGGCTGCTACAAGTCACCCTCCACACCCGTGCCTGCAATTAACCCAGGTAAACTAAGTCCGACTGTGTTGTTGCATTAAATACAACAACCATTTTATCAATAACCAGCCCATACTCACTATTCCCCTAATTTTCAGGCCCTCCAGACGGTGACCTGCCTTGCCGTGGCCCTCAGGAGAAGACCTGGTTCCGCCCGCTGCCATCCGTCCGACCATCACGTCCTGCTGCGAGTCAACCACCTCCGCAGGTGTCCGGACCGTTGCTGCTGCCAGCTGACCAGCCACCTCTGAGGCAATCGTTCCTGCTGCCGGCTGCCGCCCACAGCTACGACCCCGCTCAAGAGCGCCCTTTCTGCAACCCCTTCCCGAAAAACCAAGACTGTATTCCCAAAAAATTAAATCAAATCTCAAATATTTAGAAGTGTACAATTTATAGGGAATATAACCAAACCCACACAGCAGTAACTTATTTTGTTTAATTCCTTTTATTTCCTGAAAATAGTCGAGTTACAAATTGGAAGTTTTCTAAAAAAAAATCAGTACTTTATTTAACAAAAGCCTCTTGCCTGCAATCTTATAAAATAGGAATAAATTAATTTTAAAATTTTTCCTAACCAGCATCTTCCAGTTGGTAGCACTAGTAATGGGAAAATGTCAGAAGAATTCAGCACCCGGTACACAGACGAGGACCCCGAGTTCATCAATTACCGCAAATCCACCCAACGCGGACCGCCTTTGGAAGAGAAATGGTATATTTCAATATTTTTAATCATGACCTTATGTCTTGTGTTTCCGTGAGTAAAAATTTGTGTGTGCAGGTTTGGTAGGCAGCCAAAACAATTTGATCGAAACGATCGCGGAAGATCTGATCGAAATGATTAGGGCAGACGGGATGACAGGAGAGGAGGAGGACGAGACGAAAGGGACAGGGGCGAATCTTATCGGGGTCCAGACAGACATAGAGACCAGCATCAGTGGCGGCACCATCCATATGGATATCATTCTGACCGACCTAGATATAGATAACGTCATTATTAAAAGTAATAACCACATTTATTTTATAAATTTTTTTCAACAAGTATTTATTCATATGATGAAAGAGAAGAAATAAATTCAAACGCGCAAACATTTTGTAAAAATTTGCAGCATAAATATTTTCATTCTAAAGCACAGCTTCTTGAACAAGAGAATTAAAGGATATGGGGAATTTGAATTTTATTTTATACTTTTCAGACAGTTTAATTTGAGCCCAACTCTAGAAAAAAGCAAAATGCCACTTGACGACTCAAAATTTAGAAACATTGTGGTTGGTGGGTTATCAAATATACAATTGTTTTTTGTTTATTCAAAAAACATGCTATAGACGGACAACAAGAACATTAGAGTGAAGGAAAGCACCATGTTGATGCTGATGTCAAACAAGGAAAAGTTTCTCATGAGGATGGCGAGGCTGAAATGTGAAAAAATATTAGACAAATATAATAATAATAATTATTAACACTTAACAAGTGTTAATGAGAATGCTTGGATGTGGTGAAAGATTAATAAAAAAAATTAACCTCGCGAACGCCTCAACATTTGAGTATGTGACGACTAAAAGCCAGTGTTCTCTAGGGAGTAGCAGAGGTGCCAGACTTTAAAAAACAATTAAATTAAAAAATAAATTATGGATTATTTTATAAATTTTTTACATTATTGTGGACGAGGCGATGACAGTGAGGTGCTGAAATTCCATCTCTGTCATGGCGGGTACTTGACCTGTGATCAAACTGGCGACGGCCTGACTAATGTGAATCGCAAGATTCACCTGCGCCTCAGGATAGATGATCCGGCAAAGAAACAGCAGTATCTTCAAACCTCTTTCTGGAGTGTTCCCTGAAAAAAAAGAATAAAATAAAAGATTTATAAAAAGGTCCACTCCACCCTGCCTGTACGTCGAGGGAGTGAGAGAAAGCGCAGGCGAGAGGCGAGTTCTTCACAATAACCTGCCTCTTCAATACTTTAAAAAAAAAAGCTCACCATGAAGAAGATTCATGCGAGCAGACAGTCCCCTCGCTGCACTTAACACGACACACAGTGACAGGGTAAGGACAAACATTTTATAACAAGCTCTTGAATTTTCGCATTAGTAACAACTGCACTGAAATCAGGAGGGAAATGATTTTGATGGGATATCTTCGCGCCAAACACCAATTTCACATTTCTTTGTAACAGCTCTCTGATGATCGATGATGTTTATGGTGGGTGTGATACATACGAGAAAATTGGATGCCCAGCCCCTTTTTTTTGTTTTTATTTGCAAAAAGTGACCAGTGCAGCCTACTATCAAAATAACAATTTATTTGGAAATTTAACCAGCTAGAATCGATCTACTTATCGCATTACTTCGATCTGCCACATACATCCATCTCGCAAGCAGCTGAAGCTTTTCATTTTTCATTAAATTTACTCGAAGAACATCATGGCAGCACAGTGGGTTGGCTACACGGTTGCGATCAACTGCGGCTCGGTTCTTGGCACTTTCAAAGGTGTTATCGCCAAAGTTGAGGCCAGTGACCAGAGCATCACCCTGAGAAATGCAGACAGAAACGGAGTGCCGTGCACTTCGCGAGAAATCACTATCAGGTAAATTAAATAACCAAAATTACATACATAAAAACGTATGTAACATACATTTTTCACTGTCAAATATTTCTTTTTTAGGGCAACTGACATCAAAGACCTGGAGATTTTGCAGAAGTCTTTCCCACAAGATCAAGCCCAGGCTCCACCTCCTCAGCCCTTTCAGAATGGACAGGTTAAATCTGCTTTTCACGCTGCGGCCCCGCATTCTTCGCACGACGGAATGTTGCGGGACTTGCAGGCTTTGTCTTTGTCACCTATAAGGCGTGAAATCCCCATCAAACTTCGGCCAGGATCAAGTGGTAAGTTAAAAAACCATATCAAGAAATGCATAAAGTCTGCAATATTTGGTTATTTAAGGTCGATGCCTCTTTCCTGACGGCTTCCGCTCTCCCAGCAAAAAAGATAGGCACTTTAAACAAAGGGACGTTGCAGCATTTGGGTCACCTATTGACAACGCTGTTCTAGAGGAGGACTTTGACTTTGAAAAAAATCTAGCCCTCTTCAACAAACAAGTGTGATTTTAAATGGCCTTCACGCCTTCGTTAATGTAATTTATTCCAGGCCGAGTATGAAATGATTAACCAACAAAGCAGCAGACCTGATTTGGTGAAACAAGCAGAGACACCTCAGAAGTACCGTCACGATGAAAATGTCCTCGAAGCGACTCCTGCCAAGTACAGGCAGATAAAAGTTCCAGGCAACATCTCCCTTGAATATGTGACAGGTAAATTTTGTGCAAATTATTCAATTTTCTAAGATAAAAACAAAAAAATCCTGATCTAGACTCTGGTTTGGTGGTGCCTTCGATTTCGATTTCTCTGCGCAATCAACTTTTGGGACTATCTGAGAGACTAGGAGTCACAATTGAACGACAAGCTGAACTGATGGGAAGAGCGGCGACCGAAATCGCATTGCAGCTTCTGGGAGGAGGTCACAGGTTAATTGAAGACCATAAAAATATTAATTTTTTTATCATTTTTATTAACATACACAGACTGAATCCTCGAAACGCCCATCAACTTCCAAATGTGGTCGTCTTCTGTGGTAGTCAGAGGAGTGCCGTTCTAGGTGCCAACTGTGCCAGACAACTTTCCAGCCACGGCATACCTGTCCAGGTTGTCATCCCTGAGTCAGGAATCTCATCGGAACTCTACAGAGAACTCTCCATGTTTAGACTGACCAAGAACCCTGTTCTCACAAACATGCAAGGTAAATCAAATTCTCAATAATTACTCAAATATTAAGTAAAAATATATTTCAATTTTTCTTCAAATTTTTAGAGTTTATATTTTCTAAATGGGACAATTTAAAATGACAGATTTTGAAATAAAATTTATAAATTGATTTTTTTCAACCAGGCTTAACTGGAAAAACTGCCGATCTGATCATCGTGGCCATTGATGACCCGCAAATGGACGATTTTCCCAACAAGCCTCAGCCTGATTGGCTTCCCTTTGCCATCGACTGGATCAAGAGCAGCCGAGCACCAGTGATGGGTCTGGACCCTCCCCCGCAAGGCACTGGGGTTGAACTCAAGTTGTCCCTGGTGGGTTCCCTTCCTCTGGCCCACAGTCCAAACAACGGGAACTTATACCTCTGCAACATGGCACTTCCAGTTTCTATTTATCAAGAACTGGGGATCACCTACAAATCACCGTTTGGTCCCAAGTTCTTCATTCCCATCCATCAGAAGTCATAAATGAATTTTACATCTTGAGGCTGAATCGATAACATCTAGAAATTTTGTATTACGTATTGTGTTCTGCCTCGAACTATTTATTTTTAATGTGTCAAAAATAAATTAAACCAAGTGTTACGAATTTTATTCATTTTTTTTTTATCTTTCAACAAAAATTTCTTTAAATATATATTTTTGACAAGGAAATTTAAATCTGAAATGATGGATGAAATAAAAAAAATTGATTAATATATTTAAAAAATATTTCTTTGTTTTTACTTCACGGATTTGAAATGATACAAATTGGCAATAGTTTGAATTTTCCATGCAATCAGCACATGGGAGGTTGCCGAGGCCACCAATTAGTTGCATTTTTGGAGTATTACTTTGTGGAAAACAAGCATGACTCACGCACACACACTACTGCATGGGTGTGTTTCCAGCCAGAAAAATAATGCCACTCAAAAAAAGAAATGGCCACAGGGGGTTGATGGGGTGGGGCAAGAATTAATAACAATAATAACACGCGGCCACTCGAAAGCTCAAACAAGAGCAAATATTTAATATGGCAAAGTGCTTGAAGCTGGAATTGTAATTAGTAGTGTAGCACGCAGAGACCGAAAACCAGCAACATGTTTAGTCTAATGCTGCAGAGGCCTAAAACACCAATAGGGGACCATCCTGGCATGATACATTTTGAAGCAGACGGCTCAGAACCATCTTCCGAAGGCAACACTACGCGACTTCTAATTTACAAGGTAAATGAAATAAAATGCATGGTTCTTTTATGCATAGAAAAATAATGAATGGAAGAGAAATTATATTATTAAGAGAAATTATAATCTATCATAACAAAAAAAAAATTTAAATTTGGAATTACATTAAATTTTACTGCAATGGAATTTGGTATTTGTGCAGCGTAAAAAGGGTGACATATTAAAAAATAATATTATCTTTGTACAAAATGCTATTTTTCTTGGTTGCGCGTGTAAACAGAAGTTGCTAATCTGACAGTATTTCCACACATTTATAACGTTAGGTGCTTATCCCCCTGTAACCAACAAAATAACCCTTGACGCTTTACCAACCGCACACAGTTTATTTATGTTTTACATTATGATAACAGCGTGTCTTTTTTAGAACAACAGAAAACTTCAAATATACAGGCGGGGTATAAAAAATATTGGAAATTTATTTAATAGATATTTCAATAAAAATAAGGAAAAAGGGATTTTAACTTTTGTTTAATCTGTAAACTCCCAACTCTAGTTTTAGAGTTTAGATAAAAAGTCTAAAGTTTTTTTTGCAGCCCTTAATTAATTTAATTTAATTTTATTGTTAAAAACTCTTCTTTCGTGAATTAAAATAAAAAAGATATTACACCAAAATGTAGATAATTTTTTTTTAATCAGAAATAAAATAATCTATTTTTCTGATATCCCCGACGTCACAAATTCTATAGTTAAAATTTATTCCGCGATTTATGCTTTAATTTAAACAGACGAGTAAAATTAAAAATAATGCGAGATAACCTTTTACCTCGCGAGACAAAAATTTAACTTCAAAAGTTATTTTTATGACATAATCAAAAGGAGCGAAAGTGTATGAAAAAGTCTAGTTATGCAACACGCTGTGCATTGTTGTCCAACATGTTGCCTAACCGTGGCGCTCCAGGCGTTCGCAGCCTTGAATTTATTAATGATTTTTTTCAAGTACTATCAAACATGAAAAATATTAAAAATTTTCAAGAGATATTTTTTGTCATAGAGAGAGCTTTGAGCATACTTCAGATGCAGGTCGTGCAGACTTTTGCTTAAAAATCAATACTAATTGTAAGTAAGAGGAAAATTCAACCAATTCTATTTACTTTGTAGAGTGATTCTCTAAGCTTGTCCCGGGTGACTTATTCAGTTATTTATTCAAATCCGCTTACAGAGCTACATAATAAATGCGAATAGAAGATTACTCTGAAAGAAGTGGATGCAATACGACATCGCAAATCACCAGCAATTTCCCTGAAATTGATGCTCTAGTTCCGAGTGAGGCATATTAAATCAAACGAAGCCCTCGCCGTGCAGCTTTCCCACTGCGTCGATTCGTTTTATTTCTGTCCGATGAATAATTCAACAGGAAGAGGAAAACGCAATGTGCAGAATTCGTGTCCTTGCCCATAAATGCTCAAAGCCCCAAGGTCTGCTATGTGCCCGAGAGGGCCAATCTGAATTTCTTTAAAACGATCTCCCCCCGGCGGGTTTCTTCGGGCAGTTAATATTCGCTGCCCGCGCACAGGTAGCAGTCGTCATAAAAAAAAACGAGCCGATCCGAGATTATATTGTCACGGAAGGCCGCTGAAAATTTATTTTTTAAATATGAGTGACGTCACTACTCTGCTATACACCGCCTGTTGTTGCAGCAGCTCTCAATGCACACATACGCGGGAAATTCATAAGACTAGCGTGTCGTGCCCAGTGGCGTATTCAGTATTAAAAGAACAAAAGAGTCCCGAAATGGATTTTTTTTTCTGAGCAAAAAGCTTCCATTAAATGTTTTCTTTTTTCCACGTTGACATTTTGCTGAATTAGATGGGCTCCGTTGCGTCGCTGCGGGCAATGAATTTGCACAAAAAACTGCTTCCGCGTCCATGAGTTTCCAACTCGGAAAATTTGCACACGTTACCAAAAAGTCTCTTGGGGAAATGAAAAAAAAATCAAATCATGCACACAATACCGAAAAGTCTCTCGGGGAAATAAAAAAGCAAATCAAACACTCCCGTCAAATCAATCAAACAATTTCCCACGGTAAACTGACCAGACTGGACAATTTTTGGTAAACACCAGCAAATAAGTAGAAAAATTCAGGTAATTGTAAAATGAGCAAATTATGATAACTTTTTAGCGACCGCGCTGTTTTTGAAAATTCTGAAAATCTAAAAAATCTAAGTCTTTATTTATTCAAATTCGAGAAAATATAAATATTCTCTTTTTAATCAGCAAATTCATGCATTTTTTTTCTTCTTTTTTATCAATGAGTCAAACAAGAAACTTAAAAAATGAGCGAAGGTGTTCATCACCTGTTCGCACGCGGACCCAGTCACGCCGCTGGCCGTGTCACGGAGGCCGTCGTCGTTCAAAGAGCAGTATTATGGCGAGCGTGTATATTCCGTGTCTGGCGGAACAAAGGCGTTAGTTGGGCAACACGCCATGCACGGCCTCGGCAGCCTCTCGGGGCGTGCATTAAAAAAGAATTAAGCAGTTGCGGTGCGGCGGCGAAATACGTGTACGCATTCCAGATATGTTGTTTTCCGCAGAAGAAATGTTGGTCCTCATCAGCAGTTAGCAAATGGACGAGATCAAGGTGAGCAGCAGTGCGTGATCGAAAAGCACTCACAGGTTGTTCAATCGCTGGCTTACGTGTTGACTTGAAAAGACCCTTTCTTTCGTAAGTTGGCGCTGCACAGATTTTATCTCGCAATTAATCTCCATGATCTTTCTTTGTTTGCCCGACGATAATTTTCCTAACTTTCGTAATATTTGTTCAGCTCCGGCTCAGAACGTGACCTGATTTTATGGAATAGGGGAGAAAAAGGGCGTTTATTTTCTAGATTTTGTTTGCTGTGCCACAAAATTGAAATAGTTTTTATGGAAATGAATATATCGGGCTTTTCCTCGTTGAAAAATTGTTTTAATTAGAAAACAAGACGGCACTATCAGTTTCGGTCACGGTCTGCGTCCAAGAGCAAGAAAAATGCAGAAAATAAGCAAAATTTAGAAAACACCACATTTCAACATAAAAATTAAAATCTTAAAACTAACAAAATTCAAGTGCTATGAACAAACGCGCTGCCAAGTTATTTTTAACATACCAAAAAAAACCAAAATTACAAAAAAAATCACAATTTAAAAAAAAAGCAAACTAATTATTTTACGCTGATTTTAAGTATTTTCACTAAACTAATTATAAAATCCATCATTTTTGAAAAGTTAAATTATCTTACTTCACTTAAAATGAAATATTTTGATATTTTAGGGCTATAATATTAAGGAAATGAAGAAAATCGGACTTTTCCTCGTTGCAAAAATTGTTTTTATTCAAAAACAAACATGAGCCGTTTGGTTTTTGAATAAAAACAATTTTTGCAACGAAAACTAGCCCGATTTCCTTCATTTCCAAGATCATCTCCTCTTCAAACAAAATATAATATTATGTTTGATCATTTATTTATTCTTTTTTAGGGGCCTAATTTTTGAAAACAAAATTCATACAAAACGCGCTCATTCGTAAAGAAATACCTAAATAATAAAATATAGATAAAAGTTATAGATATTGTATAAAATAATATTACATGTTATGCTATTTACAATTTTGCACTTTTTACAATTTTGTACCTAAAATAAAAGCAAGTAGGTAACATTTGCCTAAGAAATGTGAACATATTTTTGGGGTTAATAAATTATTAAAGAACTCCAGTTTAAAAATGAATTTAAAGGAAAAATATATTACAGAAGTGTAGGAGTACCCAGTAAAAATTTTTATTCTATTTTCAACAAACTTTCTTGTCTTGCTCATTATCACTAGATTGGGTTATCAATATTTGTATGTATTAGTCAGGAACTTCAGAGCAACGTACAGATTTGAATAAAAACACTTTGTGCTAATCCGACTGTGAAGTTTATCGGCGATGGTCTTTCCTTTTGATGTTCTGAAAAAAGTCTTGCAGCTTCTCTATCAGATTTTTTGGTATAAAAAGCCGAGACTTCTGCAAGAGACAATAACAGCGATGGTCGCGCAAAACCTAATCGAAAAATAAGTTATAAATGAAATTGGGATATAAATCTCCTCCCATTTTTAACAGCCCTTTTATTTGAAAGGTCAATTGCAATAAAAAGGTGCCATGTGCGCCGACGGGCCTCTTTTTTACTCCCTTTTTATTATTGCGAGCAACTTCATCACGCTCGACGAAGGCGTTCGTGCCATTATTACCCACACCGCCGCTGCAATCGTTATTCTCTTTTATACTTTCGCCGAAACCAGCACTGTTGTGCAAACGCACATTAATCCGCTTTCAACAAAAAGTCCATGGAAATCGCAAATTTGTTTGTGGCAAATAAAGCGCATTTTCACGAGTTTGTAGTATGAGCGAAAATAGATCCCTTTGTTGAAAAAATGTATTCAGATTAAAAATGGCCTGTTAACCGTTGCATTTCGAGATGCGTTGGATAAGAAAAATATCACAAGAAGCTCTTAGTAAATTATGAAATTTTAAATGAGGAAAATAATTTAGCTTATAAAAAACTTCTTGTTATACTTGATAATGAAAGCATTGGAAAATTCTATCTTTAATCCTTAAAAAAAAATACATATATTTATGCGCAGGGCTTCTCTTTAAAGAGCTTTTTAATATCAGTTTCTTTTGACATAGCAGCAAAGGGTGCTTTAGGGGTCGCGTGTGTTGATGGGAATTTCGCTTAGGCTCATGAAAATTCTTATTAAAATTACATCCTGCCAAGAATTTCACGGACAAAGAAGCGTTTTGCTGGATGAGCTGCTTTCATTCTGAACCTAATCAATCACCCAACGCTAAAAAAACGCAGCACCTATTTTTTTCTTCTCTACACGAGTTTGACTGATTGCAATATAATATATTACAATTTTTGGATGAAAAATAAGCTAAATCTGAGCTAAATGAACAAAAAAATACTAATATATGCTTTTTAATTTCCATATATTAATTTTCAGCGTACCGCGGAAAACTAGAGCTGCTGTTTTTTGCTTACAATTCAGAAGCATTCCAAGCACGCAGATTAACTTTGTGAATACAGGCAAGGCAGGTAAACTACAAGGAAACTTTTTCAGGCAGACATTAATTTTCCACCTGCACAAATTCTCGCTCATAATATATACCAAAATTGTTCCGCGAGGGTAATTTACCTCCAGTTCCAGAGAAATTTGGAACATTGAAGAAGAAAGTTCGCATGAATTCCATGATTAATTAATTTTGATAATAACCAGAAACTACAAACAACATCTGTGTGACAGACAACACTTCATTTAATTAGGTCATAGGTATTTTCATTAAAGTGAAGAATGCAGAAATTTGATGAGCATCTCAAGTGGCGGAGAAAACGGCCTTCTTGCGATAAAACGTGTCACGTTGATGTAGGTTTCTATTGTTCTCGCCTATGAGCAGTTCTCTTCCTCCACGCACAGTTCAAAATTATAATTAATTTAATCTAATTCAAATTTAATTTCCTCCCAACAAGTCTAACGAAAATTGTCATCAACATAGCGTAACATTTACACCTAAAAATAACCATTCTCAAATTTTTTTCTATAAATAAAAAGGTTTAAATTATTTTTATCACAAGAATGTTAGAAAATAATTATTCTTTTATGTAATATGAAGTAAATAAACAACAAACTGTTGAATTTTTCCCAATTTTGTGTTGTTTTAATCAATTTACACACCGTTCAAAAATAGACGCACGCGAAAGAATTTATACGTACGCATCAAGGCAACACAGAAGTGATTTATTCTCACGTCATATGCATACACATGCTGCTTTGAATAATATTATTTTTCGATTAAATTTCTTCATGGCAGAAAGTTTTGGCTCTGATTTCGCTGAAATTGCAAGTAAGGAACGAAATCCTACGTGATGATTTGGCAAACCACTTCTTGTTCATTGAACTTGCGCTCGCTTGTCTGAGCAACACGGCTATCGATCGGCGAGTTAGACCTCAGGGGTAAAATTAGAGTGTTGATTGCTCTGGTAATTATCTCAAATAAACGCGGAACACGTTTTGTCGCTCGATCAGAAGTAAGGTGAATGGTCTGTGGGTTGGAATGTAAATTGATTGAATTCTGTCAAACTTTCCGCTTATAAAGAATTCAGTTTTCTGTGCAAGGCGAAAGTTTAGCATAATTTTCCCTTATTTATGAACCCAATTTACAACTAAGTGCAAAATTTGGCAAAAATTAATGGCCGTTCTGGGGTGCCAATGGGTAGAGTAGAAACTTTCCACCAATTCCCTTTGAAATCGGGGTGTGTCGTCGCAATATCATACCTTAAATATACACACAGATTTCCAATAAACTTGGGCAGAAAGGTTAAAAATTAATTTAATTAAAAACATTTTTCCAACGATGTAAATGAAGCAATTTCAAAAAAATTACTAATATATTCAGACAGCCACGATGACGGGGTTTTGACCCTGGATTACGTTTAATTTGCATTTTGAAATATTACTAAAAAATACACCGCAATGCAATAAGGCAACGATAGGTTGGAGTGCAAAAGCAATTAATGCTCAAACTCTCCTGAGTGGACTGTCTCTATGCATATTGAATTTCTCATCACAACCATGTCATGGAATTTGCTATTTGACGGCGCAAAAGAAAACCAATTTTCACAACGTGCTGCTGGGACGTAATGTGTTGGCATTAACATTCAATAAGAATTCCATGGTTGCATATAAAAGTTATGAAAGGAGCGCTGTTTCTTTGACAATTTTCTTTTGTTCTCGAAAAATGAAATGCATATTATCCTCTCAAATTACAGAGCACTCGTTGGTTGGAAAATCAGAATTGTAAATTTGCTGCAGAGCCCAAATATGTATGTCGACATAGAAGCAGGAGGAGGCCGCGCTTAGAAATCAATATTCTACAAAAAAACTAATTTTTATAAAAATATATATTTTTTAGCGTAGGTTGTTGAAATGTTGAAACTTCTGTCTGCTTGGCTCTCTATTAAACCAGTCAAAAATTTTTACATAATATTGCATGGCCCGCGTGGGTACTTTGCGTGTTCATTTTGCAAAAAAAGTGTAAAGGTCAACAATGCCTGCGGCCGATTTATGATTGCGCTTGGGTGTGGTGATGCTCGCGGGCGTGGTAATCCGAGTTAATTAGACAACTCTTAATAAATTGCACAAAATGCATCATTTAAAAATGAAAATTTCCATATGTGTCCATCAAAATAATTTAATTTGATTAAAAAAATGTAGTTTCAATATTATAAATATTTCGATTGTGGTGTGCGTGTAACATTTTTTTCTTATATTAATTTTTTTCACAGGGTTATCTCTCCATAAGCATGCGCGTGTTGACTTATACAAGGATAATGCCCCCTTGTATGTATTTGGACAGATAAAAATAAGTACACGTGAGGGAAAAAAATACAAAAGGGTTATGGTTTTGCCTCACGTATGCACTCTTTAGGCGGTCACGCAAGCATCTTGGCACCGCTGCTAACACACACGTACATTTCACATTTTCACATTCTGAGCACAAAAACTTTTATCATCTCCCTGCTCAGCTCGCTTAAAATCACATTCTGCCGCAGAAAAGGGACGCGATGGCAGCTTCTTTTATTAAAAAGCTGTAGGTACGGAAAGATGGGAGAAATATGATTTTCAACCTTTTTAGGAACGTGGAAATATGTTGTTATTTTCCATGAAACTTCCAAAATTCCATCCTCAAACTGAATAATATGTTATAATATTAATAAAAATATTGTGAGAATATCTTGAAGGGAAACATGGCAACATATTCAGAAGCTTGAAAAGTCAAAAAGTGATTGTTATTGATTCAGGATAAATATACTTTTATATATTATTATATAAGCTGCACGTCAGTCCGTGTGCCCAGCGCTGACTAGTTTATTGAAACTGACAAGCTCACCCCGCGTTATTTTTGATAAATAAAGAGATAAAGGTTTACATAACGTTTTTGTAATCAAAAGGGAAATTGGAATTCTCTCGGTCCTTTGAGTTTTTCATATATCTCGCCGTGAATCGTGCATGCAATTTTATTGCTTCTTAAGGAAAACGTTTTGCAAGAATGTCGTTGCTTGGATACGTGAAGTACAAAGCTTCGCAATGTACAAATCCTCTTTACTCTTGCAGTGATACGGATTTTTTTACCGCAACTCACCACCACTAAAAAATCAATAAACATGAAGAGGAAAAGATGAATGGCTAGTTGTATCAACAAAACTTTTCATTAAAGCTTATTGTATCTGCAATACCACATGGAATTTGTTTCTGTAAAATTAAGGACTTTTTCCTCTTTTGCTTGTTTGATCTTGTGGAGAGAAATAGATTAGTTCCTTTTTAACCAATAAAAATATTTTTAATTTTCAATCAACATGATGAATAGTTTGGTTTATACTTCATTTATAAGAAAAAGAAAAGCTTGTATTGATTGTATTGGGATTTGTTGCAGTTCGCAAATGGAAAGGCAATACCAGCGATAACTCGATTGGACGTGCACCTCGACCGGCCTCGGCAAACCTTTTTCTCTGGCGACGTGGTGAGTGGCGAAGTGAGGGTGCAGCTGGCGGAATGTCTGACCGTTAAGGGTAAAGCAGTTTTCCTTTCAACTCTCTGTACACCAAATCTAAAGGGCTAAACCAGGCGGGAAACAGTGTAATAATTTTCTTTTCTGCGTTTTGTGCGACTGAAACCTATACTGTATATTTTCTCCGCTTTCCACACACGACAGAAGTTGCTCAAAGTGTGATTTATTTTGCCAGGCGCCAATATTTGCCCCGCAAATGGATTTTCAATATTCTCGGGGAGGCATGTTTGCTCTGGGTCGAGAAGTGCGAGCACCTGGCACGGTTGCGGTGCACTTTGCCGATAAATACTTATCGCCTTCGATTTATGGCCACTGCGATAAAGGCAGTCCTTCAAGTTTGCACCCAACTTTCTCGAGCTCGCAAGTATATCAAACTTAATTGGATATACCGTGAGAATGGTTTTGATTTATTTTCCACTTGAGAGCGCATAAAATTATGATTCATTATTAATATCGCAAGTATCATCAGCTAACAAGCCTTAAGCGTTCTCAGAAAATTGTTTACCCCCTTGAGTAATTTAAATAATGAACTGAAAACTGTGCTCCGTTGATTCTGTTTGGGTTAAAAGCAAGCAAAGCATTTGGAACCAATTTAAAAGGCGCTAAAGCAATTGAGCGAAATGATTTGGGTCATTACTTGTTGACGCCAACTTTGTTGAGAAATAAATTCCTTATTCAATTCTACCATTTATGATTGAATAATAAAATTCAAAGATTATAGATAATCAAACGTGTAGGCGACGATTATTATCGTCTCCAGAAATAGACTTTCGCGTTTGTAATCACTGATGATAATACACCACTCACTTCATAAAATGCCACATGGTATTAATTAATAAGCATGCAAACTGATGGCAGTTTGCTCTGGCTTTGTTTATACAGAAGCGCAAAAGCGCTTTACCGCAAAATCAGCAATGGTTTAATACACGCTTAGTCGGAGACTTACTGAAAATAGCTTTGAATCTTTACAAGTTCGCTCTTGATCAACACCAAAGTGAATAATTTCCATCCAATGTATTGATATTTGCAAATAAATCAATATCAGAAATAAGTTTATACAATATATTTTCAAAATTGAATTGCAATTTTGCCTTCTCTCTCTTTATTGATCTAAAGCGTCCCCTTCAGATTTTAAGATTATTACGCAGTGACCAAATTTTTAAGACTCCACTGCTTGCCGTGTATAAAATATGAATGCAATGTGGAATAATTATATCTTTAAATTTTTAAATGTTGCACCGTTTAAAAATTTTTTATTGTTAGTAGAATTAGGATAAATTCCCAATTTTTTTTTAGCCAAAATGAAAAAAAAAATAACCATGGAGTTCTGTTTTACTAAATCAAAACATAGTTCATAAAGGCAATAGAGAGTTTCTATTATTCAAAACCATGAGCTGAACTAATTAAATATATCATATGCAAATATAAAACAGACATGACGAATTATTATTATTATTGCAGCTTTATTTATTACAATCGAAATGAAAAATAACAACCTGCACCTCCTTTACTTCATTTTGAAATGGAGAAATATACAATATACTTAAAAACGACTTGTTTGCTGCAACAACAGCTGAGACAATTGAATTTTGTATGCAAATTAATTCAAATTAACCTTTGACAAACAAAAGCATAGCTCTGAAAGTGATGACGAAATGTGGGTCGCGCGTATAATCAAGTATGGAAATCGTCAATTCAAGTCTGTGTGAAACTCTCTGTTCATTGTCAGATGCGCTCCACCTCATTTCATTTGCAATTCGTCTGAAACTGAGAAGTCTGTTTAAACACGCGGCTGATTTGCATGTTAGTGACACGGGCAGCCGCGCAGACCAAGCGAAAAAATTCGCGGCAAAGAATTAACTAACTGCTTGTGTTGGGACGTGTTGCATTGCTTTCCAACACAAATCGATAAACGCTAGCTCTGAAATGGGCTTTGCAGCTCCCACACCACAACAACACGAAACCAACATCAAACAAACGCACGGCTCAGCCGTGTGTTAAGCAAACAATAATTGCCAATTCTCTATGCTTTGATGAATGCTTAACTCAATCAGCAAGGATATTCCAGACCACTCGCAATTAATCTGAAATTTACACACCACTGGTTTGACATATTCAATTTAGAGTGCTTAATTTGGCAGAATTTAATTTTTCAATTTTAATTTGAATGTTTTTGAAATGTCAACTGTCATTTTACATGACCTCTTTTGTTGATCCAATATTTTCAATTTTCAGTTACCAAACTTTTTTTGAAAAAAAAGCTGTGAAAATATACCGCAAATTTTTCAGGAGAAAAAAATTTCAATCCTCTTGTTCCCACTTTACGGTTCCCAAGAGACTTGCCTCAGCTTCTTACATAATTAAGAGCAAATTATTTATGACCAAGATGCTTAAATGCACCAGAGTTAAAATGTTTGTGCATATTTGAAATTCGTGAGCAAAATAAACTGCCCCTTGTGTGGATGATAAACTGCCTCATCAAAAGTAAACAGCCTTGATCAATAAAATCTCAAATCAACCGTTTTGATTTCAACGCCTCCCGGCAATAAAAAAGTGATGCAAATGGAAAGCTGAGAGCGCGAGTTTTCTGGTTGGAAAAATTAGAAATCCATTTGGTAAGTGGAGCGAACTTGATTATTTGCCATTAAATTTCTATCTGCCGCCAGCCCAGCGACGCAAATGAAAATCTGGCGGCACAGCTGCCCGTTTTATTTTTTAATAATTCGCTGTGCGCCAATTGCTCCGATTTTTTTTTGCCGTTCCGCTCGCTGGCGAACAATTTCCGCGAGCATTGGCAAATCTTGTGCGGGGAAAATTGCATTAGCAGCTCAATAAGGTCTTGTAATTGGTTTTGGAGACGCTGCTCCCACGGCGTGCAAATTAATTACGACAAGTCGACTGACTGAGTTTCTCGAAAATTGCATTTCCAGAATGACGACGAACATTTTTCAGCTCTTTTTAATCTGAATTTTAAAGCGGAATTCCACATGGGATTAATATAAGCTTCTATATTCTTATAAAATACATAAATGCGAGATTCGCTTTTGTCAATTTAATCAACTGAAAGAAAAAATTTCCTAACTGATTCGGGAAATAATAAAAAATCATGATTGTCAAAATATTTATAACCAAAAATATTTCTTTTGCAGGCATCATAGTGCGATTTGTTGGCGAGGCCTACGTGTACGTGCCTTCGGATGAGCCTCCCCAGTGGGATGTGCGACGGATTGTGCAATTGAAAAAAGCGTTCTGCGCCAAGAACAAGGTGTACGTCTCATTTTTTATTTTCTCCGGAGAGCAAAGGGTAGAATCTGTAGCGATTTTTCACTCTCGCTCTTTTTTGCCGTTGCTTTTATATATTTTGCGATACCATTTAGGTTTATCTCATACGCCGTTTTATTCGCACGAGAAGCGGAATTTTCCTCGTTTTTTGTTATTCCAAAAAAAGCAACTTGCCACACAATTGCGACAATAGAGAGTCGTTGTTATTTTTTACCATTTGCAGTGTAAAATTTGTAATGGGGAAAAATACTGCCGTCACTCATTGGTTTGTTGGCTCGCCTGGGGTTGTACGTTGCCATTTTGCAGGGTTAATGAAAATTTCCGTCCGTGTGCAAATTAACGCTGGTTGTCTATGGCAGCTGACCTAGATTTGCAAGCGGCCAACACTATTTGCGAGGTGCTTGATGCAAAACCATGGCTCGCTCTCGTTACTGCACAAAATTTATTTATTAATAATTCAGCTTGCAATTAAATTACTCCTTTTGCGTGGCGTTAATGACTTGTTTTTGTGACTGGTGGTTATGATTGTCTTTAATGGGGCGCAGGTGGGTTGGAAACCAAGGACGCGCGCACTTCACATAAGAATTTAAATTGATTTTGAGAGGGTTGCTTCATTATTTTTAATCTGCTAATTGTAGCTATGCGAGTTACTCATTTAATGAATTCTAAATTATTTAGTTTGACGTGTAATTTAGAAAGAGCAGTGGCGATCTCTCTCTTTAATAAAAGCTACTCCCTTTTATTGTTGCTATTCAAAGCGGACAGACCTAGCTCTGGAGCCACATCCGACTCCACCACAAAATTGTGTTTTCCCTCGCATGCATGCGCCCGCAGGCTAAATAATACATATTCATGTTGTAGATGTAGACCCGGAAAAACGCCTTTGATCAGTGCAAATAGCATTAAAATTGTAGCCGGGAAAACAGAAATGCCACTTGCTCGTTGATGGCACTGTCTTTTTTGCAGGCGGCCGTCGGCAAAAGGCGAAGGGAGCGACTGCAAATTTTCATTCACGACTCCCTCGAGCGAACAGGCGCCGTCCGGAGGCAACGGATCAATTTCAACGAAGCCCGTTGCCACTCCAAGCAATTTGCCACAACAGAGCACTGGTACAAAGAACAAAATTACAGCTCTGAAGAGCAAACAGCAGCAGGGCTCCTTTAGATCGACTGAGAAATATTTTGAGCACAAATTTTACGTGTTTGGACACAAATATAGCAGTAAGTAATCCGTCCTTAATAAAAGAGCCGATTAAATTTTGTTTTGGAAAATTGTCATATTATTTTGCTTGTGAAATTTGTATATAAAAATTCATTCAATTGGAAACTTGAATTGAACTTTTCAAAATTGGAAAATTTATGTTTATTTCCACTTTAATGCCGAATTTAGTTAGTTTCAAGTTTTTCACAATATTTACTCACACTCAAAACTTCTCTCTCTCTCTCTTGCTTTTCTCTGAGCAACCACACACGACACACTTTCTTGTTATAAACTTGCATCATTCCGTGGTAAATCAGCACTATTCAACTCTGACCTTTAATGACATATTCGCTCGCAAACTCACCAAGCTGGAAAATTATTTCCTGACCTGCAACAAAATAATCACAGCTTCTGCTTGTTTTGCTCCTTTCATGGAGCAAAAACTTTGCCTGGGCACAACTTTGTATGTATATGAGACACATTAGTTTATAATAAGGTTTTGTCCCATCCATGCATAGTTCTCAATATACGGCGCAAAACAACGCAAATGCAAGACGTGGCCTTGCAACATTAATTAAAATTGTTGTCGTTTTTGCAGGTGTAAAGGAGAACCTGTGGCCAGGAGAACATGCCTTCCCTTTCCAATACACGCTGCCAACAAAGCTGCCAACGTCGTTCCACGGCCGCTACGGCTACGTGCGATATTTTTGTGAAGCTTCCCTCGAGCGGCCTTGGCTGCCTAGTGTCAAAAGAAAATCCTTCTTCAGCGTTTCCGCCAACGCCGACGTCAACCTTGAGTCGAAAGCCGAGGTGAAATAATTTTTCTTTCTCTGAATATAGATGCGACCCTTTCTTTAGCGCGGCACTCAATCAAATCTTGCAATTAGCTTCTCGTTATTTTCATGCAACAAAGACCAAAGACAAAACCCCCGTCAGATGTTCCAAACCTTCTCAAGAGCTCTTAATCAATCAAGTTGCCAAAGGTGGATAGTTTGTAATTTGCTTGGAGTTGTGCTTATCGAGGACTCATTAATTGATTTTGAAAAGTGGTTGGGTTGACATTTTCCATTGAAACGCAAGTAAAATGACGACGTAGGCAACAAAGGTGTCCTCTATGCTGAAATTTTGCAATCATATTTTATTACAACTATGTGAATTCGGCTCAAAAGTCAAAATTCGGACAGCAATTTTCAATTTTCATCATCACTTCAAAAATATACCACATAAATTCTAATTTTGATAGAAAACGAATCCAGAAGCACGCAGTATCGGAAATAATTAAAAAATTGAATTCTTAAGAATAAAATAAATAAATTTATTGTATTGCCAGCGTAAATAAATGATGCTTGATTTCAATAAAGACAAACCCAAAAATAAAATAAAAAAAGACAAAATTGCACTAAAAAGGGCACAGGCCAACAAGACCTTGTCTTGGCCTGACCCTAAAAAAAATATATATATATATATATATATTAAGTTTAGATTTTAATTTTTCTGCCAAAATGTGATTTTTTTTAAATTTTGCAATTTTTTCTTGCTCATGAAATAGGGCCGCAGACCGTGGCCGAAACTGGTAGAGCCATTTGATTTTGAATAAAAAACAATTTCTACAACAAGGAAAAAGCCCGATCCCTTCATTTCCACGTATATTTTACTTCGACAAAAAATTTTAAATGGTCCATTGATATAAAGTGCTGTTGATTTTCTGATTGATAAGGTGGTGATTGTGCATTAACAATGGAAAGAGAATTAAGCAAATGAATAATTAGTGACTAATTGAGAAAAAAGTGCGACAAAAGCAACGAAAATCCAAAGGTTAAAAGCCAAATTAGGAAAGCTGACAATCATTAAAAATTCAACTGTCAAAGCCAGAAGCGTCATTAAATATGCATGGCTTCTAAACGCGGTTGTTCAAAGGCAATTATTTATTATTTCCTCCGTAGCTATATTAATATGTCTTGTTTTTCCTGGTGCAGAGTTCAGCCGGTGGGCAAAAGAGCAGCAACCAGTGCTTTTTCTGCTGCAGCCGCGGCACGGTGGTTGCAGAGGCCAGCATCCCCAGACGAGGTTATGTGCCTGGAGAGACGATCCGCATCAGTGCAGAAATCGCCAACATGAGCAGCAATCCGGTCACGTCGACCGTGGCCAAGCTAGTGCAGGTTCAATTTCCCTCTCTTTAATACAGTGCAAAAAATGCAAACACAATCTCGGACCTTTGATGAGGAAACAAAGTTTTGTTCGCGCAAGCAGAGCTTTTGCTGCCGGTACAAATTAATATCACGGTCTGAGCACTTCCATATTTTTTCTCTGCAGCTTTTTCCGACGAAAAATGGACACAACCGCGGAATATTTCAACTAAATCCGTAGCAAGCGCCAGTGCAAACAAAGTGGGAAAAATACGATTTCGAACTTCCTCTCTTTTTAATAAAAGCTTTTCTAAATTTTCATTTTATATTCTTTTTCAACTTTAAAGATTACAGATGATAAATATTTAGTCGCCTTAATGAAAAAATTGCAATAGAGACTTCATATAAAAACTGCTTTAATTGAATGGACGCCATACTTGATTGGCTTCGCAAAGTTCCCGTTCCATTTCATTTTGCTCGAAACGTGACTGGAGAATGTCTGATATTTTGCAGAGCTGCGAAGTTTATAGTAAAAGCAACACGTCGACACAGACGCCAAAGAACTCCAATAACCTTAATATTGGAATTGCGCTTTCACGTCTGGAAGCGAGTAATAAAAGCATGATAAAATTTCGAGCTACATTTTCCGATGTGTGCGTTCTTGTGGCTTGTAAAGGCGTGAGGAATTTTTTGATTAAAAACGTTTGAAACCGCTACTTGAGAAGTATTTTATAGCAAATTTCTTCCAGACAAGAAAAATGTAAAAATCTTCCCTCAAAATCAATAAAAAAATTTCAAATTTTGTTAATTTTTAGATTCACTTGTTTGCAAATTTTTAAAACAATTTAAAACAGAATTTATTTTGATAAGTTTCCGATTTTTTTTTAAATGGAAGTAAAAAAGTGCACACATTGAGCTTTGAAGAGTGAAATCCAGAAAAAAAAGTTATCTTTTCCCAAAGTTTATAGGGAAGGAATTTCCAAAACCACAACCTAACAACTTTAAATGAACTTGGAAAATATTTAATTCAAAGTTATATTCCCGGTATAAACTTTTGTCAAAGATTTATGCCTCTTTTTCCCAAACTTTGGGCCAATTTTTAAGCAATCTCAATCCAATTTCGCCTCGTGTCACATTCGCACTCCAAAAATCTGGATTTTATTTTTAAATAACGAGACTCGCTCTCTGTGTGGAGCTGAGCAAATCGCTGACGGCATCTTTTCTTTCTACGTCGCGGCTGCGACGACGACGGAGCAAATTTATCTCTGCGGGCGCTTGTCGGAAAAAAAAGTGACACAAAAAAATGTATTGTCGCACGCGAGAGAGCCATTTATCCATTTGTGTGTCCTTTGTCGCAGGTGGCAACTTATCATTCGAGCAAGGGATTTCGGCACCGCGTCGACGAGCAAGTCGTGTCTCAAGTGGCGAAGGGTGCTGTGCGCTGCGGGGAGTCGCGATCGTGGGTGGACGTGCCTCTGCAGGTGCCCTCGCTGCCCGCCTCATTCAGCCTCACCGACTGTTGCAAAGTTTTGGACGTCGAGTACCGTCTCGATGTGAGTTGCAAACTCAAATTCAACAAAATAGAATAAACCCCAGACGCTTGCAGAACTCGGCTAATTAGGCAAAAATCATCAAAAGTTTGAAAGTTGGTTCGCAGCCCTCAGGCTCTCTCCTATTGTTCCAATATTTTACCGAGGAAACCAAACAATCTAATTAGCTTAACGATTTTATTCCCCCCGAGGTGGAAAACCGGACGCTCGTTGACCCCAAGTAAGGCGCAGTGGGAGATGCTTTAGTTTGGTCTCGTTTTCCAGTTCTTGGCCGAGATGACCACAAATGAGGAGCCTTTGATAATCAACATGCCACTTGTGATCGGAACGGTGCCCCTGCAGAGAACGTTCAAGTCCCTGCAAATGCCCGACCCCCTGCAGGGATCGCCGCTAGCCAGGATGACGAACCTGAAGTACAAGGGCTTCCGTAAGTGCCCTCCAAAATTACCCATTTTGCATATTAAGAAATTTGTTGCTAATATACACCCGTTTTGCATATAAGAAAGTTAGTTTAAAATCAGAAAACTCCTCTTTTAATAATATTTTTCTGTTAAAAATTTGTTTCCATTATTCCAAAACGGGCATGCCATGTTTTTTAATTGAAAAAATAAATTAAACATTTTTTGATTAATTAAAAAAAACTATTTTTTATCTTCTCATTGTTAATGAGTTTGATCTGAAATAAATTTTAAATATATAAAAAATATTAAAATCAAGTTTTTTTGTGTTAAATTTTTACCGAAATCGCCCTTATTCCAGATTTTTTTTTTATAGAATTTATTTGATCTAATTTTACAAGTCCAGCCAAGTCTGAAGACTTATCGGCTGGTGCTTATTGTAACTGTTGAATAATGCAAGTTATTTGTAATTACCCTTCACTATTATATTTCCAACATGGAAACACACTAATATTTTGTTTGTCTAATATTTGCATTTACAAACAAAGTTGAGAGTGTATGAAGTCGTAGCGGTGGAAGAAAAATATTAAGTGTGCGAACTTTTACAGCTGCCGTGTTCAGCATTCCATGCATTTGGGGCGCCAAAGTTTTGGAGCACTATTACCATCGCGAGATCCTGCGGGTCCACGAGGACGGCATTCGCGTTTTCGTCCCTGGGGAGTCATTTGCGCCCCGCTACGTGTGTTACCGGAGCAAGGACGACGAAGAGCCGCAAAGGGCGTCCGCCGAGCTGCTCACGAACGAACCAACCCCCAAAAAGCTGCAGAGGAGCAGAGCGGCCAGTCTGCAACCTCAACCGGCGCCCAAACACCTTGACGACAAAAGAATCACCCGCTCCAGCGTCCACCTCTCTGTGCAGCACCAACCCATCAACGACCCTATCATGAGGTGAATTAAAATAATTTGAAAACCAATTAAAATAACAAGAAACAACGCTCGATTGTAAATAAATTCTTCCACAAAATAATTTATTAATTTTTATTAACTTTTGAATGGATATTTATCATTATTATTTTTGTTGTACATTTTCACGATCGAGGGTTGATTCATGGTGATTTTTATTTAAAGTTGGCTTTTCCTCCATTGTTTAAGAAAAACAATATTTCTGCTGCGGGATGTAGCCTTAATTAATGAGCTGTGGAATAATTTTCAATGAATTATGGCTGCAGCCTGCAGCCGAAACATGTTTTTTTTTAAACAAATCACAAAACCTATGGAGGAAAAGCCGACTTTAAATTCAAATCACCATATTATGTTGTTTCTTTTTGGCAAGTTTTTTCTGCTTTTGTTCCTTTTTTATAGAGATAATTTCCATATAATGTGAGTTCATTTTATCAAAATTCCTAAAATTCAGATTCATTCTCGTTTGTTGAACTAAACAGAAAAAAGTAAGCAATCAAGTTTTTTCTGAAAGAGAGAGTTCCTAAAATTTCCATTTAATAAATCATATTTATGTTGTATTAGGAAGTACAAAAAATTAATTTTTTCCTCTCCGACAGAGTCGAAAAGAAAAAGGCCATCAAAGGGAAAAATTCAATTAAAAGAAGAATAATCCTTTATGCATGAACCTCTCATTATTTCCTTTTGCAGGTCACTGGCCCAGCTGAAAACATACCAAGAATCGGCATCGACCTCTTCGAACGCGACACCAGCGCAAGCCGAAACGCACTTCTCCATGGAGACGACCCATGCCATGCTATCACTGGGTCTCAAAACAGCCCCGTCTTCCGCGAGAGAGCGACCCTCTGCACGCCCCAGGAGTGGCGGAAAACCACCCAGACCTTGCTCTTCGACCTCTGACGGTTTTTGGGACGTCAAGGGTGGCGTCGCCACCATATCGGAGCGGCTTCAAACGGCGCCGGCCTCCATGGACAACATCGCACCAAATCATATGAACTGCTAGATTATTTTTAAAGTTTGATTTTTTTCTGTTTCAATGATGTTTTTTTCATTCTTATCGTTCGCATTTTGATGGAAATGCATTAAGTCTTCTCCTCAAGGCTTCCAAATTAAAGTTAAAAACTAAAAATAAATACACCTATTCAAATTTTCAACTTTTAGTGTAAGAGGAAAATGGCCTAACAAAATATAATTGAAACCCAATTAAAAAATTTATAAAAAAATCTGCTTCCATTAGTGAAACTCAAAATAAAACACTTGAAGTAAGAATCATGCAAAACATTACAATTTTTCATAAGCTTAAAATTCCAATTATAAAATTCCGAGGTCATTAATGAAAACGCACAATTTTAATGCTTTGGAGCACCGCGACGCCCACAGAACAATTTATAGGTGTTTTCGATGTTTCATTCACAAGCACAGCAATTAATATTTGTGTTCTTTCCTCGTGAATTTTAATGATCAAAGCGAGAAGCAAATTATTGTATCTTTTCCTATAAAATAAATTAACAGCGCCGTTGGAATGTTCAATACTCTATTTATATCAAAATGAATAAATAATACAATTTTGTAAACCAAGATTCAAAATGTCAAATTATTCAATCTAGCCCAAGCTGAGCCAATATATAATTGATTTGACAAAAACTGAATGTAAATCGATCGTCGATTGGAATTAATATTTATTTACCTTATGGTGGGCTCAAAAATTCATTCCACAGAGCCTACGATTTGTTGGTATTGAAAGAAATGAGAAAAACTGAAAATTGTTCACTTACCTTGAACCTTCAGACTGAAGATCGCGACATATTCTGCAAACTTGCGACTGATTGTTTTACACCGGCCATTCATCGTTTGGCAAATAGACTTAGAGCGCCTTGTTAATTTAATTTTGCCTTCCCGAGATTAACACAAATATTAACCACACCTTTGAACGCCAAGCCAAATGTATCACAAAGCAATGAAAAAATATAAACAAGAAGAGCGATACATGAGATGAGAGGTGAATCATCAGCAAGTCAAATTTTATTATCCGCCCCACCTTTCACTTCATTAAAGTTCACAATTCCCCCCACGCTTGCATTCCTTAAGAGGAATTGAACTAACTCTGACTGAATCGTGATGAATGTGAAGTACCAAAAACAGTCGCAGTAGTCGCATCACGGCTCTGTAGTGGACTAGGTGGTTGATTACTTTTGGTCGTCAGTCGGCGCTTCCGCTGAAATATTATGTTGTTCAAGTCAAAAAGCAGTAGTCTTGCTGGTTCAAGTGAATGGTAAACATTACTGAAGTGAGAGTGATTTTATGGATATAAAACTTACTTTGAATATTCATTCGAATTTGGCCAGGGAGTATCAATCACACAAGGTAAGTGAAATTATTTTAAATTCCAACTGTTGTCCTTAATGACCATTAGCCCAAATATATTTAATCGGTAAAAATCCTGTAACCCATGTTAAATACATCATTACATTATACCAAAATTATCATTAATTTGGATTTAATTCACAAAATCATAATGATTTGTTATATTATTTTATTAAGCAAGGACATACATAAATAAATAAGTATCTTTATTACATGGGAATATTCCAATTTCTACATTTTTTACACTGTTATTTAATTTTTATTTAATTGAACAAGGAAGAGAATATGTTAGAAAATATGAAAATAATTAGGAAGAAAGTTCCCACGCAATCACAGTTGGGCTTTGCGGATTTTCACACCAGTTAATATCCACGTCGGTGATCCTCAGTCTGTGCTCTTCGTTGTCAAAATCCAATGTCGCGTTTTCTATATCAACCCCATCCACTGTAAGATTGGAATCTTCTTTCCAAGATCTTGGCAGGCCGTAAATGGAAATGGCGTTGATTTTAGTGGACAACGCGGAATTACAAAAGTCTGGCGTGTCCCGCAGACTGACGGTCAGAGTTGTCGAGGTCGCATTGAAACGGATGTTGTCGGACAGAGAATCCTTTGAAATTCCGTCGTCCAAATACAAAAATCCCTCGGCCTTGCACTCCAGTCGGACACTCTTGTCGCAAATCAGGCCTACGATCACGTGGCGCGGATTCAACCTGGAAGAATCGCTGCTTTTACCGGCGTCCTGAAAATTAATTTCTTTTTCAGAAAAGAATATTCTATTTATTTGTATTCCAACAAGTTTGAGGTAAAAATGCATCACCTTTGACATTTCTAGAAACCTTTTTCTGACATTAGAAGCAAATTAATACATATTTTTTCTTTTGCATAAAAATATTCAATGTCATATTTTATGCTATGGATCGCTATGGATATTGCTATGGATCAAGGCTGACAAGTTGAATTGATTGTGAGAAGCCACGGGGACCCCCGTTTCGAATGCAAATTTCTATGTTGTTAAAAAAAGGCAAATTGCTCTCTTTCTGTTGAAGACACGTCCTTTTTTCCACGCATTCCCTATTGCAAGATCTCAAAGAGATAAAGGGCAACAGTCGCTTTGCCTTTCGTTCTAGGAAAACATGGCATGTCCACTTTGCGACGCACACATCAGTTTGCATTGCAAAATCTTTTTTTCTTTTGTCAGAGCGCTGGGAAGAGCTACCGACACGCCAGGGTTCCAATTCTTTAAGAGTGGATTTTTCCTTTTACACAATCAGATATTCCAGCAGAAAAATCTTAAGTAATTTGCCACGTTTATTTGCATCAATCTACTTTTTTTTTTTAATACACGCTTTAAGAGAAAGTCACAGTTAATTGATTACATAAAATATGGAGAGGTTTAAAAAAATTGATCAATGCAGCAAAAAAATGAATGAAAAAGAACCAAAAAAAAAGATTGTCCACCAAATAAAATGTTCTGCGAAAAGCTTTTAAATAGTGACGCAAGAGCAGACTGTGGCCCGGGTGGAAGCAAAAACACCTTTTTGGGATTATTTTTGGACTATTAAGTCGCACACATCGATTGTATTAACGAGTTCGATGAAAAGGTGGAGGAAGTTTTGGGCACGCAACAGCCATAAATCCACGGCGAGCTTTTAGGAAAAACGGAAAGTGGCACAAAAATAATTATCTGCCACACTTGCTTGAGCACGTAAAGTGTCTGAAAGTCCAACTTGCTCCAGCACTTTGGAGGAGCAAGAGGAAGGATTTGTTGATTTAGCCGTGAAGTTTTGAGAACTATAATTGACAAAAAATTTTATTTTTCTTTGTTCCAAGAAGAAGAAAAATATCAATAAATGAAATTATTTTAATTTTTTTAATTAATAATGGAAAATTTAACTTAACACTTTGAAGCATTGAATAAAAGCAGATGAAAAAATAATGTAATTACAGATAAATATAATTTTGCCACATTTATAGATGAATGAATTTTATTATTCAATACAAATTTATCAATGCAATGCTTATTATTCTGTGGCATATAATAAATAGGAGCATTGATCGTTAACAAATTTCTACTTTAGTAGCGTAAATCTTATGTGTGTTCAGCAGAGATTTATCGTGACAAAGCTTCTGCGAGCTGTGAGCATTATAAAATTATCTCATAATTATGGGTTGCAATTGCCTCCGCAAATCATGACTGATTTTTATTTTATATTGAATTTATCAGAATGATTTATTCGAGATCAAGGGTTTTTCATGTTATTTTTTTATCGGATTGATTTTTTTGCATCAAACAGCACCTGTATGAATTATTTAGCGCTGAATGCTTCGAGGCGGACTTTTGTTTGTGAAATAGTTGTAAGCATGAACACAAAACGCAAAAGCGCAGGGATTAAATAAGCACAATTCAACGCTTGAGGATTTACGGATTATCTTCAATGGAGAGGTTTGCGAAATGTTTAGACGGTAGAATTATTCTTGCTTTGCCTAAGTGCCAGAGGCCGGCCTGAATTTTTGATTCCTTCCCTCGCTTTATGTTTTGTTATGGTTGAATCTGAAGTTTGCACCTGCCTTTGTTGAAAAAGCGGTGTTTCCAGGAAAGCTTTGTTCAATTTTCAAACATAGAATGGTAAATTTGAAAGCCTTCGAGCTATACAGCATTCGTTAAAACTTTCAAAAACAATTTTTTTTTTTAATAACAACTGAAATTTCACTTTCCTATTTGATGGACCAAAGCAGAATAAAGATATTGTAAGGAAATTACTGAAAAATTAATATAATCCGTCATGGTCGAACATAAAAAACGAATAAAAAAAAATGTTTAAGAAAATAATAATTTCTGTGCTTCTCACTTTGAATTTGGGCCAGATTAAACCTAGTTTGTGCCAACTTGAGCTAATCCAGATTCATTGCTGTAGTAATTTATCTTTCGGGGGACAAGCACCGTAAATTTAGACTCACCTGCATGGCAATTATGTGTCCGCCTCTGATGAGAAGGATTAGTTCGTTTTCTGTCGCGTACAGAGTGACTTGGCCGGTGCCATTGTAATCCTGCACTTTCTCCCCGCCCTGCAAGTGGTACCAGGGGCCGGAAGAGCGGGGCAAATAAATTTTTAATGAAACTGCTGCTGGTTCAAGTGCCGGGGCTGCCATTAACGAAGGGCCTACCTGAAAGCCAACAGGAAAAAGGTGGGTTTAATTAGTTTTCAATTCATGGAAACGCTTCAAGAACCGGCAATTTATGAGTTTTAATTAATATAAATGCTCATTTTCAGTAAAAAATGGGTTGCCTAACCATATTATTAAATATTATTGATGTTAAAATTTCAAATTTTTTAATATTTCAATCAATTTCTTCTTCATTAATACACAGTAATTAAAAAAAATTGATAGACAAGATATGAAATTAATAGCAGAGTCTGGAGACATTGTGTGGAGCCCAGATAAATCTTAAAATACATCATAAACCTAGTTAGAAGTGAGCAGCAAAAGTATGTTCTCACGAAAGGGATTTTTTTAGGGTCAGGCCAAGACTAAGTTTTGTCGGCCCTTTATTAGTGCTGCAGAAGGCGCCACCCAAATAATTTTTTTTATTTAATTTTATTTAAATTACATAAACATCAGCCGCCATTAATAATACACAATTTTTAAATTGGATTTGATTTTAAACAATCTATTCAAAATTTCCTATATGGCTCAATAAAGATGCATTATAATAACGTTTCCAGGAGAACCGTAAAATTAGAAAATTAAATCGCCAAATTGTAAATATTAAAAAAGAAACCGATTAATTCTCCTCTTTTATTACTGTAAAAATATAAACTGAGAGCATATCTGAAAATGAATTCATTTCTTTTTAATGATTCGGGAAATTATTGGAGCTGAAGATTTTTAGGCGAAAATTTGCGCTCAACCAACTATGTGATCAGAGCAAACGATCAGCACGGAATATTTGCTTGTGTAATTGGTAGCCGCCGAGGGATGAATGTTTGTTTAGTGTCTGCCTTTGACCTCTTATCGGGAATCTGGCAGGTAGACGACTGTAGTGGAAGCCAGCAAATATAACAAACCTCACAAGGGTTGCTTATCTCGTTTATTTGCTGAGCATAAAAACTATATAATAAATTTAAACTTTTCTGAATGAAAAAGCTTTTGGAGCAAACCTGGGCTGCTAATAAATGCAATTGGAAAGGGGTCGTTGAAAATTGTGGCCTCACCATAAATTGCTCGTCGAGCGTCCACGTGGCGTTATCGGAAGAGAATTCAACGGCCATGGGTCTGACCAGCGGCATGCCCGTCAGCGAGGCTTGATGAAGGTGCGTGTACAGATAAGGCATGAGTTCGTAACGCAATCTGGCCGCCCGAGCCACGATGCGGCCCGAACTTTCGTCCATCGCAGTGGGATCGCGGGCCAGGCTGCCCCATCGGTGGTGGTACCTTTTTTATTGATTGCTCATGGTTATAGAGAATTTTTTAAGTAGGAAAGGAACTGCATTGCGACACGACATGGTCACCTTGAATGCAGTTTTACGAAACGCATTCATGGTCAGGGTCAAGCAGAACTTTTAATTGGATTTGACTGGATTGCGTCACAAAGATATTTTTATTTCTTTATATAGCAGACAAACTAAAAGCAATCAATACACTCTCATCTGTACGACTGTAGGTGAAACATTAATTTTAATTTCAGATGCATTAATTAATTTTTTTTGAATTTTTTTTAAATGTTTTAAATCTTTTTTTAAATTAAAATTTTAAGCTATTTAATATGTAATATTTCCCGCATAATGAAGGGCAGGAATCTTTTTTTCATAATTTAGCAACGGAAATGAGCATGAAATTGTGAAAATCTTATATTTAAAACAAATTACTCCATCGTTTAATTATGATGATCTATCACTTTTTTATAAAATATTAAATTTTTCCACGGGGAAGTAAATTAACATTACGATTTTCTGTGAGTTTGATTCTGATTTAACAATATCGATCGATTAGGATTTGGCAATGCTCCAAATTAATTAATTCCCGATAAACCAGAAACTAAATACCTTGTCAACGGAAACGTATTGAGAGCTAGCAAAGACCATCTGGTGCAAAGTGATCCGGACCAATTTCCCGAGGCGCCGCAAATGGGGCCTCCGCCAGAAAAGGGCTCGCCACTGATTCCTGCCTCCAGCACGCTCAGAAGCGCCGCCTGCAAATTAAATGGGGCATAATTGAATTTCAGTTTGAAGTGGGTCGGCAGCACCTTGAGTCCGTTCCAGTCAGATTGCTGTTCCTCTCCGAGCCACCCTCTCTGCGGTTCGTGTATCCAACTGGCGGCGCTCAAGATCGGCACTCGCTCCGTTGTCCCCGAAATGTACTCATTAAAAATTTCCTCCACTTTCCCGGCCAGTTTGTGGCCGTACGAGTTGTGCACGTGGTGGTGGTCGCTGTTTTGGAACCCGTTTGCGTTCCACAGGACGGTGCCGTAGGACAAAGAGTCAAGCCCCTTAGGATAATGATGAGAAAGGGTGGTGTAATGGAAGAAGACGCAAGTTTGGCTATACCTGCGGCACATAATGCGGCTTTTCGGGTCCGTCGTCTTGGCCGAGCATCTCGTTCAGCGGCCAGTTGTCGGCCACCACAATGCCCGAGGGCAGCGCGTCTCTGATACTATTCAAAACTAGACTCATGTGCTGACGTAGCCACGCCGTCACGTCGGGATTATCCAAATCTGGGTAGGCCGCGATTTGGTCTCGGTGAATGCCGACAAATGGCACTCCTCGGCTGCTGTTGCCCAGGAAAATCCCTTTCGCGAAGCCATCCTCGTAGGCCGCAACGTCCACGCTCACTTGGCCAAACTGGCTGAACAAAAAACGGCGCCCATCTGACCTCAAAGTCTTCACTTCTTCGATTAACTGCAAAAAATTTAAAATAGCATAATTTTTACACCGACTGCAACACATTCAAATTTTGTTTCCACAGATTTTTCAGTTTGACAAAAGTAACAGAAAAATTTCAAAATTTATATTAATAAAAATAACATAATTTAGTAGTTTTTAAACTCGGATATTGTCTTATTTTTACAGTCTGGTGACCTAAATTGTCCTTCCTATCAGCTTGCAAGGATTTTGTGGCCAAGAGAAAAGCTTCTTCTATACGTGCGTGCTTAAAATTTACAATTTTTGATAATTTATTTTCCACAATATTTATTGGGATGATGTGGATGATTGAATTTTAAATGGTATATGAAAATTAACCATCACAACTAAATTTTCATCGATAAAAACTTCCAGTAAAAAATTTTATATTTTGAAAATTGCGGAAAATTGTTTTTTTTTCTCAAAAACAGTAAAAAAAAAACAATTTTCTGCAACGTGGGAAAAGCCCGATCTCTTCATTTCCATGATCGTCTCCTCGAGTGTCAACTTCTTCGAGAGCAATATTTGTTTGAAGAAATTGACACTCAATGATCATGGAAATGAAGAGATTGGGGGCTTCTTCTGGTCGCAAAAATTGTTTTTATTATAAAACAATACGGCTCTACCAGTTTCGGTCTGCGATTTTCTATTTCGTGTGCAAGAAAAATACCAAAAAGTCGGCAAAATTTAAAAAGAAACAATGAAAATTAAACTAATTTCAATTTTGCTATAATTTTCAGTTTTTGTACATGAAATATGGTCGCAGACTGAGACTGAACCTGGTAGAGCCGTTTTGTTTTTGAATAAATAATAATAATAATTTTGCAACGAGGAAAAGCCCAATCTTTTCATTTCCCAATAAAAAAATTATCCAGCGAAAAATTGTCTGTTTGAAAAGTATTACATAGAAGTCGACTTATTTCCCGTCTGAAATTTGTTTTACGAAAAACCCATATTGCAAAGTGCCCATTACCTAGCAAAGTCTCTCATTCATCACAAAGACTAGAATGTCCGCCTTTTTATTGATTCGCTCTGCTACTTTTTGAAACCGGAGAGTTTTGGACGCGTTGTTGAAAACTCTCGAAACATTCTGCCTTTAGCAAACTCGGAAACTTTCAGAGAAAAAACTTGTAACACCTCTAACAATAGTTAAAAAAGGCGCGTGGAAAATTTTGTGGAACTCGGAGTTTACCTTATTCACTCGCTCCATCTCGTAAATGAAAGAGACGTTGCCCGCAGCGGAATCGTCAATGCAGTCGGTGTCATAAGGGAGGTTCAATTTCTCGGCCTCCTCGCGGAAAGTTTTCGCTTCATCGTTCGCATTGCTCCGTGCTGCGTCTCTACAAATATGCAGACCCAAAGCCCAGTAAGGAGGCAATGTTGGCCGGCCTGGAAGAAATTAATTTTACAAAAAAATTGCGGTTTACCTTGTGCATGACTGGACACAATTTGTAACTTGAATTTGAAGAAAAAAGTTACTAAAGGTCGGAAAAATTAATAATTTGAGCATTTCATAGCTTGTTAATTTAACGAAAAAAAGGATCTCTTTTTATTTTTTTAAGAGCTCATCCTTCGCGTTATTTTTTGTGCGTGTTTGAATTTTTTTTAATATAGTGGGCTGGGAACATCACACGCTGTTTTCTTTTGGAGTGCAAATACATAGGGAAAAAACTCGACACTTTTTTCAACAAACCTATGTGTGAAGTGAGGGCGTCGAACACCTGCGCCGTGTCATTGCCTACGAATGCGTGAACTCTCATGTACTCGGCGCCGGCGGTGCTGCGAACAGAGACCAAATTTGTCGGCCTGGCAACCACTTCGATTGCTCCTGGAGCTTCAAAAAGCACCCCGTGCGCTTTGCCGCTTGGAGCAATGCACAGAATGTAGGGCCGGCCGTTAGATTTGCTTCCCAAAGTTTGGTACAGAGTCGCATTGCCAGACTTGAGCATCAACGAGCCGCGAGATGAAGCTCCAGCACCTATTTTAAATGTTAAAATAAATAATTCAAATTTTCTTTATCATGTAATATATATTTTTAATGGCAAAATTCCCATTAAGTTTTGACATTTTTAGAGAAAAGTAACTCGGCGGTTTTAATTTCATCGATTTTTTTCTACTAATTTTCTTAATTTTATCTTTTTTGTTCCAAGCAGCATCAAATTATTTAAGGAATCAGCGCTATATGTTGACTCTTGTAACATTTTTTAACTCTTCAAGCAAATGAGAAACGTGTGCAATTAAAGACACTAATTTGGAGGGCTGAGGAAAATAAATCCGGAAATTAAACTCTGGCGTTTCAACCTTCTGCTTTTTGTTGAGTTAATTAATTCCTCTTTACCAAGCAGTGCCGAGTTTTCAGGAAACTGGAAGGACCATTCCCAGAATCCGTCTGTCGCCACTAGCGGCCCATTGTCCGTCTTAAAAAGCAGCGCATTGTCCGAGCGGCGTTTCAGGCTCAAGGAAAAGGCCTCGCCGTTCTTAATTTCAACTTTCACGTCCGTCTCGTCTATTGACAGCTTCGGAGCGCTGAGAGAATCTCTGTTTCGAGCTGTCAGTTGGACGACCACGTGCGCCGCGCTGACCGCTTCGGTGGTCAGGTTGAGGGTCAAGGGATCGGCGCCGAGGGGGGACCTTTCAAGTCGGGGGGCGAGGATGGCCGGCGCCGCTTCGGGGTTGGGCGCGGCGCCGACGAAATAGTAGTTGTGTCTCGCGGGCAGCGAGTGGTGGCAGAATTTGCGCGTCGCGTTCCAGCAGCATCCGGCTTCGATGCAATGGTCTCGGCTTGGCTTTGAGCCTGGCATGCACTCCGACCTGTGACGGGAATTGCACTTTCAATTAATATGTTTAATGGTGCTAAACTGGTGAGATTCGGAATCCCCGGGGAAAACATTTTGACACTCGGCGGAAGGAGAATTTAGATAGATTCATTAAGCTTCTGAAAATAAATTTAACACGTCAATCAGCTCAAATTCTGATATCTCTGGCGTAATGAAAGTACAAAACCCTATCAAGCTCGCTGTCAGCTTTTAGAAAGGAAAGTGATGCTGCTACGCTGTAATGAGATATTATGAGCTACAAATGTACTTAAGTTACAATATTGCCTCTGGGCATGGCGCAATTTGAGAGGATATTAAAATATTATTCAATAATGTAAGCCTTCAAGTTTAATAAATTTAACCACACCCAAGGAAGAAGCTGAAACTTTTAAACAGTTTTATATGGTGTTTTTTTTTTTCGTAATTTTGGGCACTCAATGTAGTGGAAAATTTTATTACTTTCAGCATTTATCTGTAAATGGGTGTTTTTAAGTACATCCATAAATTACACTTAATAATGTGTTTTTCATCAGATAATTATTAATCTTCTCAAATTTTTAAGTATACAACATTCCACAATATCCTTAACGTTTATCACATTTTTTCATGTTTTTTTATATTTAATTCTGTAGAGGGATAATTTCAAACTCACCAAAAGTCGTTGCGGATGCTGCATGAACCAAAGGGTTCGGCCTCTTTGGCCAGTCCGTACATGAAGCCGTAGAGGAGCGTGGGAATGACCAGCACAGCGATCAACATGGCAAACACCACTTTGGCTGGCCGGTTCAAAAGTATGTGATCCCACACAGTGGGCGCTGCTCAAAGGGAGAGAATCTATGAGCACTGGCTAAATAGAGGTGGAGTGCTTTTGCGACACTCACACATTTTAACATAATTGCGAACCTAGGCGAAATATGGGTGGTATTTTGAATATTTTCTTGCTTTTGCAGTACAATAATGCTTTTGGAAATTCCGCGAAATCATAGCAAACAGAGCGGTCAAAGCTGAACAGTACAGGTATGCCTTTAGCACATTTCAATTCGCAATCAATTCAGTTGAGAGTGCTCTAAAAATTTTGCACCAAAGCGAAATATCGACCCAAATGACGCGTTAAAATTTAGAGCTCATCAAATTCAAACCCAGTTAGTGTAAAATTGGTCCATACTTTTGTAACGCTGAGGTAAAATTTTTGCTTTCGATCGGGGAATGGGAAAAAGCAAAATTACGAACTCATTAATTTTGGATGGAAAATCCACTTAAATATTTCCTCAGAATTTGTAATTGTTAGCAAAATGGATAAATCCATTTCAATTTAAAAATTTAATCACTGTCAATTCTGAAAGTATAAAAAATTGTTATTAAATCTGGATAAGAAACTTACCGACTTTTTTGCCAAGTTCAGAGTCGCTGTCGTCGTCCATGTAAAAGTCGTCAGCGAGGTTCATCGCGCTGTCAAGGGGATTTAGGTGCTTACTTTTGTGCGGATGCCGCAACTCAACCTCTCGGAAACTGCCGCCGGCCGACATTTTTTTCAATGGACGGGTCTTCTTCCTTAATCAAGTGGTGACAAATAGTGCTAATTCAAATAAGTCCTTTGTCCTCTGGGATGCGTCTGCAAAATTCGACTCGGTTTACCAAAAAGGAATCCCAAGGGGAAAGAGTTGTCTGTGTTTGACTTTGACAGTTAGAAAGGGTTTTTGCTGCTTCCCATACGAGTGTAATTAAACATGACGGGAGAATCATAATAATTTCCCACCGCAGTTTGATTCGCCTGGTGAAAGCATTTTCCAAATATCCCCCACTGATAATGTAATAGATGCGTGCGTTTCACTTTGTGATTACTGATTACGTACAGAGCATAAGGCAATTACGCAAAAAGTGGAAAGCGGTTGAAATTCACAGAAGCTCAAATTACTCGCACGGAACACAAATTAACTCTTCAACGTGCATGATAATTTCTAGAACCGCTGCAATAATATTATTACAAATGAATAAGCTTTGCTCTCACAGTGGAAAATGAGATAAATACCTTTAAGTGACGTAAAAATGGTTTGGTTCCATCCTCTGTTGTTGTCTGGCTCGGACTGACGTTGTGAATAATAATCCCATCGGAACGCTGATAGTTGAAATCTAAACGCATCATCTTTTTTTCAATTCAAGCGATACCACTTTTTGTTATCAGCTTTGACGCGTCTTCAATTGAGGCGTAGGTAGGCCGGCCTTATCTCAATTTCCGCTTATCAATCAGAAATTTATAGAGACAATGCCCGCGGGGATACCGCAATTAATTTGGCCGTGATCAAATAGACACCAATTTCAAGTTTGTAATTAACTCGTTTTCCGCCATCACTTCTCTACCAGGAAAAGTTGTTGCCCATTATTTTTCGATTTCATGAAACGTTGGTGGGCAACAGACCATTGCTTTTTATTATAATACGTAGGCTCAACAAGTTTAATAAAACTCTCACAATTAAAAATTTTTATACACAAACTTTAAATTATAACGGAGCCCAAAAAAATTTTATTTTATTTAAATGTTTTTATTATTTTCGGCAAAAACTCCAATTGTTGCGGATTTTTTCTAAAAACGATTTAATGATTTTCCAAAATTGATTTACTTCTACACACTACTTAAATGTGATTGCTTTTGGGAATCATGGAATTTTTGTACGTTTCACCAAAATGAAAATAAGAAAGTAATCAACTGAACATTCAAAAAATGTTTCCGTCTGCCAAAAAATTATGAGAGCAACTTGATTTTTGTTCGTTCAACAAATTTCTTTTTCGCTCATGAAAATAAAACGTATAAAAAATTGGCAATTGAAGACAAAAGCTTATTAAATTTTCTTCAGTCCATTAAAATGAAGATAAGGGTTGTTTTTATATACATTTTATTCGTCCAGCGCCATTCTTTTCTCTGTCTCCGTAAAAAAACTCAATGGAGAGTGGAGCGCAGCCTCACTCGGCGCAGCTAACAGGTGTTGCCACTACCGAAGCGGCGGCAGAGGGGTAGTCATCGACGGAGCGAATCAGTCTGTGCGCAACCCTCTCTCGACTCTCACTGCACAATTTTTCTCGCTCTCCCTACACAAAAAAGTGTGAAAAGTGGTGCAAATTTTTTTTAAAACTGCACGGTGCAAATGCAGTGAATAATTCCGAGTTGGTAATTAATTTTTCGCTGCACAATGGACGTGGTGGAGGAAAATTTCGTGGCCAAGATCGCGGACGAGCGTAACGCGTCGTGGCGCAACGCGTCGCTGGGCGAGGCGTACGACGACGACGCGTCGCCCACCCTTCCACCTGAGTTGCGCTTCAACACGGGCGCCCTGGTGGCCATCATCGTGTACAGCAGTCTGTTCGTGGTGGCCGCGGTGGGCAACGTGACCGTGTTCGTGACCCTGTACCGCAACCGGCACCGCAAGTCGCGCATCAACCTGATGATCATGCACCTGGCCATCGCCGACATGGTGGTCACCTTCGTCATGATCCCTCTGGAGGTCGGCTGGCGCGCCACCACCCAGTGGCTGGCCGGCAACGCCGCCTGCAAGGTGCTGCTCTTCCTCAGGGCGTTCGGCCTCTACCTCAGCTCCATGGTGCTTGTGTGCGTCAGTCTGGACCGCTACTTCGCCATCCTCTACCCCCTCAGGGTCAACGACGCCCGCCGCAGGGGCAAAATCATGCTCATCCTCGCGTGGGTCGTCTCCATCATCTGCTCATTGCCGCAGGTAATTACACCCCTGCTATTTATTCTCTTGAAGTAACGCAATCTTCTGTTGTTGTAATTTTCAAATAAAAAAATTGCGGATTTTTATTCATTTTCAGATGCGATCAAATTAGGAAGGGTATAGAGAGTGAAATTAATTCAGCATGACAAAGTAGATCAATTCTTTTTTTCACGCTGTGGCGAGAAAAAAACTTTAAACTCTAATAAATTCAAAAATGGATCTCCTCGAACATCTCTTATAAAATTTATTTTTTCCTCCTCAGTTTGATGATTTTTATAATTATCTTGATCATGATGACAATGGGTCACTAATCACAATTGGTGACTCAAACTGGTCGGCAAGTTGTACTTCAAATAACCCCTACTTTCACTTCAAATACTCTCACAATTCTCACTTCCTCCACTTCTCTCACTCTCATCTTCAAAAATCAAAGAGTGTGCATTATATGTATTAAATCTTTCTTGAACTGAATTTGATTGAGAACACTATGTTGAAAATTGATAAGATTCCATTTGTAAAAAAATTAAGCCATCTTTCAATTTCATTTTTAACATTCAAAAATTAAAACGGAGTTCACCTTTTTTTTTATCTATTATTAACAACTTTTTTTAATATTTTTTTTTTATTCCAAACAAAAATTTTACCTTCAAAGATAATTAGCCTTCAATTTTAACGAGAAAATTATTTAGGAAAATTCCAGGATGCTCTCATTATTACGCTAATGATGTTAAAGCAAAATGCGCAAGAACGTCCATATCGATTTTCTAATTAATTTTGTCAGAAAAAAAATGTTTTTCATTTTCTAACGATGCCCTTTGTTGCCAGTGTGGATTTTCATGAAAATACTTCGTGGAACAATCTCTTTTCTCTTTTATTTATTTATATTCACAATTTTTAAATTTTGCAAATGTTTTTAAAGAAAGAAAAAGCGCGTTTTTATAAATATGAAACTCTGACTAAATATTTTATCACAATACTAAAAAATTCCGTTTATAATATTCTTTTCACTGACCTCTCCATGATTCACTTTAACTAATCCGTGTGCGTGTGTTGAATTCCAATGAACCGTGCCCTTAAAAGCCTTTGTGTAAAAAAACTGCGCATTAAACTTTTTCATCAAAAATGGTAAAAAAATGAATGAATAATAATTTCATTATTTGGAACTTTTCAGGCAGGAAGGTCATGTTAAATTAAAACGCACCCATATTTGATGAGATTCAGTTATATACACTGCATATTCATTTTCAATTAATATTTTTAAATGCAGTTGATAGTAGTCAAAAACTTTTCTTAGGTTTGTCCGAAACGTATTTTTTTTGTCGATTCCAATGAAAACTGTCAATTTTTGTCCCTTTTTAAAAGTAGTGCAATAGAAAATTTTACATGTCATAAAAAAAAATAGAATTTTTATATCATTATATCATTAAATTCTCAACACATTGACAACTTTGAAAATATATGTCATTTCATTACACCGTTCATTTACCTGACGTTGCGAAATTCTTGGTATATCTCTCATCTTTTTGCTGCATTAACGGCAAATATGGAAACTAAGGCGATCCCGCTGAGGTGCTTCTAACCGAGACGCAGAGTGGGGCTAATGCCACTCTCACATTCTGTAACAAGAGGGATGCATAATAATGGATCAAATATTCAATGGAATTTAATTGAGGTTAATCGTATTTACGCAAACACATAATATCAGTGAGAAGCATTGTTTGGTTCCCTCAGAGCACTAATGGTATGCTTAACTTTGATCATAATTGATAAAATCTTCTATTTCATTTGATATTTCTAACAGAGATGGTGTTTTTCTCTGGAAAAAAAATGCGTAGTGCTAATTCAATTTCATTTTCAACGAAAATTTGATGAACCGATGTTATAAGTGGGAGAGTATAGTGAATAGTGAACGTTGCTGATTTCGTTATTCAATTTCCTCTTTACATCGAGCAGCTTGTTTACCCCTTGTAATTCTACTCCTGTTCCAACAGTAACGCAATTGAAAATGGCTCTGAAACTTAAAGAACAAGAGCAATTCCATAAATATAATGTCTTTTTTACATTTACTAAAATCGCAGAAACTTGAGATGTGAATTAATGTTTTGAATCGACCTTAACTTCATGTCAACCCACAAAAAACTAACTGGTTTCACTTTTTTTATAATACGACGCTAAGAAGACTTATCAGCTCTTTGTTGGAACAGATAAAATTTAATTGTAAGCTGACGAGTACTTATTTTTTCTTATTCTCAAATATTGATTTCCGCTTTCCGCCATGAAAGCACTTACAAACGGAATTAGGTGTATTATTTCTCTTTGAAAATTGAATATCCTTTTTACTGAAATCAGTTGGAGGACTCGAGTGCTTTCGCGCACGCCTCTCGCACACAGCAATTCACCTCCGACATGGTTCTAATTACAAGAGCGTTATATATATTCGAAATTTTCCTATTACAACTTACTTGGAATTTGTGAAATGCAGAGAGGAAACTTTTCCAATTTAATTCAGTACTTATTGAGAAGGTTCAAATAAGGAGAGGAAATACAAATTTCCAACCAACTTTGAGCTTAAACCGCACCCACTTGATTAGACCGCCTGGCAAAGTTTGTGTTCGTTGAAATTAGGATTTAATCGCATCAAAAAGCGTGGAGATTTCATGAAAGGAATTTATTTCACACGCACACGAAAAAGATTTTTTCCTCTTCAAACAAAATTGTTCCTCTTCTGTTATATATATTTAGGCGTTGTCCTCTTGGGCGCTCATCCACGTCACCGTTCCCTACCCTTCCACAGGCGGCTCTAACAAGAAGTTCTTTTCTTTCACAAATACGGCACAGAAAAAACGGTAGAATGAAAGGAAGCTGAGAAAGACTGGGCAAATAAAATACTGCAGCGCTGACCAGCCCAGTATTGGAAAGCTTTCAACTGGATGATGAATTTTGGTTGCTTTTCAAGCACACCCTCAAGCTCTCGATCGAGAAATGCCCCAAAATAAGCTTGAAGCGATTACTCCTTTGACATTTTTATGTGGGATCAGCAAAGTTGAATCTTTATTGGCTATTGCATTTACTGCAGTAAATGCATTATTGATTTAAATGATTTTTATCTAGCAAATGTGTATGCATGTTTATACATATAAAATTTTAAATTTCAGTTTGTTAATAATTAAATTAATTAAATTTAGTGTTATTTACGTTAATTTGCCTGTGAGCTGCAAAAGAAATTTTATAAAGTTATTGATGATTAATTGTTAGAATGGGGATTATGAAGTTCAATTTTTGGCATAAACGTTTGATACCACACACAATACAACGATTTTCTGTTTCTTTAGCCGTTCAAACGAGCGGGCGCCGGGTGGGCAACTTGCTGTCCCTCTATTTTCTAAATTCTGGGCAAAAGTTTTTAATACTGAATATAATTTTATTATTGAGCAGTTGTTAATGCATTATTGACAAGGACCCAAAACGTGTTAATGTGCAGGCATAATGTTTTGAATTCATTCCACACCCTGTCTTCAAATACTGACTTATTGTGATCTAACTCATTAATTGCGCTCGTTCACGCGCATTTCATTATGAAGATTAATTCGTTTGGTTGGATTGAAAGCAATATTGTTTTAAAATGTTTAAATGTATTGATAGAAAAATAATCCCGCCCACTTTGACGTGAGACCTTCACGTTTTAGCAACTTTCTTGACAGAGGTAAAGCCGTTTTTCTTAACAATTTGCAATTTCTTTCCAATTTTCATGTGCCGACTGCGCTATGTGAAAATTCTTGAATATCAAAATTTAAAATGAAAACATAATTGCTGCACAATCCAGCCGTGTTATTAATCATCATTTTTCACCGCATTTTTTAACAGCAACCTCACAGAGACCGCGCGGTCGATGGGGAATTCATTTTCACGTGGGGCGCATAAATAATGCCTTCAACGTGCCATACGCATTTTTCATAATGGAATAATGCGGTGCTGAAGTTTGAAGGAAGTCTCCTGAGGGACCAAGCACACGCTGATACGCAGTATCTCCCTTTGGCTGCGGGCTACTGCAGCCATTTTTCACCAAACAACCCTAAGGCGTCTCATTTTCTCGCGTGAAAAAATAATCTTGTTTTCGTTGCAACTTGATAGTTTGTTTGCGAAATGGTCTGATTTAAACGTGTTAGCGCTTTCTTATGCTGCTGGAATGAAATCGGTGTTTTTCTGCGCCGGCTGGTCTGAATTTCCGGAATTCATACTTCGGCGAAAATATTTCAACTGTACAGTGTTTTGGCAGGGGTCATATGATCGTGACCATATTTGAGACCCATAAAGACCATGTCAAGAGGTTTTCAAAAATATATAGTTTTACCCCATTATCTCAAAATTTATGGGTTTTACGGGACGTTCAAATTTGGATTTTGGAAAATTTCAAAAGGCTGTATCTCGGCTTCCCGTTGACGTAGAACAAAAATCCGGGTATGGTTGAATTTGTTTCATTGCCCTCTACAACTTTGCTGTTGAAAGCAAAATCGTATGTCAAAGTTCAAGGTCACTTCTGGTGACCTCGTGACCTTTGACCTCACAATTGAAGGTTATCCCCCAATTTTATTTTAATTCTGAGATAGCCATTTTGTAGAACGTGAAATTTTACGCTATATAAGAAAATAAACCAGATGGCGTTTTTTGTTAAAAAATAAATAAATAAATTAAAAGAGCAAAAAACGTGGTTTTCCGAGCATTTTTGCTGGGTAAATATGTTTGAACCACCGTAACTTTTTTTCTGGGCAAGATAGCTCCACATACCTAATAACAAAAAGTAATTGCCTTGACACGGCTCATCTAATAATGTATCACACGTGGTGGTCAGGTCACAAAAGGTCATTGACCCCGGTGACCTTTGACCTTCCCATGATTTTTTCGTCACGTGTGGCACACGATTCGAAAGAGAACATTAAGAGGGTCATTTTGGTGCCCAGAAATCTGTTGTAGCTTGATCAGAAATAAAATTATTACTGTTT